GATAGCAGCAACATAAACCTTCAGTATATGATGGGTGACAGCCTGCAGTCCAGCTTAACGTGAGGGAAGGATAGACATGAATCATTCTGAAGCGATTTTAAAGGTGTGCCTCAAATACTTCCTCTGACTATGGAGTGACTGTACCAATTTCACAAGCATTTCACTGACCCTTTTTAAAAAAATTCAGAGTGATTGTTCTTGTAAGTAAATCCCAGTACTGTTGGTTTAAAATTCAGCTCATACTGACTGACTGAAGGGGAACATGAATAAAGCTTCTCCTAAGATGGTGTAGGAGCCATACATTGTATATTGGCGATTGGCCACAAGGTGTCAGTACGACACTATATAACTGTGGCTTCACTGCATGGAGGAAGACTGTGTTGGTAGGAAGCACACAGTTTTTGACCGTATCGTATTGTATCATCTCGTAATTAAAGGTAACAGAGAAGTGTGCTTTTAGATAAAGGAAAGCGATTGAGTAATTCTGTTGATTGGACAATAAATATGTTTTTATTTGCATCTATTTGCTTACGGACTCTGACTTTTTACGCGTTAAAAACTTGCTCACTCTACCAACAATAGCGGCATTGGTAAGCCGCTACAACAGATGGTTCTTCAGCACTGAAGAAACTGTACAAAAGCACGCACATCTCTCAGTAATGATTAAATCACACTGAACTGAGCTAAACTGAACTGAACTTAAACACTAAAAACTGAACCACACTGTTCCAGTTACTATGACCATTTATGTGAAGCTGCTTTGACACAATCTACATTGTAAAAGCGCTATACAAATAAAGCTGAATTGAATTGAATCTTAATTGGGTGCTCAGCCAAAACCGCAAAAAGTGCAAATTAAATGTAAATCAAAGGCGGCAACACCAAGGCTCCAAAAATACAAATTAATAGAATAAAAGGCTGACACAGAGCGTGTAACGTTTCAAGCCACCCGGCTCTTCATCAGACAATGTTCATCACAATCAGGTGCTCCTTTTTATACACTTCCGGATCACATGATCTCCTCTCGCATATATGCCAACATATACACACACAATCGTTCATATATATACATATATACACATGAATGCATGTATACACATTCACATATAGTCTATAGCTTTGATATTTTAAATCAAATTACAAAAAAATATATATAAATTAATAAACTATAATATTACATCACAAATTATAATAAAGAAAAATAAAGAAAGAAAGAAAAAATATATATATACCAGGATACACCAGACTATACAACAAAATATTGCCAAAAAAACCTTTAAACCAAACCCCTACTTAAAAGTTCACTTCTCCAAAAGGTTTAAATGAGGAGTTTGACATTCGTCCTTTTCTGTGATAATTTTTGAATAAGTCTTTATTATTTAATTAATGTCCCAGAGATGGGTTGTGGCTGGAGGGGCGTCCGCTGCGTGGAAGTGTGCGGGATGAGTTGGCGGTTTATTCCGCTGTGGTAGCCCCAGACTACTAAAGAGACTAAGCCGAAAAGATAATAAACGAATGATGAATGAATGAATGAATGTTTAAGTAGGGGTTTGGTTTAAAGGTTTTTTGGCTATATTTTTTAGTAGAGTCTGGTGTATCCTGGTATATATATATATTTCTTTCTTTCTTTATTTTTCTTTATTATAATTTGTGATGTAATATTATAGTTTATATATATATATATATATATATATATATATATATATATATATATATATATATATATATATATTTTTGTAATTTGATTTAAAATATCAAAGCTATAGACTATATGTGAATGTGTATACATGCATTCATGTGTAAATATGTATATGTATATATGAACGATTGTGTGTGTATACATATGCATGTATGTATATGTTGGCATATATGCGAGAGGAGATCATGTGATTCGGAAGTGTATAAAATGGAGCACCTGATTGTGATGAACATTGTCTGATGAAGAGCCGGGTGGCTCGAAACGTTACACGCTCTGTGTCAGCCTTTTTAATTTAATAAATATGTATTTTTGGAGCCTTGGTGTTGCCGTCTTCAGCACTGAAGGCCTAGAATCCATGCGTTTAAAATGCTATTATAACTGTGTTGAAGTGTCCAATGTGAATCTTCTCATGTTTATTCAGGTTTTGAAATTGACTAAATCCCTTGTCGCAGTGTGATCACTTGTAAGGCTACACTTAATGTGTTTAAGACTGGATCATTTTGTGAAGCTCCTTCCACACTCATATGCATTGTTTCTCTCTGGTGTGAATCCTCTGGTGCTTTTTCAAGTCTCCAGCTGTAATAAAAGTCTTCTCACACTCCGAGCACGCATGCTCTCTCACACCAGTGTGGATCTTCTGATGTCTTCCTAAAGTTGACTGCGATGTAAAACTCTTCCCACACTCTGAACATGAATACGGCCTCTCATTTGTATGAAGTCTAAGATGGATCTTCAGTTCTGAAGGCCTCCAAAATGTTTTGCCGCATTGATCACATTTGTGCGGTTTCTCTCCGGTGTGGATTATCACGTGTTGTTTAAGCTTTGATAATTTTGGGAAACTCGTCCCACACTGAGTGCATGTGAATGCCTTCTCTCCAGTGTGAATCTTCTCATGTGTTTTCAGATTTCTTGAATTACCGAATGTTCTCTCGCAGTGTGAACACTTGTACGGTTTCTCTTCCATGTGAATCATCTGATGTCTTCTCAGATAATCTGACTGACTGAATGTTTTGTCGCAGTGTGAACACTTGTAGGGTCTCTCTCCAGTGTGAGTCCTCTGATGTTGCCTTAAACAGTGTGAGCGATTGAAACTCTTTCCACACAAAGAGCACGAAAACGGCTTCAGCTTTGAATGAACGCTTAGGTAGGTCTTCACGTCTTCATTCAGCTCTGAAAATCAAGTAAACAAAACAAAGGAACATTTTAAGAGAAACATGTCAAGTAGGGATGCTTTCACTTTCACTTTAAAACAATTAATCAATACGCATGTTAGCATTACAAACTCGCACAAATATTTTGCAATATTTTAAAAGTGTAGATAAAAACTAAAGCAAAATGACAGTATTTTTATAAACAATTGTTATGCAACATAACTGCAATAATTCCAAAATCCTGGCGACTGACATTATATCATACTCATCGCACTTCTTTTTCACTAAAGGAGATTCACCGCCTTTATCAATTTACCGCCTTCCGAGTGACCCAATGGTCTGTTCTGAATGAATAGTGAAAACAAAAAAGTATATCACAGCTCATTTTCAGCTAAGTTAAGGGAAATGGCACTAGTTAGCTAATGTTATTTTCCCTAAACACACGGTTTAGATGCCATTTATCAAGCTCAAATGAATGAACTGATTCTTTCACTATATTAGACTGTCACGATACTGAATTTCGGTACTGAAATAGTAAAAAAAAAAAACATCCATTTCCTGCTAACATTTAAGGCACTGTTGATGGCGTTCGTAAACAGTGCTGATTTGCCATTGTGTTCACTGGTGATCAACAGAAACTACTGTGATTGGCCGAGAAGGTTCACTCAACGCTGTTTACAGAGTACAAACAGACGAGCGATCCGCTTGATGACTCGACTGATCTTTGAGTCTTTAAAACACTCCAGTGTTCGTGTATCTGTCTTTGCACTCAGTGAAGAGCCGTGAACTGATGAGTTTCACGGCCAATCACAGTCATTTCTGTTGAGCACTGGTGAGTACTATTTTAAGAACGTGCTCAGCGGTGCTTGAATGTTAGCGAAAAATTGACATTTTTAAAAGTTCAGTACCAGGACAACACTATTACAGACAACACGAGGGCGTGCTACAGAGGACTGCATTGTTTTATCACTCACCAGGTTACATAGGCTGATCAGGGAAGCATCCCCACGGTGTTTACCTGGTGCCATGAACTGAAGCCTAGGAGGACACTCTTAAAGACATTGTGATGTTGTTTATGCCTAATCTGCTATTAATTGTTTACATTAAACTTACTGAATGACATTAAAGTGATGTTTACACCATTTCTGCATTTTGAAATCCTGGCAACAGCTGGAGGTTTGTAGTCCACATCATGTTACTGCAATGTTTACATACTTCCAGGTTTCTTCCCACCTCAGGCTCGCTTTGGTTATTTAAAATGGAGGCCACAAGAAAAAAAGCGCATTGGAAGCCTAAGTATCATCTTTTGATATGATGTACTTTTAGAGAAAAATGATGTCCACATATGTGGACTTGTGGTCCGAATAACCATAAAACACAATAGTCACCTTTGTGTAATAGAATGAAAAACTCTTTATTTCCACCGATCTCATTTTCACTCCAGGAAATGTCTACAGTAAAGCCGTAAGGGTCATTTACATATCATATGAGCAGCACTTCCCACAACACAGATGCTTTATACACATAAATACTTCTGTATAAATGTTCATTACTAACTTTTCTATGAACAGGATTTGATTATAACTGCAGATCAATGACTGCAAATAGCCTACTGTAATGTCTGCAGTTATATCAAGAAAATAAATAAATGCAACATATATGAACACATACAGACCCTTACAGTAACCGATATGTTATCAACTGCAGAAAAACTACACACAGCAGACATTTAGTGCTTATTTAGGTTCAAAAACAAACACGAAATATAGCCCACAGTCAGTGCACAGTCAGTGCAAACCTCTCATCTGTAGCCTCTCACATGTAGCCTCTGTTAAAGAGTCATTCCTTTCATAATAGTCCACAAAAGTCCAAATGGTGATAATGATAGTTAAACATGGCAGTTTGTTCATGTTTTAGGTTCCGCAAGCATCATTTGCTGCTTTTTCCCGGTTTCTCCTTTGTTTTTTCGCACTTCACTCTCAACAGAGAGTCACTTCTGACAGGATCGGATATCAGAGTGCTTCGATGATCATGCACACGTTATTAATATGAGTTTAAAAACTTCGTTATTTCAAATATAGACGCACGGCAAGCTCTCTGGAGAACATGAAACCGCTCGTGCTTTAGACCGGCTCGCAAAACGACAACAGGACACAGCAGATTTTGTTGTTCTTTGCTTTGTGGCTGTTCATCAAGACGAAAAGGTTTGTTTGAGCTCGGGTCGACAATGGCTTGTTATTATATGTATGTAGTATTACGGTGTAACGTCTCGGCTGTGTTTTTCATTCTTCTGCTTCTGCGTGTGATGTATCTCTGTAAACCAATATCGTTCAGCTGTGCATCTTTGCCAGTTGGCAAAGGGTGATCAAAAAGAGGTAAGGTACGGTTCCCTTTTTGGTACCCTTTGACAGTGGAAACAGCCGTAAAAGCGTAACGTGCCGTACCACTCAGTGGAAACGGGCCATCAAAGGCTGCGATAACTGAGCACTGAAGGACCAGGCCTGCTTACAGAGGCCCAGAGGTCACCTTATTGATTGACCTTCATGGAGTTGGAGAACATGGACGAACCAAGGAACATATACACAACTTGGGAATCACTGCCATCACTTATGTGTGAAAGGCTGAGTAACAGTTGCGCTCCACTTGCAAGCACAAGAACACTTTGCAGGTCATACAACGCACTCGGGTTCTTCCAGTGCAGCCTAGTTGTCTGCAGCGCATTGCATTTTTTAGGCCGATCATCTCTGGGAGGTGGGCATTAGCCCTCCTGCGGACTGAGACATGGGGCAACTCTGTCACATGGCGTTTCACTCCCTGGTTTGAATCTTCTTCCTCTGAATGTGTCGAAAGGTCTGCATCTGCGCCGTGATGTTGGGCCAAGAGGATCGTAGCCACTTCCATGCGGAACTGAAGGAACTGAATGGGTCTTGTTTTTGTTCCAGCACGTATTGCATGGTCTTTTTGGTAGAGTAGCCAGCTGTTGGCTAAAGCCAGATCTGTGAAGTGCATTACCATCCGCATTGTCCACTTCTTAGTACGGGTGCTCATGCGATAGTAACCTATCATTCTATCCATCAAATCGACTCCAGCCATGTTGTTGTTGTACTCACGGACAATGCTTGGTCGCGAGACGGTGACATATTGTTTCAAGTTCTTGTCCCAGCGCTGGCAGGTGTCTTCTGGCTGTGTACCATGAATAACAGACATCAGCAATACTGGTTTGTTGTCGTACCACTTCACTACACACAACTTTCCATCTTCAGTGGAAACTTCTGATGACGTACCTCTTCCCATGCTTATCATGGCTTTGTCACTGGGTAACTTATGCTTCGCTCCAGCGAGTCGGTTGTTCATTATTGTACCAGTCATGTAAAGCTCTTTCTCCATCATTCGTTGCGCACCTTTGATAGTGGTGAAGAACCGGTCACAATACACCTTTGTGCCACGATGCAGAGTTTGGCACAAACGCTCAATGACTAAGCATCCTAAACCCAGGCCCTCTGGTTCTTCCACCTTCCCAATCAGTGAACCAGTGCCTTGATACAGCTCAAAGTCAAGCACAATGCCATCTGCTGTAGCACAAACAAAGTTCTTTACGCCAATTGGGTTTGGCTTCATTGGCAGATATTGTCTGTACGGACAGGCTCCTGTGAAAGGAATCATCTGCTCACCAATACATGCACAATCAGGTCGATTCAGAGACAAGCAACCTTGCAGAATCCGATCCAGAAAAGGCCTCACCTTCCAGAACTTGTCTGACATTCTCAGGTCTTCCGGCACATCATGATCAATAACCACTTTTATTGCTCCCCTCAGTTTGAAGAATCTGGCACGTGTGAATTTGTCAGTGATGGCAGTGATTTTCAAGGCTTTGGACCAGTACATCCTAATGGTTGGGTATCGGATGCAAGACATCAAAATACAGGCACCGAAAAAGTGGTAAATCTCATCTGTCGTCACGTTAAGTGGCTCCCCACTCTTAGACAGTGACATAGCATTAGAGCATTCTGCAATCGTCATCATCAAATCTCTATCCATGTACTGTTCAAAATAGTCTAGTGGGGTCCAGCCATGTCGGTCTAGATCAGTTTCGTCCTGATGCTGATACTCTGCCAGGTTTGGCGTCAATGGAGCAGCCTTCCAGCGTAGCCCACTTCCTGCACAACCAGAATCAGAATAAAAATAAGTCTTTATTATAGGAAGTTACATTTTTACCCATGTAAGCAATTGAGGTGTATTGGTGCATAAAATACTTGAATCTGTGTGGAAGTTTATAAGGTGCGAAGGCCAAAATAATAACAAGTACCTTGTTCAGAGTCTCCCTTTTTCATTTTTTTTGTTCGTCTTGGTGTTGACTCTTCCAAGTCATCTTCTGAGCTATCAGCCTCAATCTCTTGACTTTGACGGCGACGTCTGAGAGTGCGGGATGAACCTGAAGCGGTCTCTTGACCTGTCCATGAACCTGTCAACAAGTTTTGTTAATAAGCATTTTGCTTCGAATCCTTGGCATAGCCCTAATATACCTCTTGGCTAACCATTATCATGCACATCTGCATGTTTACGTCCTCTGCTGTGGTCAGTGGGCTCAGGAATGGGGTCCTCATCATCACTGCCGTCTTCACTGTTGCTTTCCTCCTGTAGTGATGGTTGGTAATTTCCATCCAGGACGGGATCATCGTTGTCAGGCACGTCCAGATCGGAGTTGTCTCCATCAATTAACTCAAGTAGCTCCAATGCTCTTTGCCAAGAAAAACGCTCTGGAAATAAAAACATGAAATTAATTTGTATTTGATTTTATCATTTATGTATGTAGGTTTGCATTATTTATTCCAATAGGATAATATGCTAGCTAATTTACATGTGCACATTTTACTAGCAAATTACATTTTTATTAACATCTTCAACCCAACTAATTGAAGTATGTATTTAGTTGTTATTTATTTTATTGGGACCATGCACAGCTTTTTAGCTGCATCAGAGCTAGCTCTTTTTCTCATTTTACGTGTGCATGTTTACTAGCGGGGCAAGGCAGTAGCGCAGTAGGTAGTCGCCTCACAGCAAGAAGGTCGCTGGTTCGAACCTCGGCTCAGTTGGCGTTTCTGTATGGAGTTTGCATGTTCTCCCTGCCTTCACGTGGGTTTCCTCCGGGTGCTCCGGTTTCCCTCACGGTCCAAACACATGCGATACAGGTGAACTGGGTAGGCTAAATTGTCCGTAGTGTAAGAGTGTGTGTGTGGATGTTTCCCAGAGATGGGTTGCGGCTGGAAGGGCATCCGCTGTGTAAAAACTTGCTGGATAAGTTGGCGGTTCATTCCGCTGTGGCCACCCCGGATTAATAAAGGGACTAAGCCGACAAGAAAATGAATGAATGATTGTTTACTAGCATATTAGCTGTTTCGAGCAGCATCAGTCCATAAGCACTATAGGTGAGCATAGATACATTTTTTAATCTAGATTAATCTCACTCTATGAGTCTCTAGATCAGGCATGTCAAACTCGGTCCTGGAGGACCGGTGTCCTGCATATTTTAATTCCAAGCTGAATTAAACACACCTGATCGAGCTAATCAAGCTCTTTCTAGGTATACCAGAAACTTCCTGGAAGGTGTGTTAAAGGAAGTTGGAGCTAAACTATCCAGGACACTGACCCTCCAGGACAGAGTTTGGACACCCCTGCTCTAGATTAATCTAGAATAAAATGGCTCATTTGAATTCTGCCGAAGGCATTCAGAATATGTGTGCTTCCCAATAATATGTCTTTGAGAGTGGGTTTCTCAAGCCAGGTGGCGCATTATACCAGAGGCTCATCTCCTGTTTTCAAAATGCATCACAAACTGCTTGCGAAACTGTTCTACTCTGATAATTGGTGATAAAAATAAATGATGTTCAATAAGATGTACTTTTGCTTACTGTTTATTCAGTTAAACATGAATGTTGAACTGTCGGCCTACATAAGCGCCAAACACCTATTTTTGATTACCTTAATCCGACTAAAGTCATAACGGAACTAAACAGAAATGGAGTTAAGACATGTGGAGTATGCACATATTAGTGGCATTATTGAAGTAAACACCGCAATCAAACTATTACCATCATCTAGGACTTTTCACCATATTTTCAGACAAAATCCACACACAGGGCTGTCAGTAAAGGACCTCACACACACACACACACACACACATTGCGAAATGCGAAAGTTTTCTTCTCTCCATTTGGCATGCTTTGTTAAATTCTGTAAGACTCTTACCAGTCCTTACTCCTTATTTGCGTCTAATACCCCAGTTTGTCACGGGGCATGAATGAAATATTCATGAGTGAAAGTGAAACTGTCGAACTGCAGTTAAAGTCACCCAAAATTACAGGAAACTCTTACATGAAAGCACTTCACGTAAACACCTTAATTATATTATTGTCTATTAAGGCAAATAACTAGACTACAGATGTCCATGTAAACGTAGTCAGTCGTGTCTTCGAACTAAGTGAAAGCTCCAGAAGGCCATCCTGCTGATTTGATTCAGAAGGGCACTTTTTTGTCAGACGGCTCACCGGTTTGACTTTCATTCACCACCATTCATTTTAAAAAGGAACATTTTCGAATTTCGTAAACTCTACAGGTGCCTGATAGTTAAATGTGAAGCTAACATTAATGAGATTCACTTTACTGAACTGCATCCATGTTAGCACGTCACGTTTGACGTGGTCATTTCACAGTAGGAATACACACAGGTACGAAGACTACCACAGTGCAATTCGCCCAGGTATCCATCCGCGCTAAAATATCAAGGTGACAGTCTCCATAGCTTGCATAGAATAGACCCAGCTCCCAGCCCAACTTTGAGAATAGATTAACACCAATATTTATTTTAATCGCCCGATAAGAGTCTTGCATTAACAGGCACATTAACGCTAGTCACAGCCCACTACTAAGTACACACACGTTTGGAGACCTAAACATGACCAAAGATGCTAGTTTTACACTTATTTTATCAAATCTGCATGTCATGACAAATATACAAGGCTTTTATAAATATCTAAATCAGAATAAGCTTTGAAATATGACAGAACTTCTTACCTGGTCAACGTTTGTGTATGGCGCTACCACTTGAATCTCCTCTTGTGTTCGCCGCCATTTTGTATTCTGACCGTAGTGTGTTATAAACTTCTGAGACCACTAGATGGCAGTGTAAGTACCCCCATACATGTCCATAGCAACACCAATTCAGCAGTGAATACAATTGTGGACATATGAGCTAAAATGTGCCATCCACGTATGTGGAAAGAAGCCCTAGAAGGTTAACCAGTTAAACTCTGCTGCTATTTTGGGATTTTGCCTACCCAAATTTAAAAGCTTCCCAAATCCACATGCAGAGGTTTAAATGCAAAAATTTGGTATCATTTTAAAGAAAACCCTTTGAATTTTCATAAAACACTATTGAAAGTGTTTAAATTATCTGTGTATGTTGTCTTTGTTATAATAAACACCTTAAAAAAGAGGCTCTTTTAGTATTTATTTTTTATAAACTCATATTTGAAGGTGTACCTTTTAGGTTGTGTGTGGTCGAGCGTGCTGTAATTAATTTTGGTGGTTCCTGCACATGTCTGTAATCATAGGAAAAAAGAAAAAGGTATCCACCATAATCTATGCAAAAGTTATTGTCTTCCAACTGATGAGAGGTGCTGTACAAGCCACAGGGTGCGATCATTGTGTTCATATTTCACTATTCTTTTGTTTGATCAAACATAATTCACTGTGTTTGGAGCACGTCAGACATATAAAAGGATTACTTATGCACATCACCTCAAAAACAGAGAAGAAATGGGCCTGAAGCGCACAGCATAAGGTAAGAGATGACAGCTGTCTGTGCTATCTGGGGCTGCTTATTGATCATAAATGTATTGTTTTCACTTCTGCGCCATGGAAACACCGTGATTCATTCGGCAACTGTTTGATATGTGAATATAATTCAGTAAAAAGAATGCTAGAACCGTATGAGCACCGGCAAGAGCTTTCATTTGAGCTATAACTTGTGCATGTGTCATATGAAAAATATAAAAATGGACCAATGTAAAATACCTAGCTCGGGTATGCAAGATACTGTGTATTTAAGTGTAAATAACCTTTGTACAGCAGATTAAAAACCAAAGTGATGCATATGAGCGTAAAATATAGATTCTACACTTTCAAACGACACCACTTACGGGGGTCTGGTGCAATGCTAGCCCTTTAAATCTGAAAGCGAAAGTCGATTATGTCACAGTTTAACTGGTTATACCCATGCAGTTTATGCTCCTTTTATACAGTCGGTCTCTTGACGTTACAACATCTACTGTGTGAAAAAACACACCGTCTCAGCTCAAGCAGAGACGAAACAGTAACAAGTGAAAGCATTTCAATATCAACAGCAAGAACATCTCTTTGGGATTGAAGCTTTAGCCTTTTAGACTTTATGGATCTCATACAAACACAAATGAAAACATCAAACCTTGTTATAAACTTCACAATTATCCTAAATAATAAAACTGGGAAGGGCTGGATCTTTAGATGATCAACTTACCGTGAAATTTTTGCGTGTGTGTTTGTAGAGTAAATATATCCCTGAAACTCTTCCCGCAAGCAACGCAGTGGAACAGTTTCTCCTTGGAGTGAATGTGCTCGTGTGATTTCAGGTCTTCTAACTCACTGAATCTCTCGTCGCAGTGTGAACACCTGTACGGTTTCTCTCCAGTGTGGCTCCTCATGTGAATGCTGCGAGTGTATTTGCACCCAAAACTCTTTCCACACTGAGTGCAGGAGAAATCGTTCACAGCTGCGCTGCTCAATAATAAACTGTGCTCGGTGTTTGTGTGAGTTTCTTCTCCGCTGCTGACATGATGTTTCTCCTCATCTTCACTCTCCTCCTTCACTATCACATCTGAAAATTAAGTAAAAAACAAACAATCATAGAGCCATATTCTGAACACCAAAACACCATATAAAATTACAGGCAATAGTAAAAAATAAAACTGAAGAAGTGCTTAATAACCTGACTGTTGTTCAGCCTGATTATTGAAGAGTAATGAATAAACACAAACCTATTAGTTCTTCAGTGTCTTCCTGTTTAATTCTGCAGGGTTCTGGATCACTCATCTTCTCACTGTCCTTCAATAAACTCTGTCTTTGTCTTTCACTGATCGAGCTTCAGAAGAAAAACAGAGAAATCGGATTTATTTATATTAATTTAGTGAGTTATTTTACTATGTTATGTTTTTAAGTGATACAATACGACATGTAATTTCCTCCTGTAACATTTAAATAAAAGTATTAGTATGGCGCAATAAAAACAGCTGACATAAAGAGGATTTCAGCAACTCTGATGATATTGATGAGTCTCAGACTATAAACACTCATTAAACAGACGCCCGGGAACAGCGTGCGAGGCGCTCAGGAGAGTAGACAGGATTGTTACTGGCCCGATCTGTCACAAAAGATCAATTTGTCTGCAATATTGGTCAACTGCGTATGAATACAGAAACAAGAAACAGTTTGTGCTTTTAAGCTTTTAAATGCTACCCTCTCTATGATGTCATAAACACCATATTGCTTTTTGGTTCCTTTTATCTAATTTCATGTTGTGAGCATGTCGTTTTTTGTAACCTGGTAAAAGCCAGTACAGCGAAGTGACGGCAACATCAAATTATGAGGCTAAAAGAATGTCTTGGAAGCAGACTTTTTACGTGGGTACAGTGAGGCGATTAAACATTCATTAACATTTTAAAACATATTTAAATTTTAGATTTAAACACATTTTGACACAATATTTAAAACATGTCGCTAAGAAATGATAAAAACCTTTTTTTTTTTTGGTGGGGCCGGTTAAAATATTTGCAGGACAAGTAAAAATCTGAACTGCTGGCCTAATCGGGCCAGCAGAAAAAAATCCTTAGCATTGAACCATATATATATATATATATATATATATATATATATATATATATATATATAGCAATATCTTGTATAAATATCAAGTATTTATACCAATTAATCCATTAAAATGTGAAACATAGGTTACAAAAATAAATCACAAAAAAAGTTCATCGTAAATGATTAAGGTAGCATTTTCTGCATCAAAGTTTATACATTTGCTGCAGTAAATTCCCATTATTTGCCTTCACAGATCATACTTTCCGATATAACAAACATGGAAATACTCGAACATTAATGTAAACAAACTAAAACCCAAACACTGAGCTCATGGTTTCCTCTCTGCCTGCTGTATTGTTTTGGTCAGCAGACACACAGATAGAGGTGAACTCAATGCAGAAACTAGTCGCAGATTGTCGCTTTAATAAACTGTAAAGTGTGTTTTATTGTTGTGTAAACACGAGAAAAAGCGTCAACGACTCACCTCAGCTCTGAAGACTCGACGCTGAATGAACGCGTCAGCGCTGACGTCATCACGGCGAGGGCGGAGGAAAAACGCGCCAAATTAAAATACTGCTGACAAGCAAAAACAATCGCTAATGCAAAGAAAAGGCCGTCTTATTAATCATGTGTGAGGTAAAATACTGTTTATTAGGCTCTTAAAAAGTTACACTTAATTGAACTAATTACACACAATTAAAAAGCAAACGTATTTCATACCTGCTAAGTAAATAAAACAAGTAGTTACCATCAATAAACAACCTTTTATACATACACTAAAAGAGGTACAAATTGTACATGTGTAAAAAAAACTTTATAACAATTACGGTGATGAATCCGCATGAGACATTTTTTTTATTTCATCAACAAACAAAATGATAAAGGCCTATAATACCAAAACATTCAAACAGGGTGACCAAACATCCTCTTTTGAGTCCTCATTATTGTACGAATTTTACTTTGTACCTTTCTTTAAGTGTGATTTATACTTTACCATGGCTCCACAGCTGACTGCACACACAGCCAGAGGTGTAGAGGCTTTTACACTTGATGCATGAGCAGTTTTGCTAATATTTGTAACAACAGGAGGCAACGCTGAGTAACTGTCAACATCAAACAGTGGTCAGTGCATGGAGTTGCTGAACGAATTGTGACTCCAGTGTGAATCTTCATGTGTTGATTAAGATACAGTACCTATGAGGTTTCTCTCTGGTGTGAATCCTCTGGTGTCGTTAAATTCTCCAGCTCCACTACTGCGTTTTAGATCAAAAACGATCCGCGTCCACACTAGCGTTTCACCTAGCGTTTCTGAACATATCTCGTCCACACCATGCCTCCAAAAACGTATATCCCATAAATCATTCGCGCACTCTGGGCATGCGCGTTCTAGTATAAACAGGAAGCATGTGTCTCGCTCTGCATTTGGTCAACAAACGCCGGTTGAACAATGAACGCGATGGCAAAGAAAGCAAGAGAGGTATTATTGTGGACAGACGACGAGGTCGAGTTGTTACTAAACGTAACAAATGAATAACTGCACAATGGCACCTAAAACAGACTATAGTGCAAACAACGCTCCCATTTCTGTGTCCGTGTTGTTGTTTACAGTGAAGGCTGGTCTGCTGTCATGTGATAGTCATGTGTCAGTCACATAGTCATGTGATAGGGGCTTGACGAATAAGGGAAGGATACGCAATGACACAAAAGCCCCAATCAGGTAGCGAATCTCAGTAGCCCCGCCTCCAGACGGAGCAGCAGCGTTTCAGAATGAGAATGGCCTCTCCAGCATTTTCAAAACGCTCCGTTTTCGGCGCTCGAAAACTCCGGCGTAGGGTGGACAGATGGCGTAACTGTAGCAAAACTTATGCGTAGGCCCATACGGAATCTGCGCGCTCAGAATTCCACAGATTTTCCGCCGAATTTCGCAGAATTCTGCAGATTTTTAGCCTATCAATAATTCTGTTTATTTACTTGAGTAAATGTGTAAATCTGAATTTAATCAGTTTTTATTCAGTAATTTATTACTTTTTATTTAATATATTAAGGTCTTAGTTATGATACTCCGCTGGATACTCCCAAAATAATTCCGCAGAAATCCGCAGATTTTTACCAAAATTCTTCGCAGAAATATCAAAAAACGTCCGCAGATACCGTCTGGCCCTGCTTATGCGTTTTCAAACTAAAACGCATTAGTGTAAACAGCGCCTCAGTACATACGAGGTTTCTCTCCGGTGTGAATCCTCTGGTGTCGTTTAAATTCTCCAGCTCTAATAAAACTCTTCACGCATGCTCTTTTACACCAGTGTGGATCTTCTCATGTCTTTCTAAAGTTGATTCTCGTTTGCTGCATTAATAAGATTTGTGTTGTCTTTCTCCAGTGTGGATCATCATGTGTCGACTAAGGTCTGATGATCGTGTGAAACTCTTCCCGCACTGAGTGCATGTGAATGGCTTCACTACAGTGTGAATCTTCTCATGCATTTTCACATTTCCAGCATGAGTGAATGCTTTTTCGCAGTGTGAACACTTGTACGGCTTCTTTCCAATGTGAACCATGTGATGTCTTCTCAGATATTCTGACTGACTGAATGTTTTGTCGCAGTACGAACACTTGTAAGGTTTCTCTCCAGTGTGAATCCTCTGATGTAGCCTTAGACTGTGTGGACGATTGAAACTCTTCCCACACAAAGAGCACGAAAACGGCTTCATCTTTGAATGAACGCTTAAGTAGGTCTTCATGTCTTCATTCAGCTCTGAAAATCAAGTAAACAAAACAAAGGAACATTTTAAGAGAAACATGTCAAGGAGGGATGCTTTCACTTTCAAACGATCAATCATTAGCAGGGCTTGACATTATCTTTTTTTAGGCCCGTTTACACTAATAAGCATAAGTTTTGCAACAGTTTGCATCTGTCCACACTACGCCGGAGTTTTCAAGGCTCGAAAACGGAGCGTTTTGGAAACACTGGAGAGGCTGTTTTCATTCTGAAGCGCTGCTGCTCCGTCTCAGTGTGGATGGGGGAAAACTGAGACATTTGAAAATGGAGGCGGGGCTGCTGAGATTCACTTCCTGATTGGGGCTTTTGTGTCATTGCGTATCCTTCTCTCATTCGTCAAGCCCCTATCACATGACTATAACACATGACTTTAACGCTACCGGAAGACAGTACTGAAAACAACAACATGGACACAGAAATTGGAGCGTTGTTTGCACTATTGTCTGTTTTAGGTGCCATTTAGATACATTTAGTAACAACTCGACCTTGTCGTCTGTCCACAATAATACCTCTCTTGCTTTCTTTGCCATCGCGTTCATTGTTCAACCGGCGTTTGTTGACCAAATGCCGAGCGAGACGCATGCTTTCTGTTTATACTAGAACGCGCATGCCCAGAGTGCGCGAATGCTCACGTGATATACCTTTTTGGAGGCGTAGTGTGGACGGAGATATGTTCAGAAACGCTAGTGTGGACGCGGATCGTTTTTGAACGCTGTTTTAAAACAAAAACGCACTAGTGTAAACGGGGCGTAATGGAAATTCATTTTTAGATGAGCTTTATATGTTAGAAACTTGTCTAAGACTCATTTTTATATATGTGTGTATCTGTGTTCTCCATATGTTCATCATAAAACCTGTGTGTACATTTTTTATACATAACTATGTTTCTTTAGGTGAATGCTTTTTAATTATCCTAAGAGATTTTCCTTATCTGACTATGTAGGGGTGAACACATTTCTTTTCTCTGGGTACGCATCACTGGAATTTAGAATTTATGGTCTATACATTACCTGAGGTACGGTTGCTTAAGAAGGATGTGTGGTTGTTATGAGCATATCGCACGAACAGCAGAAGACGCCTGGCGTAATTGTAAATGAGGCCTTATTGGGAGTTCACCTCGTAAGCAGTACAAACTAGATAAAAAGGTGAACACACTTTGCTTTAGTATCTCACTCTGCAGAAACTGTTGTTGCTGTATGATTGTGATCTTCTTTATAAAGAATAAAACTTGTAAAAGACATCCCGGGTAAAAATAAAAAAGTAGAAAAAAAAATAAAAAAAATAAAATAAAAGTAGAGAAAAATAGCCACTACAGGGGCCTCAATCACCAGCCACTGTGGCTAGTAGTTTTCCAACTTAACTAGCCCCTCGACATTTTCATTAGCTACAATTGTGTTGTTGGGAAAATATATTTGCATAAATTTATTTCACACGACTTGTTAGAGCTCAACACTAAGGGTTTACCTTTTTTTTCTCTGGCGACACTAAACTTAATATTTCCTTGCCACAAATGTTAAAAAAAAAATCTCCAATAAAAAAATGTGTTTATATGAAATTTGTCTGTTATAAACTTCACAATTATCCTAAATATTATGACCTGGAAGGGCTGGATCTTTAGATGATCAACTTACCGTGAAATTTTTTCGTGTGTGTTTGTAGAGTAAATATATCCCTGAAACGCTTCCCGCAAGCAATGCAGAGAAACAGTTTGTCTTTTGGGTGAATCTTCTCGTGCGTTGTCAGGTCTCCTAACTTACTGAATCTCTCGTCGCAGTGTGAACACTTGTAAGGTTTCTCTCCAGTGTGGCTCCTCATGTGAATGCTGAGACTGCATTTGTGGCTGAAACTCTTTCCACACTGAGTGCAGGTGAAACCGTTTACAGCTGTGCTGGTCCTTACAAAACTGTGTTCAGTGTTTGTGTGAGTTTCTTCTTCAGGCTTGACATGATGTTTCTCCTCATCTTCACTCAGTTCTTCACTTTTCACCTTCACATCTGAAAATTAAGCAAATAAGTTACAGGACTGTGTGTAACAGCAGACAGTGCTCAAAGCTAGTTTAGAAAGTTAGGAAACGTTTAAGCGAATTGCACACAAGTTCATAGGCTGTGTTTACTAGACCTACACTGGTCTCACAGTTTGGTTTGGTTATGATTATCATGCCATTGATTTGGTTCAATTCGATATCTCAGTGCATCACGGTGCACTGACGATGCTTTCCATACATAAATTAGATTTTTTTCGTCAGAACACAAGACATTTTTTAAAATGAAAATCTATAAATATATTAATATTTATATACTATTTGTAATACAACGTTGTTCTTTAATACAGCAGTAAGATATATGTATTGTACCTTTAATTTGACCTGCTCAAAGAAAACACTCTTTCTGAATGTATCAAACAAGACCCCAACACATGCACAGAAGACAGCATGAGCATTTATAGCAAACAAAACTAATATAAATATTATCCCGCTTGCTTTTTGAGTGCTGTCTGACACCCCTATGATTTGTCATTGTCTTCACCCGCTCAACAGAAAGGGCTGCGCTTGGCTTTAGAAATTAAAGCACTGTTCACCGATGAGTCACGTGGGAAGAATCATAATCATAATGGGCGTGGAGCTCCGTGAGCAGAGGGCAGGAGTGGGCGTGGCCAGCAGAACAGGGGAGAAGGATGGGAGCGAACAACTGTTGTCACTCAGTTAGCTCACAAAATGAGACACAAACCGTGGGGAGACGCATGATTTTATAGTTTACAAAGTTAAAATGCTGTATTTATGCTTCGTTTATTCTCCACCAATAAACATGTAGCAAACTATAATAATAATGTAGATCAACTTGCACACATATCTACATTAATAATCTGTAACAAATTATAATGTAGATTAAAGTGCTCGCATATCTACACCATTATTAATGTAACAAATTAGCTCAAGGCTGTTTTTCCCGCGCCTTTTCCACCGTTACAATGTTGTGAGTTATGATTTAGATTACAGTGCTCGCGTATCTTCAGCACCATTATATGTATAGCGGATTAGTTTAGCGGGAGGAAGATTCATTTGAACGGGGCTTCAAATGAATCGACTCTTTAGATCCGAACGAACAAATCGTCCAGCGATGCTAACGTGGACATCATTTGTTTTTGATTTCAGCCGTGACATAAAGCACGAGTCATCAAGACATGATTACAACACGTTTTTAAACATAATAGTTTAACTAACCAATTTTTATAATAACTACTTTTTTCCTTTCCCATGGTGACTGTGCATGATTTTACTAGTTATTTAGCAAGATAGTTGTATACAGACAAAGTCCCTTTAAATATTCTAGTCTTTGATACAGATTAAAGTGTAATTTAAAGACTTAATTAGGTTATGTTAACTAGGAAAGTTGGAATGATTAGTTAAGTTATTGTATAACTGGTTTGTTGTGTAGATGATCAATAAAATATACAGTAATTATTTCCTAAAGAAGCTAATACCATTGACTTAAAATAGTTTTTTAAACAATTTAAAGCTGCTTTTTTTCAAGAAATAATCTATAAGATATAACACTTATTATGACTCCAGATTAATTATTTGTGTTTTATAGGAAATACTGTGAAAATCTCCTTGGTTTGATTCAGCTCACTTGGGAAACATAATTTTAAATTATTGGGAGGGCAAAAAAACTGACTTCAACTGCATCTGTTAAAGTTTACAGATGTGCCTTGCTGTACTTGAATGTTAGAAATGTGTTATCCTACAATACGAAGTTACTTCTCAAATAAATGAACACTGAAGATTATTTTCAAGTTTAAGTTATTTAATTAGCTAATTTATGAAGGCAGGGCAGCACGGTGGCGCAGTGGGTAGTAGAGATGCGCGGATGGCGGTTACAGCTGCGGAATCCGTGGATAAACCGCGGATCGGGCGGATGACGTGACGAAAAATTATATTTTAATTAAATTCGGGCGGGTGGTGGGCGGTTGTACTGTTTTTGTACACATAGTTGGCGCACCAACGAAAAAGCCTAAGACTGACTTCACAGAATGAGAGGAGGAATCGGATACACTAATTCTGGATGAAGTACAGAAGTCTTCATCTACAAACTTCCGTATAGACGGATCAGCAGAGGAAAATCTACTTTCCTTTTGGGAGAAACAAGGCAGTCATTCCCACGACTACAGCACCTTGCCAAGAGAATTCTATGCATTCCAGCAACAAGTGCTGCGAGCGAGCGCTCCTTCAGTGCAGCAGGGCGCATTGAGGCAGGCGCTCTAGTCTGAATGTTGAAATGATGTGTCAAAATACGTTTTCTTTTAGGCTACAATAATAATTAAAAAATTGTACAGTACAGTGCGTTTCATTTAGGCTATTTATTTATTTTTGTCCCTGTGCGCCAATTGGAGACGGAGTTCACTGCTGATATTCTGAGAGCTTTATAGGGGTGCTTCTCCTTTCTTATTTGTGTATCCTCGTTTCCTTTCCTTGCTTTCTTTCCTCGTCTTTCCACTCCTATAGGATGCGAGGAAAGGACGCAAGGAAAAGACTTCAGGACCGAGGAATCGAATCAAGTGAAAAGACTCGTCCTCGTATTGTTTAGCGTCACTTCAAAGCATCAATTAATGCTGGATTGGACTTGCACGTTTGGATTAACTGCATGAAATTAAAGTCATTCTCTATTTTCTAATAATCAATAAAGAAACATTCATTTAATAATAAAAAGGAATAAGCCATTCAAATAAAGAGCTCAGTCAGCAGATGGCGGGCGGGTGCGGTTTTAAAATTTGGTCAAAAATGTTAGTGCGGATGGATGGCGGACGGATGATGAGTTTTGTGATGCGGTTGCGGATGAAATAATAGCCCATCCGCGCATCTCTAGTGGGTAGCACAAACACCTCACAGCAAGAAGGTTGCTGGTTCGAGTGCCGGCTAGGTCAGTTGGAATTTCTGTGTGGAGTTTGTATGTTCTTCATACAAAAGTTTGAGAAATTTTTTCGTGTGTGTTTGTAGAGTAAATATATCCCTGAAACTCTTCCCACAAGCAATGCAGAGAAACAGCTCGTCTTTTGGGTGAATCTTCTCATGCGTTGTCAGGTCTCCTAACTTACTTTTGTCTCCAGTGTGGCTCTTCATGTGAATGCTGAGACTGCATTTGTGGCTGAAACTCTTTCCACACTGAGTGCAGGTGAAACCGTTTACAGCTGTGCTGGTCCTTACAAAACTGTGTTCAGTGTTTGTGTGAGTTTCTTCTTCAGGCTTGACATGATGTTTCTCCTCATCTTCACTCAGTTCTTCACTTTTCACCTTCACATCTGAAAATTAAGTAAATAAGTTACAGGACTGTGTGTAAAAGCAGACAGTGCTTAAAGCCAGTTTAGAAAGTTAGGAAAAGTCAAGGCGAATAACACACAAGTTCATAAGATGTGTTTAAAGTAAACTTGTAGTATAGAAGCTGAGAAGCAGAAATGTATAAATCTCTGACAAACACACACACACACTCTTAAAGGCTGATTTATACTTCTGCGTCAAACACCGGCGTATGCTACGGCGCTGAAGCATAGCCCTTCGCCGTGGCTGACGTGCACCTCTCAAAAAATGTAACTACACGTCGCAACAATGCGTAGCGCAAGCTCTGTGATTGGTCAGCTTGGTAGCGCTGACGAGTCGGGGCGGGACCGAGAGCCACGCGAATGGCGCGAACCCAATGGAGCGATTGTTTACAAGTGTGGAGTCCCGTGAAGGAGCTTTGGATGGAAAGTTTTGTTTTGTGTTTACCTCATAGTTAAAGTTGTTGCACGTCCGCCGGTTCCTGCCTCAAAATGAGTGAGTTTGAACCACTTGTACATCCCGGAAGTGTTCAGGAAAACAAAACAGCAGCGAAGAAACTCGACTCAGAGGAACATTTACACCTCACTGCCAACTAGTGTTTCGGAAGTGTTAATGCAGACCAACAGAGACAGCACGCAGAAGTATAAATGCACAGCTACGCGTTATACTTCTGCATATAGCTGGGCAATATGGCAAAAATGATCAAGAAAATGTCGATATCGATAATTATCATGATAAATGTCAAATCTTTATATCTATTAAACGTATAGGATTATAGCATGCCAATCGCTTTGTGCAGCTGATTTAACACATTTTGTGAGATGTTTGAGCTGTCTGACAATATAAACAACAAAAGAATCTTAATTCAGCATTTAGTAATCAAGGTTTCAATAACCAAAGACATCACCCTACAAGTTATTGGTAGGCCCACACGGAACCTGCGTGCGCAGAATCCGCAGATTTCTGCAGATTTTTAGCCCATCATTAATTCTGTTTAAATGTGTAAATCTGAATTTATTCCGTTTTTATTCAGTAATTTATTACTTTTATTTAATATATTAAGGTTTTAGTTATGATACTTCGCTGGATACTCCCAAACTAATTCAGCAGAAATCCGCAGATTTTTACCAGAATTCTCAGCAGAAATAGCAAAAAATGCAGAGTCCGTCTGGCCCTAGTAATTGGATATTATTGTTCAACAAAATAAATAAAATAAAACATGTTTGGAAAAGGTAAAAGGTGAGTTAATGGTCACAGAATGTTCTGCTTTGGATGAACTCCTCTTTTTAATGGTATGGTGAATTTAGGGTGAAAAATCCTTTAATGTATAGGCTACTTTATTTAAGGATGCTAACGATTACTTGATGACCTATTGATTGTCAATAACCCTTTAATTTATAGACCTTATCGATGACTGATTAAGCATGGACATTTAAAGGTTTAGTTATGCTTTGGGCTGTGAGACGCGCCCACGCATTACATAATCAAGTGCGTGCAGTTTACCTTACATAGTCACTCTCTTGACATTGAATATTGTGGGACGCATAAAAAAACTGTTGTGCACAGATCTCCGCTATATCTGATGGTGTTTTAATTTGACCTCACAGACTGGCACAAATAGGCCTAATGCAGACTCTCATTTTATATATCGCGCATCACGGTGAGACATGCGGGGAGCCTCTACAATAACTCAACGGGTTTCTGAGCTCTCTCATCCTTCAGATCGAGCTTATTCTTCCGAGGTAATCTAAGAAAACTGTAGCTGCGTCCCAAATCGCATACTTATGCACTATTCTACGCCATTTTGTTGTATAAATAGTGTTAGTAGTGTGTTCACACTGAAAACTCTAAAAATCATAAGTGCACTTTAATAACCCGGATGATGCACTCATTCAGCCGGTACAATGAAGTGTGTAATGATGGACACTTCACGCACTCAACGACCGCAGGTTTCCTTACGTAGCGAAAGGGGCGGAGCTATCACATGTTGGATAACTTTATTCATTTTGGATTGTGAAAGCAAAATTCTCCTACGAGAGTGATTATAGCGCCTCCCGATGGTGAATGCAGTTATACTCGCGGCAGGTATTTGATAATTCTGTCGTTTATTTCACTGATTTGGCGACCGTCAAACGTCTTCAGGGAAACGGTTTGAATTTCCACTTAGTAAAAAAACATCAGTGCTCCATTCGGGACGACACCACATACATATACTATCCTGTTGAGTGTGTAAGTGCCAGAAGTCGCTTTGGATAAAAGTGTCTGCTAAATGACTAAATGTAAATAAGTACATAGTGCATTGTGTGCCATTTGGGACGCAGCTTGACAGTGCTGTGAATAGCTTGTAAAGACTGTCCAGCTCATAGTGCTCAAACCGCGCTTCGTTAATGAATTAAAATGAAACCGTGAAAGTAGTTTAATGGATTGTTTTGGCGCTAAAGTATATTACGTATAGCGGACTTGTTTTAAAGCGCTTCACCTCAGATGTTATTCGTTCTTCTGGAACATTATAATTAAGTTACTCATTAAACATTACAAAATTCATTGCAAAAAGATTCATTTTTGAAGAAAAATATATAAAGTGTTTATATTTAGTTTGTCCCCGTCTTAAACAACTGCGGGTGGATGATGCTTCGCTCTGTGGAAAATAAGGACTTAATTAATGATCCACTGCTGTTGTAAACGTCTGTCATATATTTGCTGCATGTTTAATATGTCATACTTTGAAAGATTTTGTCTTGAGCATCTGATTTCTCCTCGGTGATGATGTCCTTCATAAAGGCTGGTTCTTTTACTGTCGATGAGGGACAATATGTATGAAAAATTCCAAAACAAATATCTTAATATTAAAAAGGAAACAGAACCTTGAATAGCCCCTTTCACACAGTGATACCGGTAAATATCTGGAAAATTTCCGGAACGACTTTACCGGTATATTCAAAAAAGTGCTGTTCACACAGGCGAGGACGTTACGGAAATTTTCCGGAAAAGATTGTTTACACATCCATTCCAAAATACCGGTAAATTCTGACATCATTCACCACAAATGAGCTTTAAACGGCTGCGCTGGTATTTGTAAACATTTGACTAAATTACAAACTCTTTTGATGATCAATATTGTGAACAACTTTCGCAGGATCACTTTCGCATGTCGAGATGTTCATAATATGTGCGTGTGCAGGCGCTCACAGGCTGTTTCAGAGGCACACGCAAAGCTTGAAGGTAAACAAACAACGGCTTATCATAAACATCTCATCGATGATTATTTACACAGTTGGCATTGAGAAGAACATATAAACGTGATCTGACTAACTTCTAGCAGCTAAATGTGTCTGGAAAAATATTTATTCTCACAAACCGCGCGGACGTAAATGCGTCTGACTGTTGTGATTGGCTAAAGCAGACGCCTCACGTCAGCACGTTCTAGACGTGCACGCGCTTATTACGGCAATCTTCCTTCTGCATTCACACAGCGCAGCATTCCGGCAATTTACCGGTAATGTTACAACTTCTCTTTCCGGAAAATAGCCAGAACGAATTTACCGGTATTTTCAAAAAGGACCTGTTCACACATACAACCTTTCCGGAAAATTGTCTGTATGTGTGAAAGGGGCTCTTGACAACAAAAGATCCTATCAATGTCGTAACAAATGCCCTTAAATAATGCAGCCTGTAGTTTACAGCAAGCATCAAGTGTTCATTGAGATGTGTTGTCTGTCATATCATCTGTCTCTTCAGGCTTTCTAAAATGATGACATGAGATTGTGCTGGGTGGTTGCGTTGGTTTACCAACACTTGTTTGGGTTTGTAATTTCGTTGCATCTTCATAAGGGTGGTCTTGTTTACATTTGAAACAGGTGTGTGGTGTTGCTTGCTTTTGATGGCACGAGTCGTCTGCGCAGTTTGCAGTGCACGTTGCTCTGTTTTGTGTCGGATAACAAAAAACTAAGCAGCTCAAGGCTACTGATGATCAGTTATGTTTCTTGTCAACAATGTCTGTGACCATTCTTATCTTATTTTTTTCTTACCCTTCCAAGTTCAACTAACACTGTACGGTTGTACACTTACTGTGTGCGGCATTTGGAAGGGCAGGCCTCCGCAGCATTATGCATAGTGCGTAAATATTATCTAACAGTTAGCGAACGGGCATTATCGGTTTATCGGAAAAAATATATATCGTGATAATTATCGAATTATCGCCCAGCTCTACTTCAGCATTTCCACTCTTGTTAACCGCACGGGTATGGTCTGGTCCAGCACAGCCTTCAAGTGGTCTCAGACACCTTGTCGAGGATGATGCCAATGTGCACTTCTCAAAAAAATGTAACTACACGTTGCGATGACACAGTGCAAGCTCTGTGTTTGGTCAGTTTGGTAGTGGTGACGAGTGTAGGCGAGGCCAAGAGCAACGAGGCCAAGTTGGACAGAGTGTTTAAGAAATACATAGAGTCCCATGGAGGAACTTCAGATGGAAGCTTTTGTTTTGTGTGTACTTTATGATTAAAGTTGTTGTACATCCGCCGGTTCCTGCCTTGTTCTGTAATGTTACTTCAGTGTAGACTTTATTAGATTTTGCTGTTTTTGGGGTTGAGGCACAGGTCACCCCATCATATCACATCAGAGTTTAATCAATGTAAATGCAACTGAACTAAAATGCACATTATTCTTCAACAGCAAAAACAAACGTCCCGTATTCTAAAGACAAACATTGTTCAGATAAAATGACACGATGTGAAAAAGAACAAAAACTGATGAAGTGCTTAAAAATGAACAACCTCACAGTTCTTCAGCCTCATTATTGAAGAGTAATGAATAAACACAAACCTATTAGTTCTTCAGTCTCTTCCTGTTTAATTCTGCAGGGTTCTGGATCACTCATCTTCTCACTGTCCTTCAATAAACTCTGTCTTTGTCTTTCACTGATGGTGGCAGAGCTTCAGGAGAACAAACAGAGAAATCTGATTCATTCACACTGATAAAAAAAATCATATTATGATGCAGATCTGAATGAGGAAAAAGGGACTATTGACTTATAAAGTAGATTTCAGCAGCTCTGATAATATTGATAAGCCTCTGACTATAAACACTCATTAAACAGACATTCAGGATCAGCAGCAGATCAGATTATTGAGTATTTGCAGATTGACCAGCCTGGCTTTAGAGGGGTTTTGGCCATTTCCACCCTGGTCTTGGCTAGTCAGGCTGGGAGATGATCGGCTAAAGCTTAGCCAGCTCAACCTAGCCAGCCAAAATTAGCTGTCAAGCTTAAACCAGGCTGGTCAAGCTGGTTTTAGCTGATTACTCCCCAGCCTGACCAATTAAAACCAGACAGGAAATAGCCAAAACCCCTTTAAAACAAATCTGGTCAACCAGCTAAAATCAGCCAACAAGCTTTGTCTGGTTTAAGGTGTTTTTTAGCTGGATGGGAAATCACAAAAAAAAAACTTTATTAATCAAAGTTCAAGTGTTTCCTGCAGCAGATTTCTTTTATTTACATTCATAATTAAAACCCACGTAGAAAACCTCATACACAATACAGAAAAGCCCAAACACATTCACTCATGTTGTCCTCTCAGAGCTGCTCTCTGCCTGCTGTATTGTTTTGGTCAGCAGACACACAGATAGAGGTGAACTCAATGCAGAAACTAGTCGCAGATTGTCGCTTTAATAAACTGTAAAGTGTGTTTTATTGTTGTGTAAACACGAGAAAAAGCGGCAACGACTCACCTCAGCTCTGAAGACTCGACGCTGCATAATCGCGTCACTGATGACGTCATCACGACAAGGCGGGCGCAACAGAAGACCGTCAAAAAAACAAACAAACATCAAAAACATTGCAAAGTAAATAACTTCTCTGACAAGCGAGAAAAAAAACAAACAAAAAATATTTTATTTTTTAGCTAAACATTTTAAATATTGTGCAAAAACAAGCAATTTTTTGTATTTTTATAGCTAAATATTTTAAATATTGTGTGAAAACAAACAAGCTCTACTTGTATCCATACACTTTTTTTTCCAACAAAAACTTTCTTTAAAATAATAATTAAAAAAATGAACAAATGTTTTTTAAAGTTTTAAAACTAAAATAAACTAAATCTATGCTCAACAATCCCTTCAGGTCGGTGTCCTCAGCAGTACATTCAAGGAGAACTTTTACGGCACACTGAAAATAATTAAACCATTGTGATAAAGTAAAAAATTACCTTATTAAATAAAAAGCTTAAAGCTTTATTAATTAAAGTCTTATGTTTGTTGGTGGTTGTATGGGTTTTGGCCAGATTTGGTAGCAATACATGAACAAAGGAAAATTAAGACCTGTTTAAAAAAAGATTTAAGACCTACAGCACAGTATTTCAGCAAATTTAAGACTTTTTCAGACCTAAAATTAGGATTTTGAGATTTAAGACATTTTAAGACACTGCAGAAACCCTGTAATTGGAGGAATGTAGGAATAATAAACAGGGGGCTAATAATTCTGACTTCAACTGTATATGTGGTAAATCTTAATAGCAGATAAAGAATTACAGTTGATAAATCTGTGTAAGCCTGGATAAGTTTATTGACTGTATCATGAAGCAAAATAATAAAGGCCTGAAATACTAAAACATTCGGATAGGGTGACCATATGTCCTCTTTAGGATTTCTAAATGTCAGCCTTTGCTTTTTAGAGTCCTTTTATGTTTAACTGGTTTCTTTCCAGCGTGAATCCTCTGGTGGCGTTTCAGATTTTCAGCTGTAGTATAACTCTTCCCACAAATAAAGCACACATGCTCTTTCATACCAGTGTGGATCTTCTGATGTTTTCTTAAATGTGACTTTCGTTTAAAACTCTTCTCACACTCAGAGCATGAATACGGCTTCTCCTCTTTATGAACACTAAGATGGAGCTTCAAATCTGCAGTCCTCAAAAATATCCTGTCGCATTGATCACATTTGTGTTTTTTCTCTCCAATGTGGATCATCATGTGTCGACTAAGGTCTGACGATTGTCTGTAACTCCTCCCACAATGAACACACTTGTGGTTTTTCTCTCCTGTGTGGATCAGCATGTGTCGATTAAGGTCTGACAATTGCATGAAACCGTTCCCACACTGAGCGCATCTGAATCGTTTCTCTCCAGTGTGAATCCTCTCATGTGTTGTCAGATTTTCTGACTCACTGAATGTTCGCTCGCAGTGTGAACACTTGTAATGTTTCTTTCCAGTGTAAGTCACCTGGTGTCTTCTCAGATAATGTGACTGGCTGAATCTCTTGTGGCAGTCTGAACACTTGTACGGTTTCTCTCCAGTGTGAGTCCTCTGATGTTGCCTTAAACCGTGTGGATAATTGTAACTCTTCCCGCACAAAGAGCATAGAAAAGGTTTAGTCTTTGAATGAACATTAAAGCAAATTTTCATGTCTTCATTCAGCTCTGAAAATCAAGTAAACAAAAAAGTTACATTCTAAGAGAGAAATGTCAAGTCAGGATGCTTTCACTTTCACTTCATCAAAACAAAAGCTACATTTTCAGAGAAAAATGTCAAGAAGGAATGCTTTCACTTTCACTTAATTAATCAAAAACGCTACATTTTAAGAAAAAAAGTCAAGTAGGGATGCTTTCACTTTCACTTAATTAATAAAAAAAAGCTTCATTTTAAGAAAAATGTCAAGTAGGGATGCTTTCACTTTCACTTAATTAATCAAAAACGTTACATTTTAAGAAAAAAAGTCAAGTAGAGATGCTTTCACTTTCACTTAATTAATAAAAAAAGCTTCATTTTAAGAAAAATGTCAAGTAGGGATGCTTTTACTTTCACTTAATTAATAAAAAAAGCTCAATTTTAAGAGAAAAGTCTCAAGTAGGGATGCTTTCACTTTCACTAAATTGATCAAAAACAATACATTTTAAGAAAAAAGGACAGTAGGAATGCTTTCAGTTTCACTTAATAAAAAAGCTCCATTTTAAGAAAAAAGTGTCAAGTAAGGATGCTTTCACTTTATTAATCAAAAAAGTAAAATTTTAAGAGAAAAGTGTCAAGTAGGGATGCGTTCACTTTCACTTAATTAGTCAAAATAAAGCTACATTTTAAGAGAAAAGTGTCAAGTAGGGACGATTTCACTTTCACTTAATTAATCTTTAAGTGTGTTTCTATTACAAATTTAAACAAATCTTTAATGATATTGTGAAAGGTTGATGCAAAATTATCAATGTTATACAACTTCATTCTTTCATTCGCAACAGGTTTACTTATATCACACTCAACCTACTTATTTTTCACTAAAGGAGAAGTATTAGCATTATAAAAGCTTTCATGTCAAGGCAAGAGACCGGCCACATATACGTTTTAAACGTGGCAAGTTTACACCGTTTACAAACTTTACACTGGCTACTATTCATCGTGACAAAGAGTCATCTCTGCAGTGTTGTCCTATGAAAAGTTATAAATAAATATTTGCAGAAATGTGAGGAGTGACATACTGTGTGTGTGTGTGTGTGTGTGTGTGTGTGTGTGTGTGTGTGTGTGTGTGTGTGTGTGTAAATATATATATATATATATATATATATATATATATATATATATATATATATATGAAGAGTTCAGATCCAAAACTCTCTAAATGAGCATTTTCTATCAGGCTCCTTTGATTAGGTTCAGAAGTTTCATTTTATATGTAATGATAAGGTTATGAGCTGGTAAATAAAATACCTTTTTTTTTTTAAAATGTCCCATTAGACCATTCTTTGGTTTTTAATAAGGTAAATTTTGTGTTTTTTTTATTTTGTGTAAAAACTTCAAAACCACTTCTGCTTTTTGAGCAAAAACCTCTAAATCCACCTATTGGGACAAGACCGTGTAATTAGTTGAAAATCACTAAAGATGCAATTATAAATTATTTTACCAAACATAAAACACATTACACAAACAACCTATAATTAAAAATATATATGTCAAGTAAGTGGCGGCTCATTCCTCTGTGGTAACCCCTGACAAAAACAGAGATTAAGCAACTATGTTCAGTGTTTGTGTGTGTGTGTGTGTGTGTGTCGGGGGGGTTGATTACCTTTGACATGATGTTTCTCCTCATCTTCACTCAGTGCTTCACTCTTCTCCACCTTAACATCTGAAAATAAAGTACATAAGTTACATGACAGTGTGTAAAAGCCGACAGTGCTCAAGGATAGATTCTGATCTAATATAATCATTAACACAATTAGGATTAGTTTAGGTTAGAAATGCCCAAAGTAGGGCCTGCAGGCTAAAGTAGGGCCCATTGTAACCTTTGATTTGGCTCACCACACCATCTGAGAAGCGAGTGAGATGGTTGGAGATGGTTGGGGCGAATACCTTAAGTGCAAAGATCATCATTTCTAATTTGACGTTATTCTGTTTCGTTTTATTGCTGAGCAACAAACTCAAATCAAATGTTTTAATTACATGTTGTAAATGAATCGGATTTTTTAAAATGTAAACAATTTCACCTGAAAGGTAGAGGACTATGCAGAAAGAAGTGCCTTTTAAGATATTTATTTCAGCTTTGTTGCCAGAGGTTCAGCTATTATTGGCTGTATTTTTACTTATTTAGTGGGGACAATAAATTTATGCTGCTTTACAAACTTTACACTGACTATATTTCATTGTGTCAAATAGTCATTTCTGCAGTGTTGTCCTATAAAAAGACAGAAATAAATATTTGCAGAAATGTGAGGGGTGACATACTATACAGGCTGTATACCCTCTAAATCCATCAGATCTCTTTCCTTGTAAATGAGCATTTTCTATCAGGCTCCTCTGATTAGGTTCAGAAGTTTCATTTTATATGTAATGATAAGGTTATTAGCTGGTAAATAAAATACCTTTTTTTTCCAAAAATGTCCTTTTAGACAACTCTTTAATAAGGTAGATTTTCTTTTGGGTCAAAACTGGCTAAATTCACTTTTGCTTTTTTTTTTTTGCAAAAACCTCTAAATCCACCTATTGAGACAAGACCAAACATTTGGGACCATTTTACCAAACATAAACTACCTTTCCTAGTATACATAAATATGTCAAGCAAGTGGCGGTTCATTCCACTGTGGTAACCCCTAATAAACCAGAGATTAAGCAGAAGGATAAAGAATGAATGAAATTAATCAATAACATTATTAAATCCTGACATTAAGTAAATCTTAATCTGTTGTCATTTCGGTTATTTGGGATTTAGATCTAATGTAAGTAGAGCAGCGTAAACACTGCAAACATTGTAAAATAAGCTTGGTAGATTCAAATGATGTAGTGTAAAAACAATGTGAAACATCAATATCTGTGCATTATTCATTAATATAAAAGCTAATCAGAGGTAATGTATAGTTTTACACATTATATTTATCTTTTAAAAAGTGGTTCTGAATGCGCTGATGCTGGGATTTAGATGATTTGAAGCATAAATATTTATCGAACATGCTACGTGCCTAAAGCATTTACTTAATGTCATTAGCTCATTTTTGGCAGAAATGCCGTTTAGCAGCTTTTGCATCTGAACTGTGTATATATATATATATATATATATATATATATATATATATATATATATATATATATATATATATATATATATATATATATATATGAGCAATATCACACGAGTAGCAGTGCGATATGGCTGTATACCGGCACTGGTGGGAGGCGTGCGTTGGCACAAGGCAGCAGGCCGAGTGCCTTAGTGCCCCCACCAGTGAAATGCCAAAAAATGAGCTAATGACATTGAGTGAATGCTTTAGGCACGTAGCATGTTCGATAAATATTTATGCTTCAAATCATCTAAATCCCAGCATCAGCGCATTCAGAAATAACAGTTTGTTGGCAAAAGCCGCTTTACGCCACTTCCCTTTGACAGCAAAAGCCGCTATATCCCGAGAACCAATCAGAAGTTTGATGTTATAATAGTGTATATAAAAACAAAATCAAACATGGAGAGTCTCTAAAACCCTTTTGTATGAGGAACTACTTTCGTTCGCGTTGGATTCAAATCATAAGCTGACAGTTAAACAGCAGAGCAAGCATATTTTAAACTTTATATCTGTAGTGTCTGATTTTTGCTGGCTGTATGTGGGCAGAGTAATACACAAAGGGTAAAGAGGCTGTACTAGTGCTGATATTGCTTAAATATATCACGGCTATCAGCCAACCAGATTCGAGAACGAGACAGAACTGTTTATATATATATATATATATATATATATATATATATATATATATATATATATATATATATATATATATATATAGTATTTTTTTCTAGGGCGAAATTAGAGCACCCTAAGTGCTATGACGGTTTTGTTCATTATAAAACTATGTTCAGTGTTTGTGTGAATTTTTTTTTGTTTACTTTTGACATGATGTTTCTCCTCATCTTCACTCAGTGCTTCACTCTCTTCCACCTTCACACCTGAAAATAAAGTACATAAGTTACATGACAGTGTGTAAAAGCCGACAGTGCTCAAGGATAGATTGTAATCTAATAAAATATAATCTTTAATACATTTAGGATTAGTTTAGGTTAGATATGCCCAAAGTAGGGCCCATTGTAACCTTTGATTTGGCTCACCATACCAACTGAGAAGCGAGTGAGATGGTTGGGGCGAATACCTTTAGCACAGAGATCCTGATTTCTAATCTACCATTACTTTTGTTTGTTTACTGCTGAGCAACAAACTGAAATCAAATGTTCCAATTACATGTTGTAAATGAATCAGATTTTTTAAATGTAAACAATTTCACCTAAAAGGACTATGCAGAAGACACCGGTGAGCAAATCAAGGCAAAAACTAGTGTAACTCCATTTTGTTCAACATCAGAGTGTTTTTGTATTTACTGTAATAAGTTCTGTGCTGTGTCAGCTAATATTAATGTTTTCTAGTTCTTTTTAGATATTATTAAATAAACTAGGACATCACCCATGGCAACTACATTTACCTTCAGCCCACTAGCCTCAATCAAGGTTGGTTTTTGGTCCTTCATAGGAAACAGTTTGGGCGCCCCTGATTTAGGTGAATTAAGTTCATAGTGAGCCGTTTACATTAAACTTGTGGTACAAAAGCTGAGATGCAGAAACATTTGACCACCTAAACATCAGTCAAACACACAAGCGCTCTTATTCATGAGCATTTCACCATATGTTTAAGTGTTATTTGTAAGAATTTGAATTTATAATGAGCACAGCGCCATCTGCTGATGATGCTTACAACCTGTTTGATAAATTCCTCAGATTAGACTGGTCAGACCCTGTTTTAGTTATTGAGCACTCAGCGAGCTGTCTATTTGTAATGAAACTAAGTATTTTGGTTTCTGTCGTGTAAACAAACGCTACCTTAAATAAATAATTAATCATTTAGAAACTTATTTATCTCTTAGACCCAGAAATGAATTTGTCCCACAAAACTCTCTCACAGACACTGGAGCGTTTCAAAACCGAGTCTATCAGAGGATTCTCTATTCACTGAATGATTAAATTTACAGTTTTAATAAATTTTAAGCTTAAATTAAACATATTCCACACACAAATATATTCAAATAAGATTACAAGTAATAGAAAAAAAATAAAACTGGTTAAGTTCTTAAAGATTATCGAGGAGTATTGAATAAACACAAACCTATTAGTTCTTCAGTCTCTTCCTGTTTAATTCTGCAGGGTTCTGGATCACTCATCTTCTCACTGTCCTTCAATAAACTCTGTCTTTGTCTTTCACTGATGGAGAATAAACAGAGAAATCTGTGTCATTTACACTCACCGATGAAATAAATTTTATTATGATGCCATATCTTATAGGTAGGGCCAGTTGGAATCTGGGGACATTTTTTTTTGCTATTTCTGCGCAGAATTGTGTTAAAAATCTATGGATTTGTGCAGAATTAATTTGGGAGTATCATAACTAAAACCTTAATATATGAAATAAAAATACATTTTTAACTTGTATTTAATGCTTACAATGCAAATCCAACTAGATTCACTTTATTTGGTAAACAAAGCAAGTCTCTCATATAATATCTCTACTAAAAGACAGAAAATTTTACTGTACAGACTATATTGTAAATAAATCAATAATAATTTTAAAATATATAGTCCTATTAATCAATAATAGTACTGTAATTAATTTAAAAACTGAATGAATATAAATTTACACACATTTACACAAGTAAATAAACAGAATTAATAATGGGCTTAAAATCTGTGGAATTCTGCGCGCGTAGATTCCATGTGGGCCTACTCGTAGGTCAGGGGTGTCCATACTCTGTCCTGTGTTGTTTAGCTCCAACTTCTTTCAACACACCTGCCTGGAAATGTATAGTATACCCAGAGAGAGCTTGATTAGCTGGTTCAGGAGTGTCTAAGTGAGGTTGGCACTAAAATTATTCAGGACTTTCTAGACATTCTAAATATTGTAGGATGTGTTGAGAGAAGTTGGAGCTAAAATCTGCAAGACACCGGCCTTCGAGGACTGAGTTTGGATACCCCTGTTGTAGTTGATACAATACGAAATTCACTATATGATATTACTGTATGTATTTTGCTCCTATAACATTCAATTAAAAGTATCAGTCTGATGAAGTAAAAGCAGAAGCTATTGATATGAAATAAAGAGGATTTCAGCAGCTCTGATATTTCCATTTTTTTTTATTTCAGAATCGATTGGTACTGAATAATATATTGTGACAACTCTACCACATTACGACAAAATTTGCTTATTACACAACTAAAAATGTGCTAGAAACAATACCGTTTTTCAAAATGTGTTTACATTTGGAATAACAGAATTATAAAGTAATCTTACTCAAACTCAATTGCTGGAGGGCCGCAGATCTGCACAGTTTAGTTCCAACCCTAATTAAACACACCTGATCAAACTAACCGAGTCCTTCAGGCTTGTTTGAAACCTACAGGTAAGTGTGTTGGAGCAGGGTTGGAACAAAACTGTGCAGGGCTGCAGCCCTCAGGGAATTGAGTTTGACATCCCCGATCTAGCATCATATGGATGTCTATGTTATCCAGTGCACGTTCATGACTTCAGGGGACGTGGCTTTGGATGGCAGGGAGGGATATGCATTCTCAATGCTTTGCTGTTAGCATTATCCCAGATCTTCTTCTACACTTTAAACCATAAACTATTACTTTAACGTTTTCAGCATCAACTTTCATTAATCTGTTGTGGTAGATTCCCATTATGTCCCTTCACAGATTATACTTTGCGATATAACAAATTTGGAAAGACTTAAACACTAATGTAAACACAGATAAACTCAAACACTTCACTCATATTGTCCTCTCAGAGCTGCTCTCTGCCTGCTGTATTGTTTTGGTCAGCAGACACACAGATAGAGGTGAACTCAATGCAGAAACTAGTCGCAGATTGTCGCTTTAATAAACTGTAAAGTGTGTTTTATTGTTGTGTAAACACGAGAAAAAGCGTCAACGACTCACCTCAGCTCTGAAGACTCGACGCTGAGTGAACGCGTCAGTGCTGACGTCATCAATGCGTGGCGGGAGCAACGGTGGATCAACAAAAACGCGCCAATTTAAAATACTGCTGACAGGACAAAACAATCGCTAATGTAGAGAAAAGGCCATCTTATCAAATACGTGTTAGGTGAAATATTGTTTATTAGGCCCTTTAGAAAGATACATTCACAGTTAAAATGAAAAGGCAAACATTATTCGTGGCTGATAAGTAAAAAAAAATAACTTTTTTTAAAGCTAACTACTATTAATACACATAGCTACACTATAAAATATGTTGAAATACTTAATACAAGAATTACAGGTGCTCAATCTGCCCAAGACAATTTTTTATACTTAATTACATAGATTGTATCATGAAGCAAGATGTCAAAGGCCTAATATGGCATTTAAACAGAGTGACCATACACCATCTTTTGGGGGATTTAGCTTTCTAGAGTCCTCATTAAAAGTATGCGTTTTTGCATTGCTTTATAAAACATTTACTTCTCTTTAAGTCTGATTTATACTTTTACATGGCTCCACAGCTGACTGCACACATAGCCATTAGATGTAGAGGCTTTTATACTTGACACGCTCACAGTTTTACTAATATTTGTAACAACAGGAGGCGACTAAAGAGAATAACTATTATCATCAAACAGTGGAAAAAAAAACATTTCAGCGCATGGAGTTGCTGAATGAATTTAATTATATATATATATATATATATATATATATATATATATATATATATATATATATATATATATATATATGAACAGGTGGTAGATAAATTTGGAGGACACTTATGAAAATGTTTACCACACCAATATTGGCCAGTCATGTGCACATGTAAACATTGGTCAGTGCATCTCGATCCCTCAGTAGGCCTAAAAGACAACAGTGAACATCTTTACCTGTCAGTGGGTGCGCATGTCTCCTGAATAGCTTGAGGAGTAAAAGTAGATGTTTTCCTAATTGATTTAAACTGATTTTGTATGGAGCTAATAATATTCCAAAACTATGTGAATTTAAATTGTGTTAATTTGAATTATTGGGGCGAGGCAGTGGCGCAGTAGGTAGTGCTGTCGCCTCACAGCAAGAAGGTCGCTGGTTCGAACCTCGGCTCAGTTGGCGTTTCTGTGTGGAGTTTGCATGTTCTCCCTGCCTTCGCGTGGGTTTCCTCTGGGTGCTCCGGTTTCCCCCACAGTCCAAACACATGCAGTTCAGGTGAATTGGGTAGGCTAAATTGTCCGTAGTGTATGAGTGTGTGTGTGGATGAGCCAGAGATGGGTTGTGGCTGGAAGGGCATCCGCTGCGTAAAAACTTGCTGGATAAGTTGGCGGTTCATTCCGCTGTGGCGACCCTGGATTAATAAAGGGACTAAGCCGACAAGAAAATGAATGAATGAAATGATGAATTTGAATTATTACGGATGGAAAAGCACAGTTTCTCAGCTTTTCGGTATAGTCCGGTCCCCATAAGTACCGAAGTACCGAACCCCCCCAGGCTTTACATCGGATATCACTTAGCCAGTGGAGATTACAGATTTTTAAAGAAAACAGACCTTAAACGCCCTGATTTTGCAATGGCATACAATTCACCGGAAGCGCTTAACCAAGGTTACTGGCAAATTAAAAGTCCTTTAGCATACTTCGGCATATACCCCATTGTCAATAATTCAAATGAACACAATTTAAATTCAGATTGTTTTGATGTATTATTAGCTACATAATTTAGAACTTACTTAAACCACCTGAACAAAAGAATAGCGTCAAAAATGTGTTAAAGGTGCAGTATGTAAGATTGACACCCATTGGCACTCTAAAATCAAAACACTGTTTGACTCCGCCCCTCCTCTGATGACTCAAATGCAGGTACACTGAAGCAGCCTTCATGACTGAAATGAAATACGGTGTGTTTTCCACCAAGGCGTTGAAATATAACGGAGTAAACTTTCAGTGGGCTGGGTATAGAGACCACAACAAAGACAGACATTTTCAAAAGAGAATAACTGACTTCAGCAATGTTTTTCAGATAGACAAATATATTCACTTAACATGTTTCTAACATATCTGCAAACACATTATGGTATATTTAAGCTTTAGAAGAGACAAAAACTTACATACAGCACCTTTACATACTGAACCTTTTTGCTGTCTAGAGAGTAAATCCAGATCAAATAGGACTCTGTTTTCATTTCAGTTTCCTTTCAAAAGATGTAAGTTCATTAAGCACCATCTAACAGAAAAATCACTTGAGTGTGAATGCTGAAAAACGTGTTGAAAACATTGGCCTTAATGTTTCTTCAGCTCTGCAGCCCTTAAAAATGTCTTGCCACGTTGATCACTGTTTTCCCTCCACATGTTGTTTGAGGTTTGATGACTTTGTGAAGCTCTTCCCACACTCCGCATCTGTGTTTTCTCCAGTGTGCATCCTCTGGTGCTGTTTCAAATATCCAGCTTTATTAAAAGTCTTCCCACATTTAAGGCACACATGCTCTTTCACAGCAGCGTGCATCTTCTGATGCTTACTTAAATGTGACTGTCTTTTAAAACTCTTTCCACACTCGGAGCATGGATAAGGTTTATCTTCTGTGTGAGATCTAAGATGGATCTTCAGATCTGAAGTCCTCAGAAATGTTTTGCCGCATTGATCACATTTGTGTTTTTTCTCTCCAGTGTGGATCAGCATGTGTCGATTAAGGTCTGATGATCGTACGAATGTCTTCCCACACTGGTCGCATGTGTGCGGTCTCTTTCCGGTGTGAATCATCTCATGCATTTTCAGATTTTCTGAATTGCTATATGTTTTTTCGCAGCGTGAACACTTGTAACGTTTCCTTCCAGTGTGAATCACCTTGTGCTTTTTCAGATACTCTGGCTGACTGAATGTTTTGTCGCAGTGCGAACACTTGTACGGTTTCTCTCCAGAGTGATTCCTCTGATGTTTTCTTAGTATATGTGAACGATTGAAACTCTTTCCACACAAAGAGCATGAAAACGGCTTCAGCTTTAAATGAACTTCAAAGTAATTCTTCATGTCTTCACTCAGTTCTGAAAATCAAGTAAACAAAAAAGTTACATTTAAGACCAAAATGGGAAGTAGGGATGCTTTCACTTTCACTTTCACACAATTAATCAATAGGCAGGTTTCCATTACAAACTTGCAGAAATCTTTAGTGAAATTTTGAGTGTCAATTTAAAAACAGGTGAATTTACAGCCATACATGTATTTATTAGTGTTGTCTAGAGAATAATTTTTTAAAAATCTAATTATTGTTTACATGTTGTGGTGAATAATTAATCAAAAAAAATCAACGATTGCCTGATGGTGATCATAAAATTAATTAAGACGATGTTGTCTGATGATTCTGGGTCAGGAAGCGGTATTCTCCCCGTGTTCTTCGTTTGTTCGCTCCTCGTTATTTTGTTTAACCCCTTGATTTTTGTAGGAATGTAACACATATAATTGCACATGCTTGCAAATTACATTTCTAATCAATATTGACCATTGTGGCGAGGGGGCGTCGCCGAGAGCCGTGGGAACGGAATGAGGCAGCCACGTGAGCGGATGCACCTGTGCTGCGCACCGGCCTCGGATCCCACAGAAGGAGCTCTGGACTATAAGAGGAAGCCGAGAGAGGACCGGGCCCGGGCATATTGTTTTACTTTTGCTTTCAGTTTGACGGCAGTCTCCGTGAGGAGCTGCTGTCCGTTTGTTTTGGTTTAGACGGCAGTCTCCGTGAGGAGCTGCTGTCCCTGTTATTAATAAATAATTTAAACCTGTGTCGGTTCTCCGCCTCCTTCTTCCCGGCGGCCAAAGGGCCGTGAACTTCATTACAACCATAAACCAATGTCCAAGGTAACGCCCTGATTATTTTGTTTATTACTGAAAACCAGCCTATCAACTAAATTGCAATGACTAAGGCATTCTTATTGAATATATGCCTCACTAATCAAAAGTACTACTTTTCCTTTAACTCTTGTCCTGCCAACATTCTTTATGAGTTTCACCTAAATTTGACAGTCCTCAGAATATTTTCAACTAGGAATATGACTAAATTACATATTAAAATAAAGAACCACGCCTCTGCTTTCAAAATAAATACACACACACACATATATATTTATATTCTATACTCATGCGTTCATGTTTTATACCCCCTTATGTGCAGAAAGGGTTAATGAAAATGTATTTTTCTAACAGTAGTGCACTTTATAGTACAACCCCAAATCTGAAAAAATCGTAACAGTATGGAAATGCAAAAAAGTAGTGGTTTCTAAATTTACTTTGACTTGCATTTCATTTCAGACAACACAACAAACAATATTTAATGTGTTCCTCATGATTTTTATTGTTTGTTTTTTCAAAATAAAGACGTATTCCAATTTTGGTTATTGCAACACATTTCAAAAATAGTTGGAACAGCAACGCATGTACCACTTTGTAATGTTGCCATTCCTTTTCACAACACCTAAAAGGCGTTTAGCGACTGAAGACAGTAATTTTGTTCAATTGTTCCTGCAAACAAGCCTTGAGGTGGGCAACAGCACAAGGTCTTCATTGTCGCATTTTGCACTTCAAAATGTGCCACACATTCTCCATTAGAGACAGGTCAGGACTGCAGGCAGGCCAGTCAAATACCTGTATCCTCTTCCTCCACAGACAGGACTTTGCATTGTCTTGTTGAAATATGCAAGAGCATGCCTGGAAAAGGTGGCAGCATATTGTGCTCCAAAATCTCTACGCACTTTTCAGCATTATTGGTGTTTTCACGGAAGTGCAGGTTACCTATGCCAAGGGCACTGACACATATCCAGACCATAACAGACCCTGGCTTTTGCATTTGTTGCTGGTAAGTCTGGATAATCCTTTTGTTTTTGGTCCTGAGCACATGGTGTCCATTTCTTTAAAAAAAAAAAAAATACCTGAAATACTGATTCCTCTGAGCACAGTACACATTTCCACTGTCTGATGGGCCATCCCAGATACCTCCGAGCCCAAAGAAGATGACGGCGCTCCTGGACACTGTTAACATAGGGCTTTTTTTTTGGCAGATTACAGTTTTAACTAGCATTTATGGATGTAACTATGTATTGTGGTACTTGACAAAGATTTGCCACAGTATTCCTGAGCCCATGTGGTGATCTGGCTTATAGATAAATGAGGATTCTTGATGCAGCGCCTCCTGAGGAATCGGAGATATATGCGCTTGCACCCCCGTTCTTCACGCACTGAACTTTCTCCAAATTTCTTTGATTTTTTTTGATGATGTTCTGCATTGTTGAAGGTGAAAAGTCCAGTTGTCTTCCTCTCTTTCTCTGAGGAACATTGTTTTAAATATTTCAATTTTCTCATGTGTTTGTTGGCAAATTGGCGATGCTCCGCCCATCTTTTCTCCTAAAGGACTAGACCTTTCCTGGATGCTGCTTTTGCATCAAATCATAATTACAATCATCTGTTGACATCAAATGTTTTAAATTATTTAAAGAATTTAGCTGATTTCTAGCCCTAAAGTGATCCTGTCACAACTTTATTTGGATTGTGTTGCAGGTCTGAATGACAGGAAATGTATATTTACAAATGAAAGTTCAGCAGAAAAACATGAAATATTTTGTGCTCATGTTGTCTGCAATGAAATACAAGTCAAATTAAATTTGAAAATCACCGCTTTCTTTTTTATTTGTGTTTTTCATACGGTCACAACTTTTTCTGATTTGAGGTTGTATTTAAAACACACACACATACTCTACATCAGGGGTGTCAAACTCAATCCCTGGAGGGCTGAAGCCCTGCACAGTTTAGTTCCAACCCTGCTCCAACACACTTACCTGTAGGTTTCAAACAAGCCTGAAGGACCCAATTAGTTTGATCAGGTGTGTTTAATTAGGGTTGGAACTAAACTGTGCAGAGCTGCGGCCCTTTTGGAACGGAGTTTGACACCTGTGCCCTACATACATACACATACAGTCAGTCACACACATGTGTATGGGTGTGTACATGTACACAAGCTCCTAAAGCTGGGACTCGAACTCGGAACGCCCAAAGTGCATTAGCGCTATTCGTCAGCACACAAAATATTTGTGATTTTAATAAACTATTAAGTTTGAACATAAGACGTATCCTGACGTATCTTCTTTTCTGTACGTTTCAGGTCCATAACATTAAACATTACTGAATCTTTAGACGATCAACTTACCGTGAAATTTTTTGGTATGGGTTTGTAGTATAAATATATCCATGAAACTCCTCCCACAAGCTATGCAGCGATATGGTTTCTCTTTGGGATGAATCTTCCTGTGTGCTTTCAGGTCTCGTAATTTACTGAATCTCTTGTCGCAGTGGGAACACTTGTAAGGTTTCTCTCCGGCGTGGATCTTCATGTGAATGATGAGACCGTATTTGCGGCTGAATCTCTTTCCACACTGAGTGCAGGCTAAACTTTTCACAGCTGTGCTGTTCATTGAAACACTACCATCTGTGTTTGTGCGAGTTTCTTCTTCACTTTTGACATGATGTTTCTCCTCATCTTCGATTCCCCACAGTACTTCACTCTCCACCTTCACCTCTGCAAATAAAGTAAATAAGTCACATGACAGTGTTAAGTGGCAGACGGGGCTCAATGATAGTTTGTAATCTAAAATAACCATTAATAAATTTAGGAAAACTTTAGGTGAATCACACACAAGTTCATAGTTTGATTGGGTGTGATTCTGTCTGTGATATCAATTTCCTGCATTTCTGACAGGATTGCATGTTCATGGTTGGACTGGCCCCAGAAGTAAAAGCAGATCATAATCGGAATAAAGTGAAAGGAATGCCAGCAATCAGGCCTCACACCTGTATTGGCCATGGTTGTTGGACAAATGTGGGAAGGGGAAGTGAATGACTGAACTTGAGCTGCTGGCAGAGGGATCCTCCCGTTGGAGATGCATAGTGAGTGGGCCATTGGTGGAAAGAGGGCTGAGTAAACTAGTGATCTAGTTTGCGCAGTATTGGTGGTTTGCGTATCGGGACAATATTGGTAGGAGTTGTAAACTAGGATCTGATGGATTGTATTGCGGGGGGAAAAGAGGGTGGAATTGATGGCCACTGGCTCCATTAGCAGAGAGAGCCTCTGCTTGGGTCAGCACCAGGAGTAAGCAAAACAGGGGGAGTGGGAAATGGCGGGTCTCAGGATCGGTGCCGCTACCGAAGGCAACCTCACGCTAGAACTGGATAGAGGGGTTATGACCCAAGGGAAAGGAGAGGATTAGGATTTTGAAATGAAAAAAGGCTGATGATGCGTTTCCACTGGCATCTTGCAAGTATCGCTCGGCTAAGTATTGCCTGGTAACCCCTAGGTACAGCAACTCTATTGGCATGTTTTGTCAAGTCCCAAAACACCGGATGTCGGCCTGGACGTAGGAGGAGCTGTGTCGTTATTCCTCAGGGAATAAATCTAACTTGGACATAGTAACAGAGATTGGATATGATAATGTTGGATGGAGCAATGAGGAAGCTAGGATGTTCTAATTATTATTCATTAAGTTGACTTATTATTATTATAGGAGTTCTCTTGTAAATGACTGAATTAAGGCAACGCGGTGGCGCAGTAGGTAGTGCTGGTTCGAGCTTAGGCTGGGTTTCTGTGTGGAGTTTGCTTGTTCTCGCCGAGTTTGCATGGGTTTCCTCCGGAGTCCAAACACATGCGCTATAGAAGAATTGGATAGGCTAAATTGTCCGTACTAAGGGCATCCGCTGCGTAAAACATGTGCTGGATAAGGTGGCGGTTCATTCCGCTGTGGCGACCCCGGATTAATAAAGGGACTAAGTCGAAAAGAAAATGAATTAATGATTGAATGAAGGCGAGATTGCTAATGATGAGCCTATTATCTTATCTTAGTGTGCTTCTCCCAAATTAGAAAAGCCCAGGGCCATCTGCTGATGAAAATTTCAGCAAGTTAGGTACCAATTAATTAAAGAGAATTGCAGGTTGTTGAGTAGGATCTTAAACAGCCGTGTTAATAAACTCAACGGATATGTCTGTGATTGGCTACAACAGTCATCGCTTCACAGAATCTTTACACTGAGAGAAGAACATTGGAGCATTTTAAAGCTGTGTCTATCAGAGGAGCAGATATACGAGTGATTCGCTATTGAGTGTTTTATTAGTAATTTTACTGTTTAATGTTACTTCAGTGTAAAAAGTGAAAAACAAAACAACCTCACTGTTCTTCAGCTACATTATTGAAGATTAATGAATAAACACCAACCTGTTTGTTCTTCAGTGTCTTCCTGTTTAATTCTGCAGGGTTCTGGATCACTCATCTTCTCACTGTCCTTCAATAAACTCTGTCTTTGTCTTTCATTGATGGCGGCAGAGCTTCAGGAGAAGAAACAGAGAAATCTGATTCATTTACACTGATTGAGGAAATAGATCTTATTATGATGTTATATCTTGCAGGTGATAGCATTAAGAAAAATAATTGGTTAAAACAAAACTAAACTACTGACAGGAAATAAAGAGGATTGGCCTCAGAGACCTGTGGGTCATCATGTGTCGATTACGGTCTGACGACCGTATGAAACTCTTCCCACACTGAGTACATGTGAACGGTTTCTCTCCAGTGTGAATCCTCTCGTGTGATCTCAGACTTCCTGACTCACTGAATGTTTTCTCGCAATATGAACACTTGTAAGGTCTCTCTCCAGTGTGGATCGTCTGATGTCTTCTTAAACTGTGTGGATGATTGTAGCTCTTTCCACACAAACAGCATGAAAAATGTTTCATCGTTGAATGAACATTAAAGTGATTCTTCATGTCTTCGTTACGCTCTGAAAATCAAGTAGGGATGCTTTCACTTTCACTTTTAAACACTTTAAATCATTATGCATGTTTCAATGCAAACACTTCAAATAAGTGTTATAAGCTCCACAATTATCCTAACTAATAAAATCTGGAAGGGCTAGACCTTTAGATTATAAACTTACCAAGAGATTTGTGCGTGTGTCTTCGTAGAGAAAATGTATCCCTGAAACTCTTCCCACAGGCAATGCAGAGAAACCCTTTAGTGTGAATCTTCTTGTGTGTTTTCAGGTCTTGTAATTTACAGAATTTCTTGTCGCATTGTGAACACTTGTACGGTTTCTCTCCAGTGTGGATCCACATGTGACGCTTGAGATCAAATTTTCGCCCAAAATTTTTTCCACACCGAGTGCAGACGAAACCTTTTACAGCTGTGCTGTTCAGTAAAACACTGTGTTCAGTGCTTGTGTGAGTTTCTTCTTCACTCTTGACATGATGTTTCTCCTCATCTTCACTCTCCACCTTCACATCTGTAAATTAAGTAAAAACATGTCAGTGTGTAACAGCAGACAGTGCTCAAGGATAGTCCCTAATCTTACATATCTTTATTAAAGTTAGAAAAGGTTTAAGTGTATAACACACAAGTTCATAGTAAGCTGTCTTTACATTAAACTTGTGGTATAAAATAGGCTTGTGCAACCCTGCCAGTCCTACACAACCCAACCCGCTCCAAGCTGGTACCAAACCGGCGACCTTCTGCATGGGAGTCGGTTGCTCTAACAAGGAGGCTAAAGACCATGGGTCTAGCGTCTGTTGCTAGAGCACCTTAACTTGCACGATTAATTGATTTTAAACTGAAATGGCTATTTGAAAAGGTGTGCTGTTCAGATCGCAAAAGCTGTGATTATTTTGATTATTATTTTTCACAATATCAATTATTTACAATTTTGTTTTAAACAATAACTAAGGGTAAACAAGAACATTCAAAACCCCTTAGTGCCCCACATAGATATATACACTAGATGTCGCCTGGCCTATTGTTGTCTTTTGGACGGAATGCGTCAATAGCGCCGCCATCTTGCTACAGGGCAGCGCTCCTTTGAAATGAATGCGGGACAAAGGTACAGTGGAGGTCTGTGGCCATGCAAAGCCAGAGATATACACATATACACATATATCTATGATCGGGAGTTTTCCTGGATGTTAGTATGCACTTTTTTTTTTCTAATTACGAAAATTATAATAATTTTACATCACTTTTCTACATTGTTGGATCAGTGACCGCACAGGCATTCCTGATAAAAAGCTTGTGTTTGTGTGTACAGAAATGTACTATTCACATTCACCCTCCCTGTTAAATTTGATCTAATCATGTCCTGAAACACAGCTCCTCTCCTGCTTTCACTTCTCATACTGACGGAGGGAGCGATTCGTTTGTGAATGAATCTCCGTTATGAACGACTCGTTCACTAGCCGACAATAATACAAGTTTCTGGCAGAGCAGCGTCTCATTGTCATATTTCTTTTGCATTGTTTGCTGATTTTATTCAACAAAACTAGCATAAAACTAGCATAAAACTGTGCTTTGTTTGCTCATTACTACACCCGTAGACAGCGCTAAAGTCCCGCATCTTCACGTAATAACACTGTCTTGACTAGTGCGCTTGAATGACATTTGTCCTGGGAGCACTGTACCAATGTGGCGGCGCTATTGACACATGCTCAGGGTCCCTATGCGATATCTAGTGTATATATCTATGAGTGCCCCATCCCACCCCGAAGTAGGAGAATTAAAAACACACAAACACACAACATTAGCACCTACAAGAATTGTCAAAGCAGCTAAATAAATATACATTTATAAAATACACAAAACACTCACACATTAATAAAAAGGGGCAGATAGCTTTCGTGAAAGAAAAAATAAAAATCTTACAAATAAGCAAAGAGACGTATTCCTGACAAAATTAATAAGAGGATCCCAGTTTTTATTAAAAAAAAAGTTTCAGTGGAACCTCTTGGTGTAAACTTAATTTTTTCAATATATAGAGAAGACCTCATATCGTCCAACCATGAGACAGTGAAAGGAGGTTTAGAAGACCTCCAGTGTAATAAAATCCATCTCAGGGCTATCAGAGATGCAATGGCTAGAACATAGGGATTCTTATTCATTCACTCATTTTCTTGTCGGCTTAGTCCCTTTATTAATCCGGGCTCGCCACAGCAGAATGAACCGCCAACTTATCCAATCCGGGGTCGCCACAACGGAATGAACCGCCAACTTATCCAGCACGTTTTTATGCAGCGGATGACCTTCCGGACGCAACCCATCTCTGGGAAACATCCACACACATACACTACGGACAATTTAGCCTACCCAATTCACCTGAACCCCATGTCTTTGGACTGTGGGGGAAACCAGAGCACCTGGAGGAAATCTACTGCGCCACTGCATCGCCTAGGATTCTTATTTGAAAGGTTTTCCAACAAAGCCGTTACACCAAAAATAGCAATCAAAGGGCATGGCTCAAGAGAAATGTTGAAAATTGTAGAAAAAGTATCAAAGAAAAAAACTAAAAATGTCCCAACTTTGGACAAGAAAAAAACCACATGAGCATGATCAGCAGGAGCTAGAAAACACCTATTACAGCAAACATCCACGCCTGGGAATAGCTTACTTAATTTGAGATTTGTTAGGTGAATTCTATGGAGAACCTTAAATTAAATCAGACTCAGTCTGGCACAGGAAGAAGAGGAATTAACCCTTTCAGCTGCCATTTTCCACCATTCCTGATCCAAACCAAGTCCAAGTTCTTTTTCCCATTGATTCTCTAACTGAGAAAGAGAGGGCAATTATTTTGGATATTAACAAACTATGGCGAGGGTAGCGATTGCAAGAAATTAAAAGCATCCAGCTAACATTACTTAAAAAGCAGACAACTGTTAAAGCAGAACCCACGAGCCCTTATTTCACTGCAGTGGAGAAAATAAAAGCTGTAAACTCCATCCCTGCTCTGCTTCTCTCTCACTGTGTGCGCGGATCTTTGACCTGCTTGTATGAGGTAACGTTCCCTCTCCTCTCTCGTCTGTTACAGCGATTCTTGTAGATCCACAGACACCAGCGTGTTTCTCTGCAGCTGGATCAGCTTTGACACTTCCCAAAAGACATTATAATTTGAACGGTATCTGCTTATGTTAGTCTATTTTTAATATTCCCAAGTTTTCCATAATCCTGGACCAGGCCGTATCCTGAGCAGCTGCTGTGGTGGTCATGGAGGAGTGGAAAGCATGAGACTAATCCCTGTAAGATCACAGTGACAGTCAAGTCCTCACATTGATCCTGAAGGGACACCCTGTACACCAGCCGGTGACCTCTCCCATCTGCAGCTTCTCCACGATGGACATTTAGTGTTCTCCAGCACCTAGACTGCACCTCTGCACAAGACTTTTGGCCATAGCAGAAATGGTCGTGCCCAACTGAGCCTGGTTGCTCTCGAGGTTTTTTCCTTCACTTTAGCCAATTGGTGAAGTTTTGTTCCTTGCCGCTGTCGCCACTGGCTTGCTTGGTTGGGACTTGTGGAGCTACTCAAGGATTTGCTCTTCAGTGTTTGAACTTTCAGCAGTGAAAATTAAACCACACTGAACTCTGATAACTGGACCGACACTGTTTCAATTGACTATAATCTTCTATGTTAAGCTGATTTGACACAATCAACATTATAAAAGCACTCTACAAATAAAGATTCATTAAATATACCCACATTATAGACTAACCACGACCGATCATATGTATCCACATTACTCAGTGAACAACACCAGAGCCACACTGACCAGTAGCAGGGCCGGAGCAAGCTCAACTACCGCTTTAGCCAAAGGACGGTCACGCCGCCCTCAACCCCAACCCTCTCTATTCTGTAGCCCTACATGCGGATATAACTGAGGGCGCGGGTGGTGAGGGTAGTGTCGGGGACGCCGCCTTCTCTATTCTATCACAATAGACGTGGATATTACTGAGGGCGCGGGTGGTGAGGGTAGTGTCGGGGAAGCCGTCTTCTCTATTCTATCACAATAGACGCGGATATAACTGAGGGCGCGGGTTGTAGGGTAGTGTCGGGGACGCCGTCTTCTCTATTCTATCACAATAGACGCGGATATAACTGAGGGCGCGGGTTGTAGGGTAGTGTCGGGGACGCCGCCCTCTCTATTCTATCGCACTAGACGCGGATATAACTGAGGGCGCGGGTTGTAGGGTAGTGTCGGGGACGCCGCCCTCTCTATTCTATCGCACTAGACGCGGATATAACTGAGGGCACGGGTGGTGAGGGTAGTGCCACGGACGCCGCCCTCTCTATTCTATCGCACTAGGCGCGGATATAACTGAGGGCGCGGGTGGTGAGGGTAGTGCCGCAGACGCCGCCCTCTCTATTCTATCGCACTAGACGCGGATATAACTGAGGGCGCGGGTGGTGAGGGTAGTGCCGCAGACGCCGCCCTCTCTATTCTATCGCACTAGACGCGGATATAACTGAGGGCGCGGGTGGTGAGGGTAGTGCCGCAGACGCCGCCCTCTCTATTCTATCGCACTAGACGCGGATATAACTGAGGGCGCGGGTGGTGAGGGTAGTGCCGCGGACACCGCCCTCTCTATTCTATCGCACTAGACGCGGATATAACTGAGGGCGCGGGTGGTGAGGGTAGTGCCGCAGACACCGACCTCTCTATTCTATCGCACTAGACACGGATATAATGCGCGGGTGGTGACGGTAGTGTCGGAGACGCCGCCCTCTCTATTCTGCCGCCCTAGACGCGGATATAAATGAGGGTGCGGGGGGTGAGGGTAGTGTTGCGGACGCCGTCCTCTCTATTCTGCCGCCCTAGGCAGCTGCCTAGGTCGCCTCTATGGACGTGCCGGCCCTGACCATCAGAGCCAATAGCATCCCTTTCTGTTGAGTGCGGGAACACAATGACCAATGACAGGTGTTTAAGAACTTGCACGACAATGCTCAAAAAGCAAGCGGGACAATGATTAAAAAGTTTTGTTTGATAAATTTAAAGAGTGTTTTCTTTAAGCAGCTAAAATAAAAGCTACAGTTTATATATAACTGACTGCTTGTATTAAAGGACAAAATTGCATTATCGAACGTTTCCCTTGACACTGGAGCATTTCAAAGCCGTGTCTATCAGAGGATCCGTCTCAGAGCAGATATATGAGCGATTCGCTAATCACTAACTTTTTTATTAGTAATTTTAATGTTTAATGAAACTTCAGCATAAAAAGTGAAAAACTAAACAGTAAAAACAGTGTCCCGTATACTAAACAGAAATATTGTTAAGATATAATGAAAAGAAATATGAAAAAGAACTAAAACTGATGAAGTGTTTAAAGGTTAATAACCGCACTGACCTTCAGCCTCAATATTGAAGAGTAATAAATAAACAAACCTATTAGTTCTTCAGTCTCCTCCTGTTTAATTCTGCAGGGTTCTGGATCACTCATCTTCTCACTGTCCTTCAATAAACTCTGTCTTTGTCTTTCACTGATGGCGGCAGAGCTTCAGGAGAATAAACAGAGAAATCTGATTCATTTACACTGATTAAGGAAATAGATCTTATTATGATGTTATATCTTGCAGTTGACAGCATTAAGAAAAATAATTGGTTAAAACCAAACTAAACTACTGACAGGAAAAAAAAGAGGATTTCAGCAGCTCGGAAAATATTGATGAGTCTCAGAGACCTGTGGGTCATCATGTGTCGATTACGGTCTGACGATCGTATGAAACTCTTCCCACACTGAGTACACGTGTACGGCTTCTCTCCAGTGTGAATCCTCTCATGTGCTTTTAGACTCCCCGAGTCATTGAATGTTTTTCCGCAGTGTGAACACTTGTAAGGTCTCTCCCCAGTGTGGACCATCTGATGTCTTCTTAAACTGTTTGGATGATTGTAGCTCTTTCCACACAAAGTGCATAGAAAACGCTTCATCTTTGAATGAACATTTAAGTGATTCTTCATGTCTTCATTCAGCTCTGAAAATCAAGTAAATGAAAGTAATATTTTAGCATAAAAATGGGTATGCTTTCACTTTTAAATGCTAGGCATGTCTCCATACAACCCCTTTATATAGGTGATATGTGAAATCTGATTCATTTCACTGACTGATGAATCATAATATGATGCTATATCTTGTATTGGATACAATATGTTAGTTTGTAATATACTGACACAAATAAAATTTAATGATTGTGATAATTTGTAGATCTGAAGACATCAGTATAATGAATGACAAAGCACAAAGAATCTATTGACATGAAATAAAGTGGATTTCAGCAGCTCTGATAATATTATTGATGAGGCACAGACTGCAAACACTCATTAAACAGACATCCAGGATCATCAAATCAGACTATTAAGTATTTGCAGGATAAACACTATTATAATTAATTGTATTTAAAAATGCTTCGACATCAACATCTAATTTCAATAGGAAGTAAGCATTTATACCAATTAATTGAGTAGATTGTTAGCAGCAGCACATCTATTTGAGAAGTCACAAAAACCTTTAATAAATCAGGGTTCACTATTAACTAAAAATGTAAACGCTTTCAACATCGAAGCTGCAGCAGATTCCCTTTATTTACATTCACATATTACACTGTGATATTAAAACTGACGTAAAAACCTTCATTCACAATAGAGGAAAACTTAAACACATTCACTCATATAGTCCTCTCAGAGCTGCTCTCTGCCTGCTGTATTGTTTTGGTCAGCAGACACACAGATAGAGGTGAACTCAATGCAGAAACTAGTCGCAGATTGTCGCTTTAATAAACTGTAAAGTGTGTTTTATTGTTGTGTAAACACGAGAAAAAGCGTCAACGACTCACCTCAGCTCTGAAGACTCGACGCTGAATGAACGCGTCAGCGCTGACGTCATCACCGCGAGGCGGGAGCAACGGAGGCTCAACAACACGCCAAACTAAAACACTTAGACAGGACAAAAACAATCGCTAATGTAGAGAAAAAAGCCTAATTAATTAGAATAAGACGTGAAATTGTGTTTATTAGGCTCTTAAAAGCTGTTAAAAATACACCCAACAAAATTAAAAGCAAATGTAATTCTATTTTAAGTGAGAAAAAAAAGCTTTTTCTTAAAAGAAAGTTTGAATAAATCCTTTTTCGTCATTTAAAGTGTAACGCGTCTTTCCTGAACAGGTAAAATCTGTATGTGTTGTAAATCTTAATGATAAAAGATTACAATTACAGGTGATGAATCTGCCCAAGACATTATAGCTGCGTCCCAAATGGCACACTATACACTATGCACTCATGCACTATGTACTTATGCACCTACACACTCAACAGGATAGTATATGTATGTAGTGTCGTCCCAAATGGCACACTAATGTTTTTTTACTAAGCGGAAATTCAAACCGTTTCCCTGATGACGTTTGACGGTTGCCAAATCAGTGAAATAAACGACCGAATTATCAAATAATACCTGCCATGAGTGTAACTGCATTCACCATCAGGAGGAGCTATAATCACTCTTGTAGGAGAATTTTGCTTTCACCATCCAAAATAAATAAAGTTATTCAACATGTGCGTCCGATAGCTCCGCCCCTTCCGCTACATTACCAAACCTGCGGCCGCTGAGTGTGTGAAGTGTCCATCATTTTAGCGGCTGAATGAGTGCATCATCCGGGTAATTAAAGTGCACTTATTATTTTTTGAGTTTTCAGTGTGAACACACTACTAACACTATTTATACTACAAAATGGCGTAGAATAGTGCAAAAGTATGCGATTTGGGACGCAGCTATTGTTTATTACTTTGCATTATCAGGGCTCAACAACAAGGACTGCCCGATGGCCCGGGGCCAGTGTGAGAGACGCTTGGGATAGTAGACAGGATCATTACTGGCCCGATTGAGGCCACCTTTTGTTAAATAATTTCGAACTAAAATAAAATACCTTCACATTTGTCCATACTGCTCTTTTGTTAACACATAATTTTGCTCATTATACATATATTAACATTTAAAAAATATTATTTAAAAAATTAAATAATTATAGACATTATTTTTGACACATTATTTAAAATACGTGGCTTAAAAAATAGCTATTACATTTTATTTTTTCTTTGGTGGGAACAGAGAAAATTTTGGCAGGGCAAGTAAAAATCTGAACCATTGGCCCGATCGGACCAGTAGAAAAAATCATTAGTGTTGAACCCTGATTATAAGATGGATTGCACCAGTCCCGCTAATCCCTATGCGCGGAGTACGCAGGTTGGGTAGGGCACCAACTCCGGAGTGGAGCACCATCTCGGTTGCTTAAAAGATGAATATCACAATTTATTTATTATAATTAACATGATCTGAGCGTCAATAAAATATATTCAAAATATGTTGATGAAAACGTTGGAAAAAATTATTTAACGACGAACGCTAAAAAAAAAATAAAAAAAACGGACAATTTTTTGTATGTACATGAGAAGCCATGGTCACATGTCAGTGTTTATTTTAATGGAAACTATTATTTTATAATGTAAATATTTAAATGTTTAAGTATGATTTTGAGTTTTTATATGCATATTTATGTATATAAATAAATAAATACATATGTTTGTATGTTTTTGTTCCTCCATGGGGGCACCACAGTAAAATTTAGCATAGGGCACTCTTTAGGCAAGCAGCAACCCTGGATTCCATCATGAAACAAAATGATAAAGGCCTACAATAATAAAACATTCAGATAGGCTGACCATATGTCATCTTTTATGTCCTCTTTGGGATTTCTAAATGTCCCAAAATGTAAAAGATTCCACTTTTGCATTATAGAGTCATTGTTTGGGCTTTTACAGTACCTTTATCCCTTTCTTAAAGTCTGATTTATACTTGTATATGGCCCAACTGCTCACTGCACACACAGCCACGAGCTGTAGAGGCTTTTATGTGTGATGCTCTGATTAACAGTCATCATGAAACAGCGCTGACGAAGAGTTGCTGAATTAAGGTAGTTATGTATAACATGAATAGGTGGTGGATAAATTTGGAGGACACTAATGAAATGTTTGCCACCCCACCTTGGTCAGTCATGTACGCACACAAACATTGGCCAGTGCGTCTCAATCCCTCAGACTACAGTGAACATCTTTACCTGTCAGTGGGTGCGCATGGCTCCTGAATAGCTTGAAGAGTGAAAGTGAAACAAGTGGATTTTTTTTCCAAGGTGTTAAAGGTGCAGTGTGTGAGATTGACATCCAGTGGTTAAACTAGGTATTGCACTCTAAAATCAAAACACTTCTTGACCCAGCCCTTCCTCTGATGACTTAATGAAATCACAGTTTGCCGTGGCCAGAACAATTGAAGCAGCCATCATGACTGAAATAAAGTGGTGTTTTCAATCAAGTCAACTCGGAGTGCTGAAATGTAATTGGGTAAACTGGCAGTGGGCTGGTTATAGAGACCAAAACAAAGACTTTCAAAAGAGATTAACTGACTTCAGCAATGTTTTTCAGATGAACAAATATATTCACTTAGCACGTTTCATAAATATCTGCAAACATATTATGGTATATTTAAGCTTTAGAAGAGTCGAAAACAGATCAAATAAAACTGGATGGTGAGTTTCACTTTCCTTTCAGAAGTTGTAAGTTCATTAAGCACCATCTAACCTCAGGGAGTGATTTTGTGCACATTCACTCTGCTCATCCTCAGAAAAAACACTCGAGTATGAATGCTGAAAAATGTCTTGAAAGCATTGTCATGAGGCTTCTCCTTTATATGAACTCTAAGATGTTCCTTCAGCTCTGCAGCCATTAAAAATGCCTTGCCTCATTATTTTCTCTCCATGTCTTCTTTAAAAGTTGATGATTGTGTGAAGCTCTTCCCACACTCCATATCTGGTTTCTCTCCAGTGTGAGTCCTCTGGTGCTCTATCAAATGTTCAGCTGTGGTAAAACTCTTCCCACACTCAAAGCACACATGCTCTCTCAGTCCAGTGTGGATCTTCTGATGTCTTTTTAAACTTGACTGCAGTGTAAAACTCTTTCCACACTCAGAACACGAATAAGGCTTCTTCATTGTATGAACTCTAAGATGCCTCTTCAGCTCTTTAGGCCTTGGAAATCCTTTGCCGCATTGATCACATTGGTGCGGTTTCTCTCCAGTGTGAATCATCATGTGTAGATTAAGGCTTGATGATAGTCTGAAACTCTTCCAACACTGAGTACAGGTGTACGGTTTCTCTCCCGTGTGAATCCTCTCATGAGCTTTCAGTTTTCCCGACTCATTGAATGTTTTGTCGCAGTGTGAACACTTGTAAGGTTTCTCTCCGCCGTGGATCATCATGTGTAGATTAAGGCTTGATGATAGTCTAAAACTCTTCCCACACTGAGTGCATGTGTACGGTTTCTCTCCCGTGTGAATCCTCTCATGTGTTTTCTGTTTCCTTAACTCACTGAATGTCTTGTCGCAGTGTGAACACTTGTAGGGTTTCTCTCCAGTGTGGATCATCTGATGTTTTCTTAAACTGTCTGGACGTTTGAAACTCTTTCCACACAAAGAGCACGAAAACGGCTTCATCTTGGAATGAACGCTTAAGTAATTCTTCATGTCTTCATTGATCTCTGAAAATCGAGTAAACAAAGTTACATTTTAAGAGAAACATGTCAAGTAGGGATGCTTTCACTTTCACTTTCAAACAATTAATCAATAGGCATGTTTCTAGACATGTGCAATATTTTGCTAGAGTAGGTTGCATTACATTAATAGGCTATATGCCGAAGTATGCTAATAGGACTTTTAATTTGTCAGTAACCTGGGTTAATCGCTTCCGGTGAGCTGTATGCCATTGCAAATCGGCACATTTAAGGTCTGTTTTCTTTAAAAGTCAGCAATCTCCACTGGCTGAGTGATATCCAATATAAAGTGGGTCTCAGATTGTACAAGAACCACTGCATTACATTACACCCACCCCCCCATGTCTTTATAATATGAGCATTTATTTTACTCCAGTATATTCAATGGAGCTTTTGTGCTTGCCCGTCGATTCTGACAGGCGCGTGCGAGTAAATGGCTTTTCGTTTAGTTTTACGCTTGAGCAACTAAATGAATGCCAAAGTCTGTTTAACTGATTGTATTTTAATTATATTACAACATCGATGCTGTAAAAAGAACCATATAAAATGGAAAAAAATCTTACAATAACAGGCCACCGGACGTTTATCTGTATGGGAACAACACTAGCTTGGCATATACCCTATTCATCCTTTCAAAATGATTCCAAAAATATGGTGACGAGGTTAAGGATGACATACTGAAGTTGGTCAGCTTTCTGCTGGAAATAAAGGAGAAAATGGTCCAGGTGACACTTCTAACCAACTATTAAAGCCTGGGAACGTTATCTTCAGCAGAAGATATTCTTCAACAGCTAGAAGCTATGGCCTTGGAGGACAACCCTGGCAGACTGCCCAAACACTGATATAATAATTGTTTTTTAATCAAGTGTATAACCCTAGAGCAGGGTTGTCAAACTCAATTCCTGGAGGGCCGAAGCCCTGCACAGTTTAGTTCCAACCCTGCTCCAACACACTTACCTGTAGGTTTCAAACAAGCCTGAAGGACTCAATTAGTTTGATCAGGTGTGTTTAATTAGGGTTGGTGCTAAACTGTGCAGAGCTGCGGCCCTTTTGGAACTGAGTTTGACACCTGTGCCCTAGAGACTACGCTAACTGACAAAAGATTTGTAGTCGATCCCAGTTGTAAGAACAAAAAAATAATAACTTGTCAGGAGTGTCAGAAGGTAAATTTGTCCAATGAATCTTCTCAATCATCACCAATACTGCAGAAGAGCTACTGGAACCCGCATGGAGCAAGATTCTCAGAGAAATCAGTCAAGTTTGATGAAGGAAAAATCATGGTTTGGGGCTGCATTCATTTTGGGGGCGTGCGAGAGATCTGCAAAGTGGATGGCAACATCAGCAACCTCCAGCCTCGCTACAATCCAACCCGCTCCAAGATCTCAAAACTCAGGGCTTCTGGTAGTACCTAAAATAGCAAAGTCTAGTAAAGGAGGTCGAGACTTCTCATGTATGGCTCCTAAACTCGGGAACAGCTTTCCTGATAATGTCTGAGGCTCAGACACACTCTTGCAGTTCAACAGTAGATTAAAGACTGATCTTTTTAGTAAATCATACACTTTGCATGAATGTGCTCCACGCATCTCGTTTATATACACTATGAACAGCAGCTGCACTAATTATTCTCTTCATTCTCTATTTTCACCTGGGGATACTTATAGCCCTCAGACTATGCAGTGCCACTGATGCAAGACCTGTAAAGAGATGATCCTAAAGTTCCACAATCCTGGACCAGGCCGTATCCTGAGCAGCTGCTGTGGCGGTCATGGAGAAGCGGAGAGCGTGAGACTGATTCCTGTGACATTCCAGGGACAGACGAGTCTCCATTGTCCAGCGTTCTCCATCGCCTTGACTGCAGCTCTGCACAAGCCGTTTAGCCAGAGGAGAAATAGTGGTGCCCAATTGAGCCTAGTTTGTCTCGAGATTTTTATCCTTTACTTTCACCAGACTTCGTCGCCACTGGCTTTCATAGTTCGGGATCTGTAGAGCTGTGCATCGATGGATTTGCTCTTCAGTGTTTGAACTCTTTGCAGTGAATATTAAACTACACTGAACTGACATTATCAATTCTCTTTAATCTTCTATGTAAAGCTGCTTTGACACAACCCACATTGTAAAAGCGCTAAACAAATAAAGATTCATTGAGTCAACAGCCTGAGGTATCAAGACATTTGTGCTGCCCATTACATTACATTCCAACCACAAAGTGTTCGCTCTCACACTTCAGCCTCCACATTAAAGTTCCTAAAAGCCAAGAAGGTCAAGGTGCTCCAGGATTGGCCAGTCTAGTCACCAGACATGAACATTATTGAGCTTGTCTAGGGTAAGATGAAGGAGGAGGCGTTGAAGATGAATTAAAGACAAAAACATCAAACCACATCATACGACCCCTTTAAATATGTTATAAACTCCACAAGTATCCTAAATAATAAACCTGAGAAGGGCTGGATCTTTAGATGATCAACTTACCGTGAAATTTTTGTGTGTGTCTTTGTAGATTAAATATATCCCTGAAACGCTTCCCACAAGCAATGCAGAGAAACAGTTTCTCCTTAGTGTGAATCTTCTTGTGTGCTCTCAGTTGTCCACGCTTACAGAATTTCTTGTCGCAGTGTGAACACTTGAAAAGTTTCTCTCCAGCGTGGATCTTCTCATGTTTTCTTAACCCTGGCTTTCTTTTAAAACTCTTCCCACACTCGGAGCATGAATAAGGCTTCTCCTCTTGATGAACTGTAAGATGATACTTCAGCTCTGACGGCTTCGAAAATGTCTTGCCGCATTGATCACATTGGTGCGGTTTCTCTCCAGTGTGGATCATCATGTGTCGTTTAAGGCTTGACAATCGTGTGAAACTCTTCCCACACTGAGTACACGTGTACGGTCTCTCTCCGGTGTGAATCATCTCATGTGCTTTCAGACCTCCTGAGTCATTGAATGTTTTGTCGCAGTGTGAGCACTTGTAAAGTTTCTCTCCAGTGTGGATCATCTGATGCTTTCTTAAACCGTGTGGACTATCGAAACTCTTTCCACACGAAGAGCACGAAAACAGCTTCATTTTTGAATGAACATTTAAGTAAGTCTCGATGTCTTCACTCAGCTCTGAAAATCAAGTAAACACAAAAAAACATTGTAAGAGAAATATGTCAAGTAGGGATGCTTTCACTTTCAAACTGACATCTTTCTCTTACTGTCATCATGGTAAAGATAAAATAAATCAGTTATTAGAGATGAGTTATTAAAACTATTATGATTAGAAATGTGCTGAAAAAAAAATCAGCTTTTCGTTAAACAGAAATTGGGGAAAAAAATAAACAAGCGGTCTAAAAATTCAGGGAGGCTAATAATTCTGACTTCAACTGTATATATATATATATATATATATATATATATATATATATATATATATATATATATATATATATATAAATTTTTTTTTTTTTTTATAAGCTGCCAACAGCTACAACAGCAGCACAATTGCTAATAAAATAATTGTATCTGAGTGAAAAAAAAATGAAACCATATCTGCCCAACTCCATGCAGAACTAAATGCGCACCTCAACTCTGCTTCCTATTTCCACCTAAAACTGTAGGTCTGGAGCTCCAGATGGTCAATATGCGTGGCTGGATGCCACAGCCAAAATTTGGTCGCATGTGCCAATGCCAAACACTGGTTTCAATGGTGCCAGCTGCTAAAATCTTAGGCTGTGGACAACGTGAAACATGTATTGTTCTTTGTTGTGTCCACCTTCTTTGTCTTTCCCACATCTGGGAGAGTTATGGTGTGGAAAAGCCCCAAAGACGCGTCCCACCCTGACTGTTTCATACCCAAAGCAAAGCATGGGGTTGTGTCAGTGTGGTAATGTGGGCTGGTGTGGCTACAGTGCCAGGGCTGATTTTTAGTCCCAGTCTGCCCCTGGTTTGGGCTGCAATATCATGGCATTCCCTATGCCTAATACTTGTACTAGATGGGCGCATCACCCCCAAGGACTACCGAAACATTCTGTAGGTCTGTGTGCTAGGAATGGGACGATAACTGTTTTCAAGGTATACCGCGGTTTGAAAAAGTCAAGTTTTTAGACCAACAAAATTTTCTGCAATACCCTTCCTAAGGTAAAATGCAATGTATTTTTACGTTTTGCTATTTAAGACAACAGTACCTTCGGCAGAAAAGATATCCAAGAGGGTGTTTTAAATTGGAATGAAATCTGTGTTCAGGAACCTAATAAAGACTGCAAAAGTCAATGATTCATTTGAATTATATAGCCTGACATGTTTACCGTTCCAAAATATTGTAACATTTTCATAAATTAAAATATAGTGTTTTCAATGGGGAAAATTTTTACCAAGACATTTAAAAATAATATCTTTTGGAGCAGTAATAACAATATCGTAAAACAGTGATATTTTTATTATACCGTCATAATCTTATACCGGCCCATGCCTACTGTGCGCACCCAATGGGTAAAACAACGCACCGCCTTCAGGACACAATGTATCAGGATGATGCAACAATACACACAGCAAGAGACAGACAGAGTGGTTTGATGAACATAAAAGTGAAGTTGAACATCTCCTATGGCCTGCACAGTCACCAGATCTAAATATTATTGATCCACTTTGGCGTGTTTTAGAGGAGCAAGTTAGGAGCAATATATATTAATATTTTAGAGGAGCACGTAAATATATAAATATGTTTCATATAAGTGGATCTCATATAAACAATCACAGTCCAAAGACAAATGAATACATCAAACCGCATCATACGAACCCTATTAGTTAGCGTTATGAACTTTACAATTATCCTAAATAATAAACCTGAGAAGGGCTGGATCTTTAGATGATCAACTTACCGTGATATTTGTACGTGTGTCTTCGAAGAGAAATTAAATCCCTGAAACGCTTCCCACAAGCGATGCAGAGAAACAGTTTCTCTTTAGCGTGAATCTTCTTGTGCGCCCTCAGTTGTACCAGCTTATGGAATGTCTTGTTGCAGTGTGAACACTTGTACACTTTCCCTCCAGTGTGGATCTTCATGTGACGCTTGAGATCGTATTTGCGCCCAAAACTCTTTCCACACTGAGTGCAGGCGAAAGCGTTTACAGCTGTGCTGTTCAGCAAAACACTGTGTTCAGTGCTTGTGTGAGTTTCTTCTTCACTTTTGACATGATGTTTCTCCTCATCTTCACTCGGCGCTTCACTCTCCTCCTTCACTTTTACACCTGAAAATTAAGTAAATAAGTTACATGACAGTGTGTAACAGCAGACGGTGCTCAAGGATAGTGTTTTCTCTTAAAAAATTAAAAATCTAAGAGCTGTGTTTACATTAAACTTGTGATATAAAAGCTGAGATGCAGAAACATTTCACCACTTCTGTCAAACACACAAACGCTCTTAATCATGAGCACTGGAATGCGTGTTCAAACAGAATGTGAAAGAATATTAAACTCAAACTGTTAAAGATAGAATAACAACACATTTGTAAAATCTCAGAATCGTTTCTTGATGCGTAATGTATAGGTTTATCACAACAGCTGTGGGTGCAAATAACTCAAATTACATTAACATTATTAAACCCTCCAGCTAACATTTTTTTCACTGTTGAGCAGGTTCTTAAACAGCTGACTGGCTGTTGTGTTCACAAGCTCAACACATATGTCTATGATTGGCTACAATGATCATCGCTTCACCAAGCTGGCACAAAGATAGCGTTTCAAAGCCGTGTCTATCAGAGGATCCGTTTCAGAGCAGATATATGAGCGATTCACTATTCACCAAGTTTTTATTACTAATTTTAAATGTTTAATGAAATTTCAGTGTTAAAAGTGAAAAAGTAAAAACAGGAGAGGGGTCTGGCTGCAGACTCGGTGCAGTGCAATCTGAGCTGCATCCAATGCTTTTTAATGCGCTCACCTAACCCTACCCATCACAGTGACGTCACTAGCTCTATTGAGCGCATCGAGTCTGACGTTGCATCGCTGAGTGATGCAATCTCAGCTTGCATCATCAAGGCTGCATCCAGACTATTGAAAAACAGTGTCCCGTATACTAAACAGAAATAATGTTAAGATATAATGAAAAGAAACATGAAAAAGAACTAAAACTGATAAAGTGCTTAATAACCTGACTGTTGTTCAGCCTCATTATAGGAGAGTAATGAATAAACACAAACCTATTAGTTCTTCAGTGTCTTCCTGTTTAATTCTGCAGGGTTCTGGGTCACTCATCTTCACACTGTCCTTCAATAAACTCTGTCTTTGTCTTTCACTGAGCTTCAGGAGAAAAAAAACAGAGAAATCTGATTCATTTACACTGATTGAGGAAATAAATTATACTATGATGTCATTACATAAAAACTATTATTAAAACTAAACTCTTGACTTAAAATAAAGAATATTTCAGCAGCTCTGATAATATTGAGACTATAAACACTCGTCAAACAGACATTAAGGATCAGCAGTAAATCAGTTTATTGAGTATTTGCAGGATTAATACCATTATAATTACTTTTTTTAAATGCTTCGATATTAACAATTATTTCAATACCAAGTAAGCATTTACACTAATTGAGTAGATTAGCAGCAGCACATCTATTTGAGAAATCAGAAAAACCTTTAATAATTTAGGGTTCACCATTAACTACTAATTTAACTTATTCAACATCAACGTTCATATTTTCAGCGGCACATTCCCTTTATCCACATATCATACTTTGTGATATTAAAACTGACGTAAAAACCTTCTGTCAGGAAAAACCCAAACACATTCACTGATATGTTTCTCTCAGAGCTGCTCTCTGCCTGCTGTATTGTTTTGGTCAGCAGACACACAGATAGAGGTGAACTCAATGCAGAAACTAGTCGCAGATTGTCGCTTTAATAAACTGTAAAGTGTGTTTTATTGTTGTGTAAACACGAGAAAAAGCGTCAACGACTCACCTCAGCTCTGAAGACTCGACGCTGAATGAACGCGTAAGCGGTGACGTCATCACGGCGAGGCGGGAGCAACGGAGGCTCAACAACAACACGCCAAATTAAAATACTTCTGACAGGACAAAAGACAATCGCTAATGTAGAGGGAAAAAAAGGCCAAATAAATCATAATAATATGAGGTGAAATAGTGTTTATTGGGCTCTTAAAATATGTTAAAAATACACCTAACAAAATTTAAAAGCAAACGTTTTCTTCAGAGCAAGTTTGAATAAACCCTCTTTTTAAAGTTTCTTTCCTAAAATCTGTAAAACTGTCAAACTTAATAGCACAAGATAACAATTAAAGGAGATGAAGCTTCTTAATACCCATTTTAGATACCCTGCATAATATTAATCGCCTCATAAAGCAAAACGATAAAGGCCTACAACAATAAAACATTCAGAAAGGCTGACCATACATGATCTTTTAATTCCTCTTTAGGATTTCTAAATGTCCTAACATTTCGGCTTTTACATTATAAAGTCATTGTAAAGGTTATTAAATTAATTTATCCCTTTATTTAAGTTTTACATGGCTCCACAGCTGACTGCACACACAGCCATGAGTTGTAGAGGCTTTTATATTTGATGCTCAGAGTAACTGTCATCACAAAACAGCGCTGACGAAGAATTGCTGAATTAAATTATATATATATATATATATATATATATATATATATATATATATATAGAATAGGTGGTGGATAAATATGCACACAAAAATTGGCCAGTGCGTCTCAATCCCTCAGTACAAAGACTAAACATCTTTACCTGTCAGTGGGTGCTCATGGCTTCTAAATAGCTTGAAGAGTGAAAGTGAAACAAGTGGATTTTTTATCCAAGGTGTTAAAGGTGCAGTGTGTGAGATTGACATCCAGTGGTTAAACTAGGTATTGCACTCTAAAATCAAAACACTTTTTGACCCAGCCCTTCCTCTCATGACTTTATGAAATCGCAGTTTGCCGCAACCGGATAAATTGTATCAGCCATCATGACTGAAATGAAGGGGTGTTTTTCACCAAGTCAACCCGGAGTGCTGAAATGTAATTGGGTAAACTGGCAGTGGGCTGGTTATAGAGACCAAAACAAAGACTTTCAAAAGAGATTAACTGACTTCAGCAATGTTTTTCAGATAAACACTTAGTGTGTTTCATAAATATCTGCAAACATATTATGGTATATTTAAGCTTTAGAAGAGTCAAAAACTTACATACAGCACCTTTACATAGCAAACCTTTTTTTGCTGACTATAGAGAGTAAATCCAGATCAAACAAGACCGGATGGTAAGTTTCACTTTCCTTTCAGAAGCTGTAAGTTCATTAAGCACCATCTAACATCAGGGAGTGATTTTGTGCACATTCACTCTGCTCATCCTCAGAAAAAACACTCGAGTATGAATGCTGAAAGACATGTTAAAACATTGTCATGAGGCTTCTTCTTTATATGAACTTTGAGATGTTCCTTCAGTTATGCAGCCCTCAAATATGTCTTGCCGCATTGCTCTTTGATTTATCTCCATGTCTTCTTTAAGGGTTGATGATTCTGCGAAGCTCTTCCCACACTCCGTATCTGGTTTCTCTCTAGTGTGAGTCCTCTGGTGCAGTTTCAAACGTTCAGCTTTAGCAAAACTCTTCCCGCACTTAAAGCACACATGCTCTTTCACTCTAGTGTGAATCTTCTTATGCCTTCCTAAACTTGACTGTCTTGTAAAACTCTTTCCACACACAGAACACGAATAAGGCTTCTCATTTGTATGATGTCTAATATGGATCTTCAGCTCTAAAGGCCTTGAAAATGTTTTGCCACATTGATCACATTTATAGGGTCTCTCTCCAGTGTGGATTAGCATGTGTACATTAAGGTGTGATAATCGTCTGAAACTCTTTTCACACTGAGTACAGGTGTACGGTTTCTCTCCAGTGTGAATACTCTCGTGTGCTTTCAGTTTTACTGAGTCACTGAATGTTTTGTCGCAGTCTGAACACTTGTACGGTTTCTCTCCAGAGTGGATCCTCTGATGTTTTTTTAAACAGTGTAGACGATTGAAACTCTTTCCACACAAAGAGCATGAAAACGGCTTCATCTTTGAATGAACACTTAAGTAGGTCTTCATGTCTTCACTCAGTTCTGAAAATCCAGTAAACACAAAAAGAGAAAATGTTAAGTGGGGATGCTTTCGCTTTCACTTTCACTTTTAAACAATACATCAATAAGCATGTTTCCATTAGAAAATGCAAAAATCTTTAGCAATATTTTGTAAGTGTAGATAGCGAAGTGTAGGTTGCGAAACAACTGCATTTTATTAAGCATTAATAATATATTACAAATTGGTGATGCGTTTCTCACTGGCTAGCTATATCCAGGCTAATACCAGCAGACCACCAAGAAGAGGAACCAAATCCAACTGTAGGTGCAAGAGAAAGCTTTCTGAAATAGACATCCAGCTGCTAACCCCGATTGTATCCAAAAAACAAAACCACAGCAGCCCAACTCACTGCAGAATTAAATGTGCACCTCAACTCTCCTGTTTCCACCAAAACTGTTGGTCTGGAGCTCCACAGGGTCAATACACATGGCCAGGCTACCAAAGCCAAACCTCTAGTCATGGATTTCAATAGTTCCAGCCGTAAAAATCTTGGGCTGTGGACAATGTATTGCTCTCTGATGAGTCCACCTTCACTGTCTTTCTTATATCCGGGAGAGTTACGGTATGGAGAGGCCCCCCCCAAAACGTGTACCACTAAGACTTTTGCATGCCCAGAGTGAAGCATAGGGGTGGATCGGTGATGGTTTGGGCTGCAATATCATGGAATCCCCTTGACCCAATACTTGTGTTAGATGGGGATGGGTCACTGCAAAGGACTACCGAACCACTCCTGAGGACCATGTGCACCCAATGGGTCAAACATTGTATCCTGAAGGAGGTGCTGTGTAATGCATCAATACACACAACAGGATTGGTTTGATGAACATGAAAGTGAAGTTGAACATCTTCCATGGCCTGCACAGTCACCAGACCTAAATATTATTGAGCACTTTGAGATGTTTTGGAGGCGTCAGGAAAGACTGTCCTCCACCAGAATCACCTAGTGACCTGAACACTATTCTGCAAGAAGAACAGTTCAAAATCTCTCTGGCCACTGTGCAGGACTTGCATCTAGTATTTCCAAGAATAACTGATGCTGTATCATCTGCAACAACAAAAAAAAAGGTTTATTGTTCAACCCCTTTTTTGGTGTTTTGCCTTCCTTTATTGACAGGACAGAAACTAGGCAAGAACCTAGTCAAAAAAGGTTCGGATTGCCAGAAGTGCTTTGGTTCTATTTATCGGCGCATACTATATTTTTAATAGAGGGAGCTTTTGCTAAATTGACACGTTTCCATTAAGCTTATTTTCAACTGACAATATAAATGTTCACAATTTTAATGGTAATGAAAACATGGTTAATGATCAGATAATTGCTGATAACTCTAGATCAGTGGTCACCAAACTTGTTCCTGGAGGGCCGGTGTCCTGCAGACTTTAGCTCCAACCCTAATCAAACACACCTGAACAAGCTAATCAAGGTCTTACAAGGTATACTTGAAACATCCAGGCAGATGTGTTGAGGCAAGTTGGAGCTAAACCCTGCAGGGACACCGGCCCTCCAGGACCAGGATTGGTGACCCCTGCACTTCTTCTGGACACTGGATTAAACATGAACATCCTTAAAGAATTAGTTCTGCCGCAGGTTGTGTGTTACACTTCCACAGTTTACGCTCTTCTTATCAAGTCGGTCTCTTGACATTATGTGTGGGAGATGCATTTAACTCTACTGTGTGAAAAACACACACCGTCTCAGGTCGAGCGGAAACAAAACAGTAACTGTGCGTTCACACTGAAAGCAGTTAGAGCGTCTTAGGTCGCTCTGGCCACCTTGGCGACAATGCTGTCTGCCTTCAGCTCCGGCGGCGAGAGCGTCAAAATTCGCTACATTGATCACGTATTTAAAGGAGCCGTTGCAGCATATCAGTTACATTCCTGCATAAAACATGTTTCTAGCGTGAACATTAGGGGTGTCAAAATTAATTGTTTCTTCGGTGCACCGCGATGCAGACGCGGACAATTCGGTATCGATTCAGTAATAACCATAACCGGTTATTATGTTGTGACGTCATTTATCTCCTTTGCGCTCTGTCGCGAGGGAGGTGAGCGCCGTTATTTACAATACTCAGCCAACTCAGGGCCGGCCCGTGGCATAGGCACCATAGGCAAATGCTTAGGGCGCTGTATATCCAGGGGGCCGCCAGAAATGAGCGCGGTTCAGTTGGTTTTGTTTTCGATTTTCCTGACACACATTCAGTTATAGACGGCAATAACTCAAAAAAACGCTTACCCTAAAAAGATCTAAAGTGTGTTTCCTACAGAAAGACAAAGCTGGTTATGTTTCACAGCTGTCTTTCTTTTTTTTCGCTCGACATTACGAGCACTGCTCCGCTTAAGCCCTCGCAGTCTGCGTTTATTTTAGCCGGCAGAGCTCGCGCTGAGAGGAGCTCTCTGTAAGGGATCGTCGGAAAAGTGCTTATTTTTGTCGTTTTTTCGTTTTTGTGCTCCGCTCAGTGCGAGCTCTCCCTGTTGCAAGGGCTTAAGTGTGTTTGTTTGTTTGTTTGATGCTGTCTATGTTTGTGAATGTGTTTGAATGAGAAACAGTGTGTTGCTGTGTGTCTGTGTGTTTATACAGACAGCATGTTATAGCCTCCCCCCTAAAATATAACACTATATATGGAAAGCATCGTCAATGCACCGTGATGCACCGAGATATCAAATTGAACCGAATCGATGGCATGATAATCGTAACCGAACCGTGAGACCAGTATAGGTTCACACCTCTAGTGAAAATGTTGCGCACTTCTTACCAAATTCATTTAACAATGGAAGATCGAGTTGCGTGTGGTGTGGCTTTGCTCCACTTAATTATCCAATGTGTCCAAATGTCTGAAATATCCTGAAGCAGCAATGCTGTTTTGTACTGTTACGTCGCGTGAGATTCCTGCTTTTTTAGAATAAATATATATAACATTAATGAACATCAGTAACTCGCCAGTTTCTTATTTAATGTATGTTCCTGTGAGAAAACATTGTAAATAATTGGAAATCTGGGGGCCGCAATAATCAAACCCCTGTAATGTGTAATGTAATGTGTATTTATATAGCGCATTTATTGTGTATGGCCATACACCCAAAGCGCTTCACAATCATGAGGGGGGTCTCTCCACACCACCACCAGTGTGCAGCAATCACTTGGATGATGCGACGGCAGCCACAGGACAACGGCGCCAGTGCTTCACCACACACCAGCTATTGGTGGAGTGGAGAGACAGTGATAGAGCCAATTCAGTGGATGGGGATGATTGGGAGGCCATGATCGTAAGGGCCGATAGAGGGACTTTGGCCAGGAAACCGGGTACACCCCTGCTCTTTCACCAGAAGTGCCATGGGATTTTTAATGACCACAGAGAGTCAGGACCTCGGTTTAACGTCTCATCCCAAAGACGGCGCCCACTGATAGTGTAGTGTCCCCTTCACTATACTGGGGCATTAGGACTCACATAGACCACAGGTTGAGCGCCCCCTGCTGGCCTCACTAACACCACTTCCAACAGCAACCTAGTGTTCCCTAGTGGTCTCCCATCCAGGTACTAACCAGGCTCAGCCCTGCTTAGCTTCAGTTAGTAACCGGTCTTGGGCTGCAAGGTGATATGGCAGTGGCCCTGGGAACAACAAGGTCGGAACCAAAGTCCACAGGTCTGTGTTCTCTGAACTCCTATCAAGCGGTGGACTTCTTCATTCTGACTGCTTGCCGCCGAATACTCATTACCATAACGTTTACTTGATTTCAACTCTCCTCAACGCCCACACTGGCGAAGACGTGCCGAGCTGCTCCTCGCCGCTAATCGCCACCGTCTCTCATTGAAAATAAATGACTTCCGGCTACTTTGACGCTCTCGCCGCTTTCGGTGTGAGTGTACGGTAACAAGTGAAGGCATTTCAATATCAACAGCAAGAATATCTCTTTGGGATTGAGACTTTAGTGTTAGACTATGAATCTTATATAAACAAACATCATACGACCCCTTTAAATATTGGCTATAAGCTCCATAATTATCTTAAATAATAAACCTGGAAGGGCTGGATCTTTAGATGATCGACTCACCGTGATATTTTTGTGTGTGTCTTTGTAGAGAAAATATTTCCCTGAAACGCTTCCCGCAAGCAATGCAGAGGAACAGCTTCTCTTTAGTGTGACTCTTCTCATGTGCTTTCAGTTGACCTAACTTACAGAATCTCTCATCGCAGTGTGAACACTTGTAAGGTTTCTCTCCAGTGTGGATCTTCTCATGTTTTCTGAATACTGACTTTCTTAGGAAACTCTTCCCACACTCAGAGCATGAATAAGGCTTCTGCTCTGTATGAACTATAAGATGGATCTTCAGCTCTGATGGCCTTGAAAATGTCTTGCCGCATTGATCACATTGGTGCGGTTTCTCTCCAGTGTGGATCATCATGTGCCGATTAAGGTTTGATGATCGTGTGAAACTCTTCCAACACTGAGTGCACGTGTACGGTCTCTCTCCGGTGTGATTCATCTCATGCGCTTTCAGACTTCCTAACTCATTGAATGTCTTGTCGCAGTGTGAGCACTTGTAAGGTCTCTCTCCAGTGTGAGTCCTCTCGTGTTTCTTTAAACTGTGTGAACGATTGAAACTCTTTCCACACAAAGAGCACAAAAACTGCTTCAACTTTAAATGAACGTTTAAGCAGGTCTTCATGTCTTCATTCGGCTCTGAAAATCAAGTAAACAAAAAAAAGTTACATTTTAAGAGGAAAAATGTCAAGCTTTCACTTTCACTTTCAAACTATTAATCAATAGGCATGTTTCCCTGACAAATATGCACAAGTCTTCAGCTGTATTTCGAAAGTGTAGATAAAAACTATTGCAAACAACAGCGTTTTTATTAACCATTGTTATGCGACTTAATTCATCCTCTCTCAATAATTACAAAATCATGGTGACTGACTGCTTAGTTTCATGTATCGTAGTGTAGCTCAAAAATAATGTGTTTAATTTTGTAAGAACTGTTCTGTTTATGTGTGTAGATTTGGTTCCCTTGCTAAAATTTAACCCAATACTAGTGCAGGGCTCAACAATAAGGACTGCCCCATGGCCCAGGGCCAGCATGCGAGATGCTCGGGATAGTAGACAGGATCCTTACTGGCCCGATCGGGCCACTGGTGCCTTGTCACTAAAGTTTAATTGGCCTGTGACTATTTGTCAATTGCTTGCAAAAACAGTCAGTATTTAGAAACAGTTTTTGTTTTCAAGCCTTCAAATGCTACCTTCTCGGTTCTTCCTATCTGATTGGATGTTGAGAGCACGTTATTTTTTTTTATATCAACTAGTACAGCGAAGAGACAGCAACATGGCGGTAACATTAAATGATGATGCTAAAGGAAAACATTTCTTTCTAACGTCTTGGAAGCAGACATTTATGAGGGTACACCTTGACTAAAAAAATAAAGTGATGTTTTGTACAGTTTACCCGTTAGTCTGGCAGGTCAGCCATCTTTTGTTTCAAAACACTTTGGATTTTGCTCAATATACATTTATTTACATATTTAAATTTTAGATTTACAAAAATTGACACTTTTTATTTTATTTTTTTATACTTGTGGCTAAGAAACAGCTATTAACTTTCTTTGGTGGGGCCAGTGAAAAATATTGGCAGGGCGAGTAAAAATCGGAACCACTTGTCCGATTGGGCCAGTAGAAAAAATCCTTAGCGTTGAACCCTGTGGTGTTATGTTATTATCGTTGGTGACGGAAATAATAGAAACAAAATTAGTAACATACAATGTCTTCTATTTACTGCACAAATGGTAGATAAAGCTTTTAATCTGATTCAGTCTGCTTCAAGTGAGTTGAATCAAGTGATTTGAATCTTCAAGATTCCATTCCTTGAAATAAGCTAATAAATCCTTGATCCATTTAAACATAGGTTGATCCCCTACAGCAGGGGTCACCAAACTTGTTCCTGGAGGTCCGGTGTCCTGCAGATTTTAGCTTCAACCCTAATCAAACACACCTGAACAAGCTAATCAAGGTCTTACTAGGTATACTTGAAACATCCAGGCAGGTGTGTTGAGGCAAGTTGGAGCTAAACCCTGCAGGGACACCGGCCCTCCAGAACCGAGATTGGTGACCCCTGCCCTACAGTGTCAAAGTGGAAAAAATGAAACCACAGCTGCCCAACTCACTGCAGAATTAAACGTGCACATCAACTGTCCTGTTTCCACCAAAACTGTTCACCAGGAGCTCCACAGGGTCAATATACATGTCTGGCTGCTATAGCCACAACTTGTGAAAATCTTGGGCTGTGGACTGTGATGAGTCCATCGACACTGTCTTTCCCATATACAGGAGACTTACAGTGTGGAGAGGATCCAAAAAAGGGAAGCATGGGGGTAATCAGTGATGGCCAAATACTGGTGCTAGAAGGGTGCTGGGTCACTGCCATAGACAACCAAACCATTCTGGAGGACTGTGTGGACCCTATGGGTCAGACATCGAAGTGTGCAGGTGGTTCACATTGGTGTCATGATGATAATGCACCAATACACACGGCAGGACTGGTGACAGTGGTTTGATGAACATTAAAGAAAAGTTAAACATCTCCCATGGCCTGCACAGTCACCAGACCTAAATATTATTGAGCCCTTTGGGGTGTTTTAGAGGAGCCAGTCAGGAAAGGTTTTCCTCCACCAGCATCACCCAGTGACCTGAACACTATTCTGCAAGAAGAACAGCTCAAAATCTCTCTGACCACTGTGCAGGACCAACTGATGCTGTATTGGCCTCAAAAAGAGATTGATTGTCCAAACCCTTAGGAGCCGGACTATGAAACTCCTTTTGGGATTGGGACTTTTGTGTTTTATATAAGTGGATATTGTATAAACACAGCTTGTTACAGTCCAAAGACAAATGAAAACATCAAACCGCATCATACGACCCCTTTAAATATATGTTAAAACCTCCACAAAGATCCTAAAGAATAAATCTGGAAGGGCTGGATATTTAGATGATCAGCTTACCGTGATATTTGCGCGTGTGTCTTCGTAGAGAAAATTTATCCCTGAAACTCTTCCCACAAGCAACGCAGAGAAACCCTTTAGCGTGAATCTTCTTGTGCGCCCTCAGTTGTACCAGCGTACAGAATGTCTTGTCGCAGTGTGAACACTTGTACACTTTCCCTCCAGTGTGGATCTTCATGTGGTACTTGAGACCGTATTTGCACCCAAAACGCTTTCCACATTCAGTGCAGGTGAAGCCGTTTACAGCTGTGCTGTTCAGCAAAACACTGTGTTCAGTGCTTGTGTGAGTTTCTTCTTCACTTTTGACATGATGTTTCTCCTCATCTTCACTCGGTGCTTCACTCTCCTCCTTCACCTTCACATCTGAAAATTAAATTATTAAGTTACATGTCAGTGTGTAACAGCAGATGGTGCTCAAGCATAGTCTCTAATCTAAAATTATTAATAACGTTAGAAAAGGTTTAGGTGAAACAGACTTGTGGTCTAAAAACTGAGGTGCAAAAACATTTGACCACTTAAACATCTGTCAAACACACAAGCGCTCTCATTCATAAGCATTTGAGTGTTCAAACAGTATCTGGAACTTGGAGGACTAAAGAGCACAGTATCATCTCCTGATGAATATCAAACTCAAAAACTATTAAAGAGAGCATCACAATACATTTGTAAAATCTCAGAATCGATGCAGAATTAATTCTCAGTAAGCTCTCGATAAACCTCACGGTTCTTCAGCCTCATTATTGAAGAGTAATGAATAAACACAAACCTATTAGTTCTTCAGTCTCTTCCTGTTTAATTCTGCAGGGTTCTGGATCACTCATCTTCTCACTGTCCTTCAATAAACTCTGTCTTTGTCTTTCACTGATGGAGCTTCAGGGGAAGAAACAGAGAAATCTGATTTATTTACACTGATTGACGAAATAAACATATTATGATGTTATATTTTCTTGCTGACAATATGTAATGTGATAAAGTCAGCTGAGACCAACAAAATTAACTTAGTCAATTTGTAGATCTGAAGACATCAGTATAATGAATGAGAAAACATAAACAGACGAGAAATAGAGGACTGATGAGCCTCAGACTATAAACACTCATTAAACAGCCATTCAGAATCAGCAGCATCATTATAAAAACGTGTATTTACCAATGACTGTAAAAAATATGGACGACGCGACAGCCCCTTTTCCCATTGAACACCTTGAGGGCAAAACGCCTGCTTGACGGGCACAAACTGTCGCAAAAGACTGCTGAAATTGGAGCCTTGACATGCGCAGAAGGACTGTCTGATGGAGCCAGAGGAGGAGCCGCGAAAATGAGCGGAGTCGAGCTTCCAACCAAACGCTTTATGAAAAATCAACCACGCCCCCCGAACTGCTCAGCATGCGTTTGCTGTCATATCAACACAAATGGATGTAATAACGTTAACAAATATGAGGGTTTTATATATTTAATCGCACCAGCTCCGGGCCGCAGCGCATAACCTACTCGCGGCGTCGCAGGCCGATTCCGGCTCGCATGCGGCAGTGCCGGCTCGCTCGGCCGCCACATCTGGCTCGATTGACTCGGGCTGAAATCGGGCAGTGAGTCCAGGCATCCGGAGTAGGTCCAGCAGAGGTAGTCAGTCTGAGCTCTTAGGGGTAAGTCTCCGGCAGGCGAGAATCTAGCCGAAACTGGCCTGAGTGTATTTTGCTATCTGGGTGGTTAGGCGTGTATCAGCAAACTAATAAAGCCCGAAAAAAGCCCTGACCTTAACGAATAAACAGTGTTCCACCAGGATCATGTATGTCAGAAACTGTAGTTTACTGCTGAACTCATTTTGTCATGGTAAAATAACACAGAAATCGAATAATAACACTTCAGTCTTCTGCCGAAGCTCAGACGCGCTGCTTTGAGAAACTGTCAATCACAGCTGTCAATCACGATGACACGCCCAGCATTAAATTACTGCTAAAAACAAACTGTTTACAAAAATGAAGATCTGCATCTATTTCAGCACAATAACCAGTGCCTTAATCCACCAGAACTATCTTTCGGGACATTTTATTGCAAGTGTAATATTTTTTTTTATTTGGGCTCAAGTCTCCTTCATTAACAAGGAGGAGGCGGGCTTTATGACTTGTACAGCAGCCAGCCCCCAGGGGGCGATCTAACGGCCGAGACCCTCACTCAAACGCAGGCTTGCGGCACACTTGGTATTTACAGTATAAATATTATGGTAATCAATAACACATCTATATTAATATCTAGTTAAATTAAATATGAAGCAAGTTTTAAATTAAGATTGTGCGTCCATGTGTACAAACACTGAAGAATCATAAAAACCTTTTAAAAATGCTGAAAGCCTTAATCATTTAATGTTTTCTGCATTACACTTCATATAACTACCGAAATATGACCATTATTTACATTCACAGATCATACTTTGCGATATAACAAAGACAAATATGGAAAATTTCATATACAATAACAAACACCGAGCTCATATTGTCCTCTCAGAGCTCCTCTCTGCCTGCTGTATTGTTTTGGTCAGCAGACACACAGATAGAGGTGAACTCAATGCAGAAACTAGTCGCAGATTGTCGCTTTAATAAACTGTAAAGTGTGTTTTATTGTTGTGTAAACACGAGAAAAAGCGTCAACGACTCACCTCAGCTCTGAAGACTCGACGCTGAATGAACGCGTCAGCGCTGACGTCATCACGGCGAGGCGGGAGCGACGGCAAATCGTCGAAAACGCGTCAAATTAAAATATTGCTGAACATACCTGCCAAAACAATTGTTAATGTATACAAAAAAAACGCCATCCTACATAATGTGTGTGGTGAAATACTATGGCACGAAAAAGCAAATGTTATCCTTTATGGCTGACAGATACACCAAAGTAACCTTGTCCTGATGTAACTACAATCAGCAAACAAATGTTTTAAGCAAATATTAAAAAGCAAACATGTTTAATATTAATAACGAAAGTAGCATTTGAAATGATACCTATTTGACCCAATTAAAAAAACGAAAAACAAACATCGCATTCAATTTCAATTCAATTTTATTTATAAAGCACTTTAAAACAACACAGTTGACCAAAGTGCTGACAATAGAGAGTAACACAAAGCGTATAGCACATACTTTAAAAATAAATAAATAAATAAACATAAAATCTCACGCTGTGATAAAAGCTAAATTGAACAAGTGGGATTTAAGAACAGATTTAAAATAAATAATGCAAGAGACTTGTCTAATATACAACGGCAGCTCATTCCACAATTTTGCTGCCACCACAGCAAAAGCCCGATCCCCTCTGAGCTTTCGACTGGTCCTGGGTACACCAAGGAGGAGCTGGTCGGCTGACCTGAGCGAACGACAAGGTGTGTAGGAACAAAGAAGCGCAGAGAGGTAAAGGGGTGCAGTACATCACATATTTCTCATTTATTCATATTCTTTCGTCCAGAATATTCCACTATGTTCCTGAAAAATTGAACTCATGTAGTTGTAATTAAAATACACACATTTAACTATTGAATAAAGAGCATAGACTGTAAAAGATATGGAGGTAGTATCCGTGACGTCACCCATGGGTTTCTCAACACTGCAAAAGAAACTACAAGTAGGCGCTGCCAACCGTCGACATTTTGTTCGTGCGTCATTGCACACACGGCGGGATCCCAAACAAGGGCAAAGAGGCAAAAAATAAAAAATAAAATAGAATAAAATAAATAAACAAGGGCAAAGAGGCAAAAAAAAAAAAAAAACACCAAGGGGAAAGAGGCGGAGAGTGAGCGGAGCTACAGACACCTGCTGGCATTTTGCTGGACCTGGCTTAGACAGACTTTACTTTGGAGTACTGCATACTTCATTATCTGCGTCTGGTTTGTGTTCGGACCACATGTGCTTTGTTGTACACTAACTCAATAAAGTGATTAGACTTATAAAAACACTGTTGTAACACATTGAGCCACTAAACATTTTTCTTATGACGTTTTTCAACAGGAGGAGAGCGCCAATTACGTCCAAACACTTCAGGTATAGTCTGTGTTAGTACATGCAAGACTATTGATGAAATCCAGGATAACACTGTATGACAACGCTTCAGATGACTGTTCTAGAGCCTGCAGCTAATCAATCTGTCAAATTCAAGAGTGCTTTACAGCTCTAAAAAAAATTATAAATGATCTTAAATAAAACAAATACATTTATAGAGATGGTATATCAGTATATAATTTCACTCATCTGGGAAATGAAGGCAACTTGAATAGTTTGTGAGCACAATAAAGTGCACACAGCATGCCATATCATCTGATAATTGTTGGAAATAATCCCAAATGGCGACTGACTGTGTAAAGAAACATTAACCCAAACAAAAATACAATGTATATGCCAAGTTCAGCAGCTAATCAGCCGGAATCAGCTGAGGTGATGAGATAGCGTGCAGCAAGACCTAGCTGTCACTCAAGTGGCCACGCCCTTATTTATGCAGAATTAATATAACTTAATAAAAAGTAAACGGATGAGTTCACTCTCCTCACAGTTGTCATGAAGGGTAATATTAGCTATTTGCACCAAAGCCAGCTTTTGTAGCAGGCTGTAAACATGTTTTTATTAGCTGTAAAAATGCCCAATTTACCATTGCAGTCAGTGGACATCTTAATTTGCTGGAGCAGCCCCCCAAAGGTCAGTCGATGAAATGCAGTTTCAGTTACTTCCATACTGGCGTCTCGAGGGAGAGCGGGAGGTTGCCACTTGATATGTAGCAGAGTTTTCAGGAACGTAATTTTTTGTTAATGTGTTGTTAAACTCCACAGAAAGAAAACAAATAAGGCCTCTTCTTTGCATGAACTCTAAGATGGCTCCTCAGCACTGAAGCCCTTAAAAACGTTTTGCAGCACTGATCACATTTGTGCGGTTTCTCTCCAGTGTGGATCTTCATGTGTCTCTTAAGGTTTGACGAGAGTTTGAATCTCATCCCACACTGACTACATGTGAACGGCTTCTCTCCGCTGTGAATCCTCTGGTGTCGTTTCAATTCTCCAGCTCTAATAAAACTCTTCCCACAGTCAAGGCACTCAAACTCTTTCACACCAGCGTGGATCTTCTGATGTGCTGTTAAATTCGAGTGTCGTGTAAAATGCTTTCCGCACAGAGAGCATGAATTTGTGTGAACTCTACTGTGGATTGTCTTGGCTTCACTCAGTTCTTCAGTCTCCTCCTTCACAATCAAGTCTAAAAATAGAGTGAAGAAAAATAGAAGTTATGTTTTAAGAGAGATGCAAAACAACGAATGAATTATCAACAAGCCTAAACGCTTATTTCACACGGCCGCCATTTTAAAAAACAGCAAAGCGAGGCTGCGGAGAGAAGAAAACCGGAGGTATAGTATCAGCACAGGACCGGTCAAAGATTGAGAATTTTATCGCAGGCAGAGTGAGGGCAACGGTTCATAACTTGCTAGATGACCATCAACCGTTTTCTTAGAGGATACAAGTTTTATTAATGGAGAAAATTACCAAGCACTGCAGTGTTTGTGTGTTCTGTGTTTGTCTGAGATAATTAGTCTACCGAATTTCCGTCTTTCGGATGAGACGTTAAACCGAGGTCCCGACTCTCTGTGGTCGTTAAAAATCCCAGGATGTCCTTCGAAAAAGAGTAGGGGTTTAACCCCGGCATCCTGGCCAAATCTGCCCACTGGCCTCTGTCCATCATGGCCTCCTAACCATCCCCATATTCCAATTGGCTTCATCTCTGTCTCCTCTCCACCAATCAGCTGGTGTGTGGTGTGCGGTTTGGTGCAAAATGGCTGCCGTGGCGTCATCCAAGTGGATGGATGAGGAGATTTGCCCCCCATTGTGTTAAGCGCTTTGAGTGCTCAGAAAAGCCATATATAAATGTAAGGAATTATTATTATTATTATTATGTGTACAGTATATTCCATACAAGCTGAAGCTGATCGATAGGTCAGGTCTTGTCACGTGACTCGCTGTGCTGTCCCGGCATTCCTTCAACTAAGTGCGTCTAGAAGGCGCAAGCAACGCACCTCCATTGGAAGTAACGAACTTGTGCGTACTCTAAGAAAATGCACGATATGCAGATGGCCCCTAAAAGGCCACCGTCATTTGCGATCTCCATCAGTTGATCCTCTTGCACAGACATGCTGGATTCACCTGATTTGTTGACAAACGGATTGCGGATTCATACTTTGGCAGTTCATAGGTCCCTTACTGGGCTGTTTCCCCTATGCAAAGAAACTTTCCAAAGACGCTTGTTTCTTATTCATTTTGCGCCTTGTGGGTTAATTTTGGGCGCTCAAGTGACTGAGATGTATGCGAGAGAATACGGCCATTTGTCAATATAAAAGATCGTTCAGACTCATTCATTCATTTTCTTGTCGGCTTAGTCCCTTTATTAATCCGGAGTCGCCACAGCGGAATGAACCGCCAACTTATCCAACAAGTTTTTACGCAGCGGATGCCCTTCCAGCCGCAACCCATCTCTGGGAAACATCCACACACACACACACACACACTCATACACTACGGACAATTTAGCCTACCCAATTCACCTGTACTGCATGTTTTTGGACTGTTGGGGAAACCGGAGCACCCTGAGGAAACCCATGCGAAGGCAGGGAGAACATGCAAACTCCACACAGAAACACCAACTGAGCTGAGGTTCGAACCAGCAACCCAGCGACATTCTTGTTGTGAGGCGACAGCACTACCTACTGCGCCACTGCCTCGCCCGTTCAGACTTAGATAATAAATGAAATGGAAGTCATTAATGATCTCTTGTGCGGCCCGGTACCAATTGATCCAGAGACAGTGAGGACTACTGCGTTACATGTCCACAACTTCACACATTACGCCTGTGTACATTCCTCTACATCAAGCGATCTCTTGACATAAAATAAATCTTTAGATGATCTACTTACTGTGATAGGTGTTCGTGTGCTTTCGTAGAGAACACAAATGTGTGAAACTCTTCCCACACTGAGCACATGTGTGCGGTTTCTCTCCAGTGTGAGTCCTCTCGTGTGATTTCAGGTGTGCTAAGAGGCTGAATCTCTTCTCGCAGTGTGAACACCTGTAAGGTCTCTCTCCAGTGTGGATCCTCATGTGACGCTTGAGACTGTGTCTGCGCTCGAAACACTTTCCACACTGAGTGCAGGAGAAGCTTTTTATGGCTGCTGTCTCCATTATAAAGTCAATGTTTTCTTCAGTTTTGACATATTGCTTCTTATCTTCACTCAGTGCTTCACTCTTCTCCTTTACCATCACCACATCTGAAAATAAAAGTAAATAGGTTACATTTTGAAAGGGTAGTTTTAAACAGCAGATGCCGTTCTAGGGTAGTTTTTTGGTGCTCAGGTCTAGTTTTTAACAGTAGATAGCTGCCTATGCATGTTTTACCAGAGAAGAACAGGTTCTCTGACTCTGATTGGTTTCTCCCAAGGTTTGTTCTCCACTTATATCAATAGTGAAGTTTTGGTTCCTTGCCATTGTCGCTTGGTTAGTTGGGTTATTTAGCCTTAATAATATAATTTATATTTGGATGCTACAATTTATACTGATGCACATCACATGTCTTAACACAGGCATGTCCAATCTTGGTCCTGGAGGGCCGGTGTCCTGCAGAGTTTATTTCCAACCCCAATCAGACACACCTGGTCTAGCTAACCAAGCTCTTACGAGGCTTTCTAGAAACATCCTTGTAGGTGTGTTGAGGCAGGTTGGAGCTTAAATCAACAGGACACCGGCCCTCCAGGACCGACTTTGGACACCCTTGTCTTAGCATATGGTGATAAGTGTGGGCGAAGGTAAGAGTTGTAGGGGTAAGTGTCGAGACACTTAGAGCAGTGTTTCCCAACCCTATTCCTGGAGGCACACCAACAGTACATATTTTTGATATCTCCTTTATCTGACCCATTAGCTTTAGGTTTTGGAGTCTCTTCTGATGTTCTGAGGTCCTGCAGATTTTAGCTCCAACTTGCCTCAACACAACTGCATGGATGTTTCTAGAATGCTTTATTAGAGCTTGATTGGCTAGCCCAGGTGTGTCTGATTGGGGTGGGAACTAAACTTTGCAGAACAACGACACTCCAGGACCGAGTTTGGACACCCCTGCCCTAAACAAACACATCTGAATCAAATCATCAGAATAGACTCCAAAATCTGAAGTAATGGGTCAGATAAGGTAGACTTTCGAATTATGCACTGTTGGTGTGCCTCCAGGAACAGGGTTGGGAAACACGGCCCTAAGGGGCTCGACACATGTTTAACACTCATTACCATTACAAAGGTGACCATATTTCACTTTCATTTTCGACAATAAATGCACATTTACCGGAAGGATTGCCCTACTCATAATTCTCTCTTCATATAACCGTATACAGACATCCCAAGTCTCCCGGAAGTTCCCACAAATGCAGTCTCCCCAGGGAATGACTATTCTATACTTGCGATGTCTGCGTATATATGGCTATTACACATCCATATTATGTTGTGCTATAGCCTGGTTCATTAGTTTGTTGGATCATATTGCTATCTCAGTACAATTGATCCCTTCCAGAGTTCTTTTCAATCGAGCCAAGACCATCTCATTCGGGCGATCTCAGACTGACTGATTTGGCAGAGATGAGAGCACGATTATGGGTTTCAGATATGCCAATCGAACTGAGCTAAGGGGGCAAACGAGACCGGTTCTGAAACAAACGTCTCGGTATGAAAGCTCTTTTACACTCCAACAGGAAACTGCATCATACAACCACTTTAAGTGAAGTTTAATTATAAACTAATTCGAGAGGATCAGGTGATTATGATTGCTTGCAGCCGGACCTGCATTATTCAACTTACGATACACCAATCAGACGATTCCTAAACCACTATAATTACCCTCAGTTCCATATCACAGCCATCTTCGTTTCGAAGAATCCCCCCTTCCACCCCTACTCCTCCTCCTTCCCTAGATGGGTGGCCCAGTGGTTAGCACTGCTGCCTCACAGCAAGAACTGTTTCTAGTCCTTACCAAGCCAGCCGACTTTTCTGTGCGGAGTTTGCACGTTCTTCCCATGCTCACTTGGGTTTCCCCCAGGTTCCCCGGTTTCCTCCAACCGCCCAAAAATATGCAACCTTAAGTTAACGGACTAATCCAAATCGGCACCATAGACATGCTCCTAGTAAGTAGTTATCTCTTAAGAGTGATCACTATCTGTTCATTATCTACAGCAGGGGAGTTCTCCACATCTACATGGGCTCAAACTCACCTCTCGCCTTGCAAATATGAGGGAGCCCTAAGCTCAAGGATCTTATGAGCTCAGGGCTCTCTCCCGGGGCAGCATGCCAAACTAGCTTTATAATCAATCATCAGCTAAGTGTCAACTCTTAAAATGTGTGTCATCAACTCCATGATTATCCTACTTACCATGTAAGGTTTGTGTGTGTGAACGTAGAGAAGATAGATCAGTGAAACCTTTTCCACAATCAGTGCAGTGATAGGGTTCATCTCCAGTGTGAGTCAGCTCATGCTTTTTCAGGTGTCCGGAATGAACAAATCCCCTTTCGCACCGTGAGCACTTGTACGGTTTCTCTCCAGTGTGGATCCTCTCGTGTATTTTCAGGTTTCCTAACAGGCTGAATCCCTTATTGCAGTGTGAACACTTGTAGGGTTTCTCTCCCGTGTGGATCCTCATGTGAATCTCCAGATTGTGTTTGCGGCTGAAACTCTTTCCACACTGAGTGCAGGTGAACGCTTTGGCATCTGTTCTTTCCAGTACTTTTGTTTTTGCAGTATTTTTCAGATTTCTGTCTGTAGTTTTGACATGATGTTTCTCCTCCTCTTCACTCCGCTCTTCACTCTCCTCCTTCACAATCACATCTGAAAATTAAGTAAATACATGACAGTGCTCTAGACTAGTTTTTAACCATACTTTTTAAAAATGATCATGAATAGGCATTTGTTCACACACTGCTACCAGTGAAAGTGTCAAATGGCCCATTTCCACTGAGTGGTACAGTACATGTCACCTTTATCAGGCTTGCGTTTCCACTGCTAAAAGGTATCGATGGTACTCTTTTAGTGGGCATGATGTACGACAGAAAGTTTCTGACAACGTCATTCTCACTCGAGAAAATGTCTACAGTAAAGCTGTACGGGTCGCTAACATATATGAGAAGCACTTCTCACAAAACAGATGCTTTACATACATAAATACTTCTGAAAAAATGTTTATTACTAACTTTTCTATGAACATGATTTGATTGCAGATCAAACAATCTGCAGTTATATAAAATAAATGAACATATATGAACGCATTCAGACCCCTACAGACTCTGATATGTTACCAACTACAGAAAACTACACACAGCAGACATTTAGTCCTTATTTGAGTTGAAACAACATGAAGCATAAAGCCCAGAGTCAGAGCAAACCTCTCAACTGTGTCTTTAATCTTCAGCAGAACATGTGACCTCTGTTAGAAAGTAATTCTGTCATTGCGAGTTCATAATAGGCCAAAAGGTGATGATAATAGTTAAACATGGCAGGTTGTTCATGTTTTAGGTTGCAGACGCTTCATTTGCTGCTGTTTTTTCCGGCTTCTCCTTTGTTTTTGTCGCGCTTCACTCTCGCGTTTGTTCCTTTGTGATTAGATATCAAAACGATTCAATGATCGCGTGCACGTTATTAACATGAGCTCAAGAAGCTTGTTATTTCAAATATAGGCGAGATTGCGAGCTCTATGGACAAAGTGAAACTGCTTGGACTTTTAAACGGGCTTGTAAAACAACAACAGGGCACAGTAGATTTTGTTCCTCTTGACTTTGTAGCTGTTCATCAAGACGACGACAAGGTTTGTTTGAGCTCAGGTTGACCATGGCTTATCATTACATGTATATATTATTACGGTGTAATGTCTAGGCTGTGTTTTTAAAACATGGCTTTTCCTTTGTTTTCATTCTGGCTTGTTGCGTGAGCGAATGACGCATCTCTGTAAACCTATGGCTTTCAGCTGCGCATCTAGCTCTGCCTTTTGGTACCCTTGGTACCCTTTGCAAAGGGTGCCAAAAAAGTGGTTTGGTACGGTTCTTTAGACAGTGGAAACGACCATAAAAGCGTACCACTTAGTGGAAACAGGCCAAAAGTAGCTGTAAATCATTGATTTTCAATGGGAGCTGGCGGTGAGCTCAGAGGAAATTGGCGTGATTTGGATGTGTGGTTGTTGAGGAGAGTTGAAATCGGCTCATCTTTAGGGTAATGATTAAATAGACACTAAGGTAGCGGTCTCAAACTTTTGAGCTGGAGACCATTTACATACCCACCCTCCTCCTCCCTCCGGCCCACAACTGACGTCAAAAATATAACGAGATTTGCCCTGTCGAAACATATATTTTTGAACCTTTATCATCGTTGTTTAGTTGCGTCTAGCCACTTGTTTTTTTGACCCGCCACCTAGTCGACATTTAAAGTGCTGCATTCAGATTAGTTTTACTTTCATTTTCTCTCAGTGTACGGTCGAGAGTAACACATGCGCTTTATTTCTGTGGCTGATTTAAATGTTGAAATATATGTCCATAAGTGCTTTATTTTTACTGAAGCTCAACTTTTGAAAATATTCAAGGGTCATTTGATAAGTTTTATACCACTTGTAATTTGTTGTACAAACACTTCTTCATGGCTTACACGCTATGCTGGTTATGTAACAAATATGACAATTTTGCTAATATTCAAATAGTCTCATTTAATAGATTTTCCTCATATGCTTATTAAGATTTTGCATAAAAACTATGTACATTAGTAAAATTGTACTGCCAGTTGAACTGAACGTAAATGTTGATGAAAGTAAATGTGAATATTACTTTACTATTTCCAATGATGACTATTTCCAAAATAATGAAGTACACAGATGCATTGTTTACAACAAGCATACATAAATATAAAAGTGAGAAAAGTACATTTTGATTTCATGACAAATGTTAATAATAAAGGTAATATGATAAAGAACTAAAAATATATTTTAAAAAGATGAAGAACCGCACTGTTTTACAGCCTCATTATTGAAGAGTAATGAATAAACACAAACCTATTAGTTCTTCAGTCTCTTCCTGTTTAATTCTGCAGGGTTCTGGATCACTCATCTTCTCACTGTCCTTCAATAAACTCTGCCTTTGTCTTTCACTGATGGAGCTTCAGAGAAATAAACAGAGAAATCTGATTCATTTACACTGATTGAGGAAATAAATATTAATATGGTAGTTATGTTGTGTAAGTGACAATATGTAACTTGCTCAAGTCAACTGACACCCTTAATATTACCTTAATTTGGCAATTTGTAAATCCGAAGACAGTATAACAACTTGGGCAAGAACAGAAACTACTGACATAAAGAGGATTTCAGCAGCTCTGATAATATTGATGATGAGCCTCAGACTGTAAACACTCATTAAACAGACACTCTGTCTGAATAGATCGGCTCATTTCATACTGAATGTTTGCAGAATTAATTAAGTTTATCAACTATTGCAATTTATTGCACGTAAATCAACATCTAGTTAAAAATCCTCAGTAATTATTTATACCAATAGTCATTAGATTGTTAGCAGTAGCACAATTTGGGAAATCATAAAATACTTTACAAATAATCTGTTGCCGTGACAGATTTACAATATTCCTTCACAGATCACACTTTGTGATATTACAATCGTGGAAATACTTATACACACTAACACAGAAAAACACAAACATCACATCAAGATCATATTGTCCTCTCAGAGCTCCTCTCCGCCTGCAGTATTGTTTTGGTCAGCAGACACACAGATAGAGGTGAACTCAATGCAGAAACTAGTCGCAGATTGTCGCTTTAATAAACTGTAAAGTGTGTTTTATTGTTGTGTAAACACGAGAAAAAGCGTCAACGACTCACCTCAGCTCTGAAGACTCGACGCTGAATGAACGCGTAAGCGGTGACGTCATCGCGACGAGGCGGCCGCAAAAGCGGATAAAAAAAAAACGCGGAAAATACTGCTGACAAACCAAACTGAAACCAACGTGCTAATGTAAACAAGGCATTTCACTCAATAATGTGTGATGAAATTCGGTTTATAAAGCATTAGATTTTTGTTTAATTACATTTAAATAAGCAAAACTGACAGAACAATGGCGCAGGGGGTAGCACGATTTCGAGCCCCAGCTGGGTCAGTCAGCATTTCTGTGTGGAGTTGGCATGTTCTCCCCATGTTGGCGTGGTTTTCCTCCGGATGCTCCTAAACTGTCAGTATGTGTGAATGAGCGTGTATATTTCCCAATGATGGGTTGCAGCTGGAAAGGCATCCACTGTGTAAAACATATGGTGGATAAGTTGGCGGTTCATTATGCTGTGGGAACCCCAGATTAGTAAAAGGACTAAGTAATAAGGGACTAAAGCTGCAGTCACACTGATCTTATCCTCCCATAGACTTCCATTCATACGCACGTGAATGCGTCACACCGGAAACGCAGGGTCATGTGTTAAGTTTTGCTGGTCGCTGCGGTGCAAAGTTCAAGCTTGGTGAATTCTGACCTGCGAAATCGCATCACTTGTCTGCGTGAGACCAATCGAGGATCAAAACATGACCTCTCTGAACAGAAATTTAAAACATGGAGCAATCCACTCGCTTTTGTAATTCCTAATTATCTTGTTTAATCTCACCCCTTTTCAAACTCTAGTGTGACCACAGCTTTACACAAAAAGAAAATGCATGAATAAAACATACTGGAGCGAATCTTGAAAAGGGAGTTATGGACATGCAACTTCGTTGTAATTTACAGAGTTTATTGTAATTGCGCATGAGAGGCTTTTTTACAAATGATTGTAATTATTAGTACACACATTTAACTACCAAAGCTACAGAGACTCGGAAGGGACGAGATAGTGGGGAAAAAAATGAGTGGGAGAAAGAAAAACAGTGATAGGAAAATATATATATTTTTAAGTTTTTGCATTCCCCTACAAATATTGCGTTCTCTCACAAAGATGTTTTGCATTCCCTAGCAAAACTGTTAACACTTCCTGTTCACTTCATACATGGCACACCAGCCGTTTTTGCTGGGACTCTCCTTTAATTTACCATTCTATACCACTATCATCCTATCATTAAGTATTTTCCCATATTTCTCGTGTATTTTTAATCTTGAAAGCTCACTGAAATCAATAAAAAGTATCTGCAATCACTTTCTTTCCATTAAAGCTGTGTGTGATCGTCCCCCTTTATATGCAACCTCTGAATCAGATTAATATGCCACTCAGTATTAGAGATCTGCGCCGGACTAAATTTTGAATCCCGCTCCTGCCTGCTCTCACCATGTTTTAGCCTGAACCCGACTTATATTCAGCATTTGTTGTCCCGCTGCCCGCCCCGCCCCGTTTTTTACCCGCTGCATCCGATCTCGCTAAAGAGTGGGGAGGGAGAACAAAACCGAAAACCACCCAGCTATAGAGTCCAGACAGCCTATAACAAACTGTCTGTATACACACACACACACAGCAACAAACAAGGTAAACAAACATCGTGCTATCTCATTCACACATATACATACGCCTACTCTCTTGCTCTGGGAGTCGGGAGACAGCCGCGGGAATGCAGACCTTCTGTACACGTCATTTAAATTGACACCTCCCTTATCAAACAAGTGAAGAGCTGCAGATAAATCTCCCGTTTTTTTTTGTTCGATAACAGAGGTGTCACTGTAAGAACGCACAGATCTACAATGAAAGCATTCCATTACTTTAATAACCGTTTGTGCTCATTTAAGAGAAAATTAGTTGTGTTTAAAATAAAACACGCAGGACGGATCATGTTTACATATTATTCAGTGTATCTGTCTGTTTAGACATACACCCGAATTCTAAAGTGTCCTGCACTTTTGCTCCTCTGTAAATGGCGTGTACAGAAGCTGATCTGGGATCAGTTTATCATACGAAGCCTGTCAGTCACCACTTATACCGGTTATTGCCTTGCATGCATTCTCTGATTCAGAGGTTGCATATGAAGGGTGATGATCGGCACACAGCTTTAATGGAAAGAAAGTGAATGAAGACGTTTTTATATTCATTTCAGTGAGCTTCCAAGCCTAAAAACACACGAGAAATGTGGAAAAATACTTAATAGCAGGATAGAATGGTATAATACGGGATAATCCTGGCAAAAATGGGATGGTTGACATGTATGAAGGGAACAGGAAGTGTTTGTGGAAAAACAGTTTTGCGGGGGAATGCAAAAACGTCCCTTCCGGGTGTCCGTACAAAGCTGATGTGTTTGAAGAGCTCAGGAACATTTCGCAGATGTGCAAACCTCTTTCCTAAAGGAACACATAAGAGTTCCCATTTGTATGAAATCTAAGATGGGTCTTCAGCTTTGAAGCCCTGGAAAACGCTCTGTCGCATTGGTTACATTTGTGTGGTTTGTCTCCAGCGTGGACGGTCATGTGTTCAAAGAGCTTTGTTTGGTGTCTGAATCTCAGCTTGCACTCAGTACATTTGTATGGTTTCTCCACATCGTGCGTCCTCTCGTGCCGCCTCAAGTCTCCAGATCTAGTAAAAGCCTTCTCACACTGGAAGCACACGTGGGGTTTCAGACCGGTGTGGATCTTCTGATGTGCTTTTAAATATGGCTCACAAATAAAACTCTTTTCACACTCAGAACATGAATAAGGCTTCTTCACTGTATCTTTCAGGTCTTCGCTCTCCTCCTTTTTCACCATCTGGTCTGGAAATTAAGTAAAGAAATAAAGTTACATTTTAGGAGAGAAATGGGAAGTAGGGATGCAAACCATCGTTGATAACTCTTTTACTCGGTGCATCTTCTGGACATCATTAAAGGATTAGTTCTGCTGTAGGCTGTGCGTTACACTTCCACAACTTCACACATTAAACATTAAGCTGTGCAGTTTACACTCCCCTTATCAAGTCGGTCTCTTGACATTAGCCCCTTTTCACACATACAGACCTTTTCGGAAAATTACCGGCAATTTTCCAGAAAGGTTGTATGTGTGAACAGGACCTTTTTGAAAATACCGGTAAATTCATTCTGGCTATTTTCCGGAAAGAGAAGTTGTTACATTACTGGTAATTTGCCGAAATGCTGCGCTGTGTGAACGCAAAAGGAAGATTGCCGGAATAAGCGGGTGCACGTCTAGAACGTGCTGACATGAGACGTCTGCTTGAGCCAATCAGAGCAGTCAGACGCATTAACGTCCGCGCGGTTTATGAGAATAAAAGCCTTTGAATATTTTTCTAGACACATTTAGCTGCTAGAAATTAGTCAGATAAGGTTTATATGTTCATCTTAATGCCAACTGTGTAATTAATCATCGATAAGATGCTTATGATAAGCCGTTGTTTGTTTACCTTCAAGCTTTGTGTGTGCCAATAAACAGTCTATGAGCGCCAGAACACACACATATCATGTATATCTCGACATGCGAAAATGTTTCTCTATACGTTTTCATCGAAGTTGTTCAATACTGGTCCATCCACAGAGTTTGTAATGTAGTCAAATGTTTACAAACACAAGCGCAGCCGTTTAGAGGTCATTTCTGGTTAATGATGTCAGAATTACCGGTATTTTGGAATGGATGTGTGAATGCTCTTTTCTGGAAAAATTCCGTAACGTCCTCGCCTGTGTGAACAGCACTTTTTTGAATTTACCGGTAAAGTCATTCCGTAAATTTTCCAGATATTTACCGGTATCACTGTGTGAAAGGGGCTATTATGTGTGGGAGACATATTAAACCCCACTGTGTGGAAAAAACACAGCTCGACAAAAATGCACAAGTGAAAGCATTTACACCATCTTGGCATCAACGTCAGTCAGCTGCATGCATTGGGAAAAAAATATTAAAGAAATATTAAAACTGTAAAGCAAAAAAAGTGCTTCAATAACAATGAACGGAGTCGTCATCACGTCAGCAAGTGCAAACTTTGCATCCTTGTTACAATGAGGAAAGCTGGCTCCACAGTGACCCTCTTAATAAGTGTGTAATAATTGCATGATTTTTCCAACTCCACAACTCTACTCTCAACTCCACAGTTATCCTAAAATAGACAAACAGTCTTAAGGTGATCTACTCACTGTGAAGGTTTTTAGTGTGTGTTCTTAGAGAAGATGGACTTGTGAATCTCGTCCCACAAACAGTGCAGTGATAGGGTTTCTCTCCGGTGTGTGTCCTCTCGTGCAATATCACATGTTCTGCATGAAGGAATCCCTTTGTGCAGTATGAACAGTAATAGGGCTTCTTGCTAGTGTGAATCCACATGTGAAGCTTGAGATTGTATTGGACCCTGAAACTCTTTCCACAGCGGTAGCAGGTGAAAGGACTTTTCTTTCTAGTTTTATTATTCGCAGTATTAGTTCGAGTTTTGCTTTCCCTTTTGACATCATGTTTTTCCTCATGTTCACAGAGTGCGTCAATCTCCTCCTTCACAACCACATCTGAAAATTAAGAAGATAAGTTACATTTTAAGAGGCTAAATTTTAACTGCACACTCAAATAATCACGAATCCGCTTGTTAAGTGTGACGTCAAGCGGAGCGGCTTCCGGGTCCAAGCGCTCTATTCAACTGAATGGGGAGATTCATGAAATGATAATAATAAACGTTTACAAAGCGATTTAATACTTTTGAAAGTCACGATCACAATATATATGCCCATGCCTAATATCCGATGGCCAGAAAGTGATTCATTGTTTTATAAATTGTTGAAATTTTGGTAAATTTTAAATTTCAAGCCCAGAGATTGTTGTGTACACTATGACTTTATGTAAAATTTACTTTAATGTGTGATATGAATAAAACGCGATCATAAACGAATGATTTCTCCACTCAAATTAATGGCTTGGACCCGGAAACAGTAGACATATGTCACAAACACGTCACCACTTAACAAGCGGATAAGAGCACTTGTGCTTTTGGCTTGAGTTGGTGGTCAATTTTAAACACAGCTCACCATGAATTCTCATACAATTCATCTAAACATTTTTCAATGCTATTAATGCTTACTTTAGGTTCAAGTTTTGTGTGAAATTTTTTTTATACATGTATACAATTTTTAAGGGAATACAAAGTACCCTGTACAGCGCCAAACTAAACTCAGAACCAGTTAACCCTTATGGCCTCTTTCCACTGAATGGTATGGTACGCTTTTATGCACGTTTCCACTGTAAAACAGTACCAAAAAGTGAACCGTACTACTTTTTGGGTACTCTTGTAGAGGATGACACAGGAGTGGATTTTCACTCCTGTCCATCCAAGCCTTACTCATGCATTAATGCATCACACTGTACGACGTAATAAGACACACTCTGGCACAGACGTCCAGTCTGCACGCTGGAATACACGCTATTATGTCATGGCCGTGACGCAGCTTTAAAAATTCGTTTCAAACCGGAAGTACGAATTTGCTTGAAATAATGCAAAAACAACAAATTTACACTTTTTAGTGAAATATAGGTGTCCTAATAGTGTTTTAGGCAGTGTGGGACACATATACGACTATCAACAGCTCAAAAAATGTGTTTTGGTGTTTCGTGACCCTTTAAATAACCTTGTTTGAGTTGTAAAGTTAATGTGGGTGACATATTCTAAACAGAAACTGTTAATGTAAAGTAAAAGATAATATTAGCATGTACTAAAACTGATGAAGAACTTTAAGATTAACCACCTCACTGTACTTCATCCTCATTATTGAAGAGTAATGAATAAACACAAACCTATTAGTTCTTCAGTCTCTTCCTGTTTGATTCTGCAGGGTTCTGGATCACTCATCTTCTCACTGTCCTTCAATAAACTTTGCTTTGTCTTTTACTGATGGAGCTTCAGGAGAAGAAACAGAGAAATCTGATTCATTTACTCTGATTAAATAAATCACAGGATATCTCATCAGTGATACAATATGTGACTATATAATTTGTTCAAGTCAGCTGACACCAATATAATTACCTTAATGTGACAATTTGAGTATCAGTATAATGAATAAAGGAAAAACAGAAACTATTGACATGAAATAAAGAGGATTTCAGCAGCTCTGATAATACTGATGAGCCTCAGACTATAAACACTCATTTAACAGACACTCAGGATCAGCAGATCAGTCTGTTTTATACTGTTTGCAGAATCAAACGATTACAATCGTTTAATTACCAACTGTGATATAGTTTTCTTTAGCATTACATCAATATCTAGTTTAATATTCCTAGTAACCATTCGTACAATGTAATTAGATTATTGGGAGTAGCAAGTCAATTCGCTAACGTTATGTAGCCTACAGAGAGCAGGAAACCATCAACGTTTACAAAATAAAGAGCTCCATAATCATTGAATGAATTCTCTGTCAAAGCTCATCCATATATCTGCTATTTATATCCCTTCACAGATCATACTTTGTGAAATTACAAATACACGTACAAACTTAAACGCACTAACAAAGTAAAACACATTCACTCATGTTGTCCTCTCAGAGCTGCTCTCCGCCTGCTGTATTGTTTTGGTCGGCAGACACACAGATAGAGGTGAACTCCATGCAGAAACTAGTCGCAGATTGTCGCTTTAATAAACTGTAAAGTGTGTTTTATTGTTGAGTAAACACGAGAAAAGGCAAAAACCACTCACCTCAGCTCTGAAGACTCGACGCTGAATGAAAGCGTCAAGTGCTGACGTCATCACGGCGAGACGGGTCGTGCTAACAATAACAAACCTATTTCTTTCATGATATTTCTTGGAAAATTGTGTGATCTTTACCCAACATTTTTTTAATCACAAATAAGATTAAAGAGGTTTCATTCAAATTGCTACATCGAGTTTATCCATTGAATGTTTATATTTAAAAAAAATGCTAACTGAAAAGGATCCCCTTTTGTGGATTAGTAGATGAATCTGTCGATCCTTTTTTTGGGAATATGCCCATGTTAAGATTTTTTGGAAAGAATTCAGTTTATTTATACGTGTATCTCTTTTAGATAATTTTTCTTTGTCATACAAGGATGTTTTTTTCTTTTTATCATGTTGATAAAGTTAAACATTTTCTAATAAATCTGTTTATTTTAGTAGCTAAATGTTTTATACACAAATGCGATTTTTTTTGTCTGTAAAGCCCCTTTTTCTTATTTTTGTAAAGATTTGAAATATTATTTAAATACAGTCTCCACCTCCAGCAAAGTTAAAGCTTTAAAATCAGCAACACTATGTGAATCTTACAGTATTGTCTCTTTTCTGTTATACCCAGAGGACTGTATTGTATGTGATCTTGTAAGCATTACTGTGACCTAGGTTTATGATAGATTTAAAGTGATTTTTTAATTCATATTGCCCCTGGCATAATCTTTTCTTTCTTTTTTGGTTTGTTCCATTGTCTACTTTTGTTGGATTTGTACCTTTTCTTTAGATTTTTGTATTATTGATGAACGTTCCAATAAAAAAAGCCAAAAAATAAAAAATAAAAACAACAACAAACCCCCCAACATCCTGACCAAATTTGCCCACTGGCCTCTGTCCATCATGGCCTTATACCCTGCTAAAAAAACACAGCTTAAACCAGCCTAGGATGGTTGGCTGGTTTTAGCTGGTCGACCAGCCTGGTTTCAGAGGGGTTTTGGCCACTTCCAGGCTGGTTTCCAGCAATTTCCAGCCTGGTCTTAGCTGGTCAGCTAAAACAATCTAAAACCAGCTTGACCAGCCTGGTTTAAGCTGGACATAGCTGGTTTTGGCTGGGCTTTCAGGCTAGCTAGGCTGGTCAAGCTGGTCATCTCCCAGCCTGTCTGGAAACCAGAAATGGCTGGAAACCAGCTTGGAAGTGGCCAAAGCCCCCCCTAAAACCAGGCTGGTCGACCAGCTAAAACCAGCCAACCATCCTAGGCTGGTTTAAGCTAGATTTTTCAGCAGGGTAAACATCCTCATATCATCATGCCGTCACATCATCCAGGTGGAAGCTGCACACTGGTGGTGGATGAGCAGATTACCCCCCAAAAAATGTGTAAAGCACTTTGAGTGTCCTGAAAATGCTATATAAATGTAGTGAATCATTACTAACACAGGCTATATTTGAAAATAACAACACTTGCTCTTGTAGAAAAGGGTCACGAAACAGCAAAACACATGTTTTGAGATGTTGACAGTCATATATGTGCCCCACACTGCTATAACACTATTAGGACTCGTATATCTCACTAAAAAGTGAAAATTGGTTGTTTTTGCGTTATTTCCAGCAAATTCGTTCTTCCAGTGTGAAAAGAAATTTTAAAGCTACATCACAGCGATTAGATCCTTGTGTAAACAGGTATGGCAGAGGGAGTGGGATAATGGAGAAAAGGCAGACATATGCATTGTATTCAAGGATGTGTGGGCGTTATTAGAAATAAGTTTGGTAATGGAAGGAATGATGTGGTGGCAACTAGGCTGTGTGTCGGTCATTGTTTGCTAAACCAGTATAAGTTTAGAATAGGAAAGCATGAAACATTGTTTACCCGAGGGTTTTATTTCTCTCATACGGCATGCGGTATCAAACATTCCATTAAAACTACACTCTTCCAGCAGTTCCTCGCATCCCATATCTCATTTGTCACGGGGGCGTGCATGAAATGTTCCTGAATGAAAGTGAAAGTGCCGAACTGCAGTTAAAGTCCACAAATTAATAATTTGGCAAATAATTTGATCACTGATGTCCATGTAAACACAGTCACTGTCTTTCTCCTCTGCGTCTGTGTGTTTATTTAGCCTCTGTAAAAATCAGCAAGTGCAGGAGTGAAACTCCTTTTTTAATGCAAACCCTTCCCTCTTTCGCCAATCGACACTCCCACCTAAACAAAGCTGCACCCACCCACTTGGCCCTTTAATCAAGTTAAATGCATTAAGTCTGTTTTCATTAATTAATTCATTTGCTTTTCAGCTTAGTTCCTTTATTAATCAGTGGTCGCCACAATGGAATGAACCACCAACTTATCCAGCATATGTACATCTGCAGCTGATGTCCTTTCAGCTGCAACCTATCACTGGGAAACACCCATACACTCATTCACATACCTGTCAACCCTCCTGTTTTTCCCGGGATTCTCCCGTATTTTACAATTCTATCCTGCTATCATCCCGTACAGGTATTTTCCCATATTTCTACCGTATTTTCAGTCTTTTTCTGAAAAGCTGCAAGAAACATTAATGAGTCGAGCCTCCCTATACGCAACCCATACTGCCAAACCACTAGGGGCCGCCCCTTGCTCCTAAATGCGAGTCTGTTCTGTGCTTTCGCTTTGTTTAGCCACAAAAACACTTTGAAATAAATATAATAACAGCGCGATTCCCTGCCGTCACCCCCCCTATGCAATCCTCAAAACATTTAATGGTTCATGACTGTCAGCTGACGCGCTGTATAGTGATAAATAGACGCTGTTTCCCAAACGGACTCTATACGTGTGATTTGTAGCAGAGTGAAAGTGGCTTTTGGGTGCATGTTTAAACAGACATATACACATAATTAATAATAATAATAACATATAAAGATGTCGATGTTGGTGTTTTTTTTTTTTTCAAATACAACTAATTTCGTCTTAAATGACTTAAATTCCTTCATTATATTGTTAGATGTTAATGTAATCAAACGAAAAATTTAAATAAATGAGATTTATTGGTTGCTCTTTAATCAGAATGTGTAAATTATACAGTGAAGAAACTCCTTATGAGAATTTGATTCTATTTCATTATAATAGCTATTATTTAATAAGCTGAGCTGGGGTCCGTTCTTCGTACGTGGATTACTCAGTTAGCTGGATTTGGATATTGACGATTTGACACGATCCAGGATCGTTTCGTTCTTCAAAGCTGATCCGAGAGTTGTTGTCATGGCAACAGATCTGCTAGGTCAAACCTGATCGGGAGCAGGTTCAATTCATATAAACAGGATTAGATCTGCTCAGTTCAAGCAAAGATACAGTAAGTATGTACCGAGTTCTGATATTTTCTTACAGTAGTAGTTATATACACTTGGGAAAATAGTAAATAGTTTTTAACTATATATATATAAAGTTATAGTCATTAATAAAATAAATAAAGTTATACATATTAATAAAACGTATGCAATCTGCACCCTCGAAATGAAAATACAAAGACTGCCATCTGGTGGTGCACAGAGAAAACTTATTGATATGAACTTTTTAGATCGCTTTAGTACAAATTGTGTATAATAGAAATGCACAATATGTGACTTTTTTTAAAGCAATAATACATTTATGCAGTCATGAACATGTTTTCACAGTTAATATGCCGGTGATTTGATGCTTCACAAAAGTTGCAGACGCCTTTACCAATATCAAAATGCTTTTGGAAACAACCAGTTATTCTTTACACCGATTAAAAAACTGTACTATAATAAAGAAAATCTTTTCTAAATGTGGAACTAAATACGTTGATTTGCATTGAAATACATGATGAATACTCTCGACACATGAAAGTGTAAAGCCTGCAGCTCACAACAAATGTGGAAAGTTATTGTGTGTCATATTTAACAAGCCGTTTACTGCTAATTTGATGTAATTTTGCTCACATGGATAATTGAATATTAATCAGATGATGCCATTACGCTGTCATCGTTGCATTGCTGATCATGATTTCGAGGATGGATAGATCTGTCCTTCACAACACACGCAGCGATCTCAGATCAGTTTATCCAGACATTCTAATCTGATTCGCGAACTTGTTTGAAGAACCAAATTAGCGAGAGATCAGTTATCAAGATTAAAAGATCCAGGATCTGCCAAATCATCTTAGATCATTTAAGCGAGGTACGAAGAACGGACCCCTGATTGCTAATGTATTTGCTGCTAATTTATATATTTATTTTTTCTTTTGTAGATAATAATAATAAAAAAAATATATTACTGACTATTTCACTGTTTACTTAAGGGGTATCCCTTATTATGGTGGGCATATCCCTTTTTTTTAACATCCCAATGTTGACAGGTATGACACTACCAACAATTTAGCTGACCCAATTCCCCTATACCACATGTGTTTGGATTATGGAGAAAACCGGAGCACCCAGAGGAAACCCACGCCAACACGGGGAGAACATGCAAACTCCACACAGAAATGCCAACTTGCCCAGCTGAGGCTTGAACCAGTGACCTTCTTGCTGTGAGGCCATAAGTCTGCCGCCTAAATCTGTGTTTTTAAATGCATTATGATCAATACATAAACGACTTGTTAAGCATTTCACCCAAAGCAAAATTCTCCCCCCACACCCTGCCTCTTTGCCCGTTTTTACAGTCTATGGTTGCTCCCAGGACTGGGTGTGTCATTTGGCTCACTTCTTTTTCTAGTGTGGATCACCATGTGTTGTTTAAGTTTAGCTGATTGCCTGAAACTCTGCCCACACTGAGTGCATGTGTACGGTTTCTCTCCAGTGTGGATCATCTCGTGCTGTTTCAATTGTCCAGCTGTAATAAAAGTCTTCTCACACTCGGAGCACATGTGCTCCCTCACTCCAGTGTGGATCTTCTCATGATGTCTCAAACCGGTCTGCTGTTTAAAGCGCTTCCCACACTCAGGACACGAATAAGGCCTCTCATTTGTATGAACTCTAAGATGGTCCCTTAGCTGTGAAGCCCAAAAGAAAGTCTTGTCGCATTGATCACATCTGTGCGGCCTCTCTCCAGTGTGGATCAGCCGGTGCTGCTTAAGCTGGTTTAGTTGTCTGAAATTCTCCCCGCACTGAGCACACGTGTACGGTCTCCCTCCAGTGTGGACCAGCATGTGTTGATTAAGGTGTGGAGAGTCTCTGAAACTCTTCCCGCACTGAGTACATACGTGTGTTTTCTCTCCGGTGTGGATCATCGTGTGTCGATTAAGTTGGTACAACTGTCTGAAACTCTTCTCACACTGCGTACATCCGAATGGTTTCTCTCCGGTGTGAATCAGCGCGTGTCGTCTAAGGTGGTGGGATTTTCTGAAACTCGCCCCGCATTGAGCACACGTGTGTGGTCTCTCTCCAGTGTGGACCAGCATGTGTTGATTAAGGGAGGATAACTGTCTGAAGCTCGTCCCACACTGGGCACATGAGTACGGTTTCTCTCCGGTGTGGATCATCATGTGCTGTTTAAGTCTTGATAGTCGTCTGAAACCCGTCCCACACTCGGTGCATGTGTACGGTTTCTCTCCGCTGTGAATCATCATGTGACGGTTAAACGTCTTTTTGCACGACAGACTCTTCCCGCACTCAGTGCAGATTAAACATTGCTTGTATTTTGTCTTCTCTTCACATGTGTTCCCCTGTGGTTTAGACATGACGGTGTGTCTGAAATAAAGGTAGGAACACTGCACTGTAAAGGAGTGAAACAGAAAGTGAAAGTAAACAACAACTACATTAATTCATGATGATTTGAGCAATTTTCTAAATCTCAATTCATGATCAAGACACACGGATCTTACAGTCGTTATTTTCAAAACATTCGTTGTGAAATGTCGCTGAAATCACATTACACTGCACTGTCAATGTCTGATTATTTTACACAAATATAAAATGGCAGTTGATGATGATGTTACATGAGAACACGAGGACGCAAGCTTGCTGAAGAACGCATATTGAGAAACAGCCTAAGTCATCTCTCTTTACATACAGTCACGTGACGAACGAACGACTCGAAAACCAGAAGTCTCAAAAGGTGAACTAATCATGGCTCCTTTCGGCTCAAACTGTGTGCATTGGTTAAGATCATATGTGACAGTCAGTTAGGGCTGCAACAATGAATCGATTAAATTGATAAAAATCCATTACTAAAAGCACTGGCAACGAATTTCATAATGGATTCGTTGTGGTGTGCGACACGGAGATTTTTGATTATTAAAAAACACTGAGAAAGACGTGTCATATTATCATAATTATGCAGCGTTTTAACCGCCTAATGCTTATTTTATGTTTTAGACATGTAAATACACACACTTACTGGTAAAACAAAACATTTAGCGTTTGCAAAACACACAAGTAGATCTAACAATCCATTCAAATATAATCTGCCGATGTGTTTTATTCATATCAGATACACATTACACATAATAAGTTGAATCTATTCTTCTCTAAGTTCACCAGCCACTTACTTGCATGTATTAGGGGAATACCAGGTGAATTTATGTGCTGAATCCTGCGCGTTCTGCTTTTTATGAATGAGAAAAACGTGCGGCCGCAAGTAAACATGGCGACGCCCATTGTAGGAGCCATACATTGTATATTGGCGATTGGCCACAAGGTGTCAGTACGACACTATATAACTGTGGCGCCACTGCAAGGAGGAAGACAGTGTTGGTAGGAAGCACTCGAGCTGCGTCCCAAATCGCATACTTATGCACTATTCTACGCCATTTTGTAGTATAAACAGTGTAAGTAGTGCGTTCACACTGAAAACTCTAAAAATAATAAGTGCACTTTAATTACCCGGATGATGCACTCATTCAGCCGGTAAAATGAAGTGTGTAATGATGGACACTTCACGCACTCAACGACCGCAGGTTTGCTTACGTAGCGGAAGGGGCGGAGCTATCGGACGCACATGTTGAATAACTTTATTTAATTTGGATGGTGAAAGCAGAATTCTCCTACGAGAGTGATTATAGCGCCTCCCGATGGTGAATGCGGCAAAACTCATGGCAGGTATTATTTGATAATTCGGCCGTTTACTTCAATGATTTGGCAACCGTCAAACGTCATCAGGGAAACGGTTTGAATTTCCGCTTAGTAAAAAAAACATTAGTGTGCCATTTGGGACGACACTACATACATATACTATCCTGTTGAGTGTGTAAGTGCATAAGTACATAGTGCATGAGTGCATAGTGTGCCATTTGGGACGCAGCTTCAGTTTTTGACCGTCTCGTCTCGTAACTGAGTGTAATTCAACTCAACTCAAGGTAACAGAGAAGTGTGCATACAGATCAAGGAAAAAGATTAAGTAATTCTGTTGATTGGAAGTTAATTGGAAAATAAAGACGTTTTTATTTGCATCTATTTTGCTTACGGACTCTGACTTTTACGCGTTAAAAACTTGCTCACTCTTCCAACAATAGCGGCATTGGAAAGCCGCTACACCCATCTCGTTATAGAATATGATCACTTACACGCTTATGTGAACTGGTAAACTTCTGTTTGAGATTATCTCATTAAGATTATTTTTCTTACCCAATTCATAAATAATTTGACTTGTTTTAAGCAAACAATCACTTTATTTTGAGGTGTTTTTTTTTTCCAGAAAACAAGACATAATTTATTATGCTACTTCATCTGTCTAGTGTGTATCTTGATTTAAAAATATTTAGATATTTGGATTGAAAACAGGACAAAACTACTAAGTTTAATATTAATATTATTATAAAAGCTCAGTGAGCGTTTTTTTGAAAAATAGTTGGAAATTAATGCTTTTTTTTACTATCCGACTCATTCATTCATTTTCTTGTTGGCTTAGTCCCTTTATTAATCCGGGGTCGCCACAGCAGAATGAACCACCAACTTATCCAGCAAGTTTTTATGCATCGGATGCCCTTCCAGCCACAACCCATACACTCATTCACACACATACACTATAAACAATTATAGCCTACCCAATTCACCTGTACCACATGTCTTTGGACTATGGGGAAACCGGAGCACCCGGAGGAAACCCACGCGAATGCAGGGAGAACATGCAAACTCCAGACAGAAACGCCAACTGAGCCGAGGTTCGAACCAGCGACCTTCTTGCTGTGAGGCGACAGCACTACCTACTGCCTCGCCCTACTATCCGATTCATCGATTATTAAAATAATCGTTAGTTAAAGCCCTACTGTCAGTCACGAGAACGAACCACTCAAGTTTGACATGAAGAGGTGAGCTGAGCAGAGACAACATATCACTATAGACAAAAAGAGCAGGTAAACAATGAATGACTAATTTCTTTCTTAAAGTATTCTATTCATGACTTGTCTGTTGTGTGATCCACCTTTGAAATGGTTGTAGAAGCGTTTGGAAGCAATTCATAACATTTTAATATTATATTGGCAAATTATATTGGCAAAAGATTTGTTTCGATGAACGAGACTCAAAGATACGAGTCAGTAAAATGATCCAAACTTCCCATCACTACTGTACAACAGACTCGACTCTGGGAGTCAATTAGTAGTTGGTCGATTGAGAGTCATAGAATCGACTCTTTTGGAGTCGACTCCCCATCCCCACATAAAACCAGAGGCTTGTGTGTTGTTGATATAAAAAAATAAGGTTTGTCTAACCCCATTACTTTGTTCATTATTTGGCCACAACCAAAAAGTGTCACTCATATCTGTGCCCCGCTCTCCCCAATTATTGATTAGAGCTGTTGATTACCGTTGACTTTGCTTAAGAACTTCCTATTCAGTTGTCTATGAGAGAAATGACTAGCAATAATAATCGGCAGAAAACGGTCAAACCGCTTACTCTACAAACAAGTGTCTTTCTAGCTATGTATAAAAAGTATAATACAATAATATGAAAGATCAGTTTGCAACATGAAGCAGCAAAACGAGCCGTTTTAACGTCTAAAAAGAAATGACAGTAAATGAGACCGGAAGTCTGGAGCCGAAAAGCTTCTAGTGGCTGCGCCCGCTCGTACATTTTATGTATTATCACAATAATCAAAACCCACATTACTGTATTTAGACGGAGCTAAATCACTCACCTCTCAGCAGGCGGGTTTGCCGCGAACTGGATAAAAGCAACCGGAACCGGAAATCTGCGCTTAAAGGACCCCGTATGATTTTTAACAACACAAGGCGCTGTAAATAAACATGTAGCTATGGAAACATGACATCGCTGTTTAAAATGAGTAATAGCGTTAATTTCAATCAGATAAAGTAATAACTGATCATTACAGCAGGTGAATTTTATAGCTTAATAATAACACTCATTATATTTGGCTGATCTCAGCTGCTTTTAAGATGAAAATAAGCTTGTATTTGTGAGTATATTTTATTTTCAATATTTCATGCATAAAACCAATGATGTTTGATTATTATTACTATTATTTGAACAAATAACATCAGAAATCAAACCCAGGTCTCGTAAAAACATGACAAAAAAAATTAATTAAAAAAAATTACTAAATGATTTGATGGAACATAAGCAGAATTACAGATAATATTTTAAAAGTCCCTTGAAATGTAAATACTTTCTAGATGTTAGCATGAGTATTGTCTATTTTAAAGACACCTATAACTACTGTGTTGCAAAACAACAACAAAATATGTGTTTAGAAGACAACCGGCGACGCAGTTTGTAAGGTGGCTACTGTCACCTCACAGCAAGGTCGCTGGTTCAAGTCCCAGCAGATCCAGTTGGCATTTTTGTTTGCAGTGGGTTTTCTCTGGGTGCTCTGGTTTCCCCACAGTCCAAACACATGTGCTATAAGGGAATTAACTAAATTGGCCGTAGTGTATAAGTGTGTTTCCTTGTACTAGGTTGCGGCTGGAAAGGCATCGGCTGCTTAAAACATATGCTGTAATAGTTGGTGGTTCATTCCACTGTGATGAAGTAAGGGACTAAGGATGAATGATGTTCATTCATTTTCTTGTCAGCTTAGTCCCTTTATTAATCCTGGATCACCACAGCAAAATGAACCGTCAACTTATCCAGCATGTTTTACGCAGCAGATGCCCTTACAGCCGCAACCCATCACTGGGAAACACCCATACACACTGAATGATGATGTAAAACTGATAAAACATCCAAAGCTTGTAGTTCGACTGTCTAAATGGAAAAAACATTTATTTTCTATCCACCTCATATTTCAGTTCCTCATCGAATCTTGACCAATCAAACGCTCTCTAGTATCTGACATGCCCCGCCCCCTTCTCTTTTGATGCACTTGAGCTCAGCCACTCTCACTGGCAGAGCTGTGATAAAACAAAACACTAATCATTTTCTTGTCGGCTTAGTCCCTTTATTAATCAGGGGTCGCCACAGCGGAATGAACATCCATTTGTGTATGTTTTACACAACTAATGTCCTTCCAGCCGCAACCCAACACTGGAAAACACCCATACACTCTTGCATTCACACACATACACAAGAGCCAAATCAGGGCCGGAGTGGGACTCCTTTTCAGCCCTGGAGTTTCAAGCCTCAGACCGGCCCACCTCAGTTTACGACTGACTATATTAAAATAAGGTCATTTCCAATTCAGTTTCTAATGACACTTTCACGTCTTTTTTTGAGAAAACAGCTGCTTTAGAACTTCAAATGTCCAACAACCCTAACAGTATTATATGTCTTAACAATAAAAATGAAAACATAACACTACTCTAATGAGGATCGAACCCGGGCCCGCAGAGTCTTAACCTAACGTGCTAACTGCCGGACCACAACAACTGTATGGAGTAAGGAGACACAACTAAGTTTTATCATCATTAAACTAGATAAAAAGAGAAGAGTTGCGATAGAATAATGAATAAAAAGGCTGTGGTCAAGTAAATAAATAAATTTAAAAAGTGTGACTGCTGAGAGCAACAGATTCTGGAGCTAGGGACACCGGCCCTCGCGGCCAAAAAACGGACCGGCCCATCGGGAATTCTCCCGGTCCTCCTGATTAGCCAATCCGGGCCTGAGCCAAATTCATCTTTTCCAATTCTCCTATCGCGCATCTGTTTGGACTGTGGGGGAAACCGGAGCAAACCCACGCCAACACAGGGAGAACATGCAAACTCCACAATGAAATGCCAACTGACCTAGTCGGGGCTCAAACCAGTGACCTTCTTGCTGTAAGGGAATTGTGCTACCCACTGTGATGCCCAAAATCAGCTTTTTTATTTAAAAGAGGAGGAGCTATTCTATGTCCCGCCCTCTGGTTGACATTACATCAAACATCAAATAAAAGCAAAACACACTTCAAAACACTTCAAGGGACTTTTAATGATATAAAGCTGCACACATGGTGTGCAACTGAACACATTTAGTTCAGGGGTGGCCAACCCGGTTCCTGGAGAGCCACCTTCCTGCAGATTTCAGTTGCAACCCATATCAAACACACCTGAACCAATTAATTAGGACCTGAACACACGTGATAATTACAGGCAGGTGTGTTTGATGTGGGTTGCAGCTTAAATCTGCAGGAAGGTGGCTCTCCAGGAACCGGGTTGGCCACCCCTGATTTAGTTCATCTTCAGCTGGTTTATATAAATGCAGTGTAACATGTCTTCAGTGATGAAATCAAGCAAGGAAAACACAAATACAGATCTCCCTCATCCAGTCGTCTCTTATTCCAGGGTTTCTGATGTCCAGACACGCCCCACAAACATAAATGTTTTGCTAACTGTGTCATTTGGTCCGTTTCTCTTTACTGTGGATCTTCATGTGCTTTTTAAGGTGTGGTGCGCCTCTGAAACTCCTCCCACACTGAGGGCAGCTGTACGGTTTCTCTCCAGTGTGAATCATCAGGTGTCGTTTCAAGTCTTCCCCCGTTATAAAGGCCTTATCACACTCAAAGCACTTATACTTTTTCACTCCGCTGTGGATCTTCTCGTGTCGTCTTAAATGTGTCTGTCGTGTGAATGTCTTCCCACACTCAGAACAAGAATAAGGCTTCTCCTTTGTATGAACTCTATGATGGTCCTTCAGATGTGCAGCGCTCAGGAATGTTTTGCTGCATTCATCACATTTGTACGGTCTCTCTCCAGTGTGGACCATCATGTGCCGATTAAGGTAGTATAATTGTCTGAAGCTCGTCCCACACTGAGTGCACATGTACGGTTTCTCTCCAGTGTGGATCATCATGTGTCGATTAAGGCTGTGTAATTGTTTGAAACCCATCCCGCACTCAGTGCACGTGTACGGACTCTCTCCGGTGTGAATCATCATGTGATACTTGAACGTCTTCTTGCATGACAGACTCTTCCCGCACTCCGTGCAGGTGAAACATGCACTCGTCTTCTCTTCACATGTGCTCTCCTGTGGTTTAGACATGACGGCGTGTCTCAAATAAAGAACACTGCACTGTAAAGGAGTTAAATAGAAAGTGAAAGTAAACAACAAAGGCATTAATTCAGGATGATTAGGGCAAATTTATGAATCTCAATCCATGCAATTTTTTTTTCTTTTTTTAGCAAAAAAAATATGTTTTTTTGCTGAAAAAACATCTTAAACCAGCCTAAGCTGGTTGGCTAGTTTAAGCTGGTCGACCAGCCTGGTTTTAGAGGGGTTTTGGCACTTTCCAGCCTGGTCTTAGCTGGACGGGCTGGAAAATGACCAGCTAAAACCAACTTGACCAGCCTTGTTTAAGCTGGACATAGCTGGTTTTGGTTGGGCTTCCAGTCTGGCTAAACCCTGGTTTATACTTCTGCGTCAAGTGCCCGGCATAACCCACGGCGCATGCAACGCATGTAGCTGTGCATTTATACTTCTGCGCGCTGTCCCTGTTGGTCTGCATTAACACTTCCGAAACGCTAGTGGGCAGTGAGGTGTAAATGTTCCTCTGTGTCGAGTTTCTTCGCTGCTGTTTTGCTTTTCCTGAACACTTCCGGGATGTACAAGTGGCTCAAACTTGCTCATTTTGAGGCAGGAACCGGCGGACGAGCAACAACTTAAACTATGAGGTAAACACAAAACAAAAATTTCCATCCGGAGCTCCTTTAAGGGACTTCACACTTGTAAACAATCGATCAGGCTCGCGTCCAGCCCGCGCGGCTCTTGGTCCCGCCCAGACTCGTCAGCGCTACCAAGCCGACCAATCACAGAGCTTGCGCCATGCGTCGTTGCGACATGTAGTTACAATTTTTGAGAGGCGCCGTAGCATACGCCGACGTTTGACGCAGAAGTATAAATCAGCCTTTAGCTGTTCAAGCTGGTTGTAGATGACATTTAAATTGTTCCATCATGGACACTTCTACCTCCATCCAGTAGAGGGTGCTGTTGTCTTAAAACATAGCCACATTAAAGAAGTTTTTGGTGAAGTGTTTAGTGCTACGAAAGGAAAGGACTTTGGAGTGCTCTCTGTTAAAACGATCTTAAAGGCAGTCAAAAAAGGTTTCCTCACATTTAGCTCCTGGCTGATGAAGGGCACACGGTATTGTTTATATGTTAATCAGTGAAATTTAAAAAGACTGTTTATCTTGAAAGTTTATCGTTTGTTGACGGTCTTTTGGTTAGCATTGAATTGTTAGCACATATATAAGGATTTTGAGTATCAGTGTTATCAATATTATTTGTTAGTTTTGTACAAAAGGCATGTCATTTAGTGTTATTACTATTTCCTTATAATTTGCACTACAAATAGGACATTAACAGCCATTAAGGTCTTTCTTTTGGTCATTTTATATGTTTTAGATTTATCTTTCTAAAAATAACATCACCAATTGAGCTAAAATTAATTGTTAAAGGTGTTTATATTGCAGTACTATTATTATTATTACTGCATTAAATATTGCCCTTGTTAGTGTCAAAACAATTCAAATTATTTAGACGTATCACTATACAGTTAATAACGTTTATATTTTATGCCTGTACAGTGAATATGAGACTGTAAATGTGTATTTATCAGTTTATTTGGCTTGTTTTGAGCATTTGTTTAACACAATTTCAAGGATATGTGTAATGAGTATTACTTCTTTCTTTTATTCAGCTCTTACGATGCTTTATTTTGAAGATTAAAAACTTTATAAACATCAGTCCCTGAGAGTAAAGTGCATCTGTTCAGCTGGGAATCTCCCCAGCCTGACCTGCTAAGGCTGGAAATGCCCAAAACCCCTTTAAAATCAGCTAAAACCAGCCAACCATCCTAGGCTGGATTTTTCAGCAGGTATGGTGCGTTTCTGAAAGGCAATGTCTGGTTATTTCTTAGGGACACAAAAGGCTCGGATTTTATTAAATAACCCTTACATAAACTACAAACAATACAGAAGCTTGAACCTGTGGCTTTCTCTTGCGTTTGTAAACAATCCTATCAGTGACAGGGAATCATATATAAACAAAGCTCACAGACTCAACTCAATACACCTTCTCCATGAACACAAGCTGCACATCATTCACACGAACTGCTCATGTGTTTAATTAAGAGTAATGTGCATTTCAGCACGAAGTTTTACGTATTACCGCAGCAAACAAACCCATATTAAGCTGTTTAGACGGAGCTTCAGTGTAAATCACTCACCTCTGCAGGCGCAAACTGAAGAAACGCAACCGGAAGCGGAAAGCCGTTCTTAAAGGAGCCGCGTACCATTTTTAACAACACACAAGACACAAAAAAATACTATGGAAACATGACATCGCTGAAATTAAAATGATCAATAACATGTTAATTGTAATAATATAAGGTACAGAATAAGTGATCATTAATGCAGGTAAATTTTGAGTGAAATTCATAAGTTAATAACCCTCATTACATTTGGCTGATCTCAGCTGCTGTGGTGTTTAAAAATGACTTGTTTAAATCCATCTCGTTTTAGTTGTGAGAAATTTCAAATTAATTGAAAGTGTGAAGCTGATCAGGCAGCATGGTAGCACAATCACCTGGTTTGAGTCCCGGCTGGGTCTGTAGAGTTTCTGTGTGGAGTTTGCTTGTTCTCCCAGTGTTGGCGTGGGTTTCCTCCGGGTGCTCCCCCACAGTCCAAACACATGTGCTATAGGGGAATTGAATAAGCTGAATTGGCTGTGGTTTTCTTTTCAGCTTAGTCCCTTTATTAATCAGGGGTCACCACAGCATAATGAACCGCCAACTAATCCAGCATATGTTTTACACAGCGGATGCCCTTCCAGCTGCAACCCATCATTGGGAAACACCCATACACTCTCATTAACACACATACACTGCGGCCGATGTAGTTTATCAATCCCCCTATAGCGCATGTGTGTTTGGACTGTGAGGGAAACCGGAGCACCCGGAGGAAACCCACTGCCAACGTGAATCACAAATCTTGCTGCGAGGCGACAGCGCTACCAACTGCACTGCCCAAATGTAACATCAATAAATCTAAATAAAAACAATTCATTTGGAGAATGAGGAATATTTATTTTTGAACACACACACACACATGGTGTCTTTGACATGCGTTTGGTATGATCTACAATGTCCTCAGCGCAGTGGGCATGGCGAAGCACAGCAGAGTTCTGGAGATGCTGTAGTGCAGTGGATAAGTCCGTGCATCCCTCTAGCTGCCCGTGTGTCCTCATCTGGGCCGGATGTTGCTGTGCTCTCTTCATCATCTGTATAATTGCGTTTCTCAGGCATGGACGGCCTCATGTGCCAACCCTGATCCAGTCTGACTGCAGCAGTGAGGCATGATGATGATGATGATGGCAAACACAGATGAAGACCTGCTGATCTTCTCCTGAACTGGCCAAACTGTCTGTAATATGAGTGTTAGAACAAGTTAGATTAAAGCTTGATTTCATGTGTTGTTGACTTGTATTTATTTATTTGTAATGGTTGTATTCATTCCTTTACTCAGATATTAATAAATCCTTCAGTTGTCAATAAACGAAACTATTTTTCAATAATGTATACATGATTTCATATTTCGACTGAAAATTAAGATGTACTCACATTGGCTCCATCTGTCTAGTGACTTCACGCATGGCTGTGGCATATTTTGTGTGTTGTTTAAATGAATATTATGCTAATTTACTTATCTGCGTAATTATTTTATTTCTGTTCTTTGGTTGCTTTGTTTACCTAACGAAATTACTACTTTCACTTTCCTAGAGAGGTCCTTAATTAATGAAATTAACATGTAACTTATGAGGTAAAAGATAAATTAAAATGCTAATTCACAACCTCAAATTTTGAGCATCGTGTAAAATAACCAGGCTAAAACACAGCTGTAAACAAAGATGAAAATCACTCTAGGATGGCTGACAGTAAGATAACACACTAATGATGCCAATATAATACAATATTACAAGAATTCTCCATATATATATATATATATATATATATATATATATATATATATATATATATATATATACATATATACATACATATATACATACATACATATATATATATATATATATATATATATATATATATATATATATATATATACATACACACACACATACATATACATATACATACACACACACACACACACACATACACACAAACTGCCCACTTTATAAGGTACACCTGTCCAACTGCTTGTTAATGCAAATTTCTAATCAGCCAATCACACGGCAGCAGCTCAGTGCATTTAGGCATGTAGACATGGTCAAGACGATCTGCTGCAGTTCAAAGCGAGCATCAGAATGGGGAAGAAAGGGGATTTAAGAGACTTTGAACGTGGCATGGTTGTTGCTGCCAGACGGGCTGCTCTGAGTATTTCAGAAACTGCTGATCTACTGGGATTTTCACGCACAACCATCTCTAGGGTTTACAGAGAATGCTCCGACAAAGAGGAAATATCCAGCGAGCGGCAGTTCTGTGGGCGCAAATGCCTTGTTGATGAGGCCAGAGGAGAATGGCCAGACTGGTTCCAGCTGACAAAAAGGCAACAGTAACTCAAATAAGCACTCGTTACAACCGAGCTCTGTTTAAGACCTCAAATTTAAGACTTTAAGGCCACAAATGTAGATTTTTAAATTTTAGACTTAAGACTCCGCGGAAACCCTAAACACTGGGTAAAACCACTGTCGCTTTACAAAATACAGTGAAGTCAATATGCCTGTGTGACCCCGCCGGTCCTACGCCACCCAACCCGCTCCGAGCTGGTATCGAACTGGCGACCTTCCGCATGGGAGTTGGTTGCTCTACCAGGCCCGGATCGGCTAATCGGGAGCACCGAGAGAATTCCCGGTGGGCTGGTCCGCTTTTTGGCTGCGAGGGCCGGTGTCCCTAGCAGCTTGCGCTCTCAGCAGTTGCACTTTTTTAATTTATTTGTTTATTTGACCATAGCCTCACTCTTTTTAATCATTAACTTGCCGCAGCGCCGCTCTTTTTATTTATTTTCTCGCAGCCCCGTGAGCAAAATGCAGCCCGTAGGTTAATGATGATCATCATTAACCTGCGGGATGCACCCTATTCCACCCCAAACAGCGGCACCTTAGTGAATATTAATTAATATTAATGAATATTACACCTGCTCAATAAAAATCAGATGATTCACCACATTAATAAATCTGACATACCTTGATCAGAAATCTAAGAAGGGGAAAAAAATTAAAAATAAAAAAAAAAGTAGGGTGAAAAGAGAGTAGACATCAATAGAAGCAGATAACAATGCGTAACTTAACAGTGGCATCGTTGTCTAGTAGTTAGCACGTTATGCTTTGACGCGGCAGACCAGAGTTCGAACCTCACCAGTGTATAATATGTTTGTTTTTTACAGTGTTAAAGGGCCATGAAACCCCCTCGTTTCAGCAGGGTGTTTTCACACCTCTACTTTGGAAAAAGTCAGAAAAGGGGGCGTGTCAAGCTCTGTTAAGGGGGGAGTGTCGGAGGAAGAAAAGCGGCTTGGTATCGGAGTGTCTATTTGGGCGTGCTGAATTTCAGAGTCAAAACACACAACCACAGCGGACAATGTGACTGTGTTTACATGGACATCTGTAGTCGAATTATTTGCCAAATTATTAAATGGTGGACTTTAACTACAGTTTGGCTCTTTCATTCAGGGAATTCATTCATGTCCCTCACGACAAACGAGATATTTGATTGGAGGAGCTGCTCTAAGCGTGTATTTTTCATGCAATGTTTGATACCGCACGGCGAATGAGAGAAAAAAAACTCAGCATTTCCCGGAAACTAAGATGCACTCGGCAGGTAGCGTCAGAAAGCCGCGTGTGTTATTCCGGTCACTAAATCCAACACGAGGTTATAGTTTGGTTGTAACTGTATAGTTTGTTTGATACGAATAAAATACGAACTGAATAAACAAAGAGCACTGGTCGCTCACTTACCAAATCTGTAGAGACAGGACAATCACCAGCAGCTAGAGCCGCGTCTTTATTAAGAGGAGACTACAAGCGAATCAGGATCTCAGCGTTTGCAGATGAGAACAGCTCTCAGGTAAACAATAATCCTCCTTAGACACGTAAGTTATTGTTGTCGAGCGTCGCGTACACTGTTAATCTAGCGTAAGTCTGAGCTCTCACAGAGAGAAAATGAAAACAAAACTGAACTGCAGCAAACTATAAAAGCAACACTTCACGCTTGTTTTGCCAACACAACGTGGCGTCTCTGTCGTCTAAACACTGTGACAGTAATGAATATTAATGAAGTTGCACAATAGAGCGCGCTGATTGGTTTGAACCAAGCCTTACTCATGCATTAATGCATCACACTGTAAGACGTAATAAGACACACTCTGGCACAGACGTCCAGTCTGCACGCTGGAATACACGCTATTATGTCATGACCGTGACGCAGCTTCAAAAATTCGTTTCAAACAGGAAGTACGAATTTGCTTGAAATAACGCAATAACAACCAATTTACACTTTTTAGTGAAATATAGGTGTCCTAATAGTGTTTTTAGCAGTGTGGGACACATATACCACTGTCAACAGCTCAAAAAATGTGTTTTGGTGTTTCGTGACCCTTTAAGACATAAAATACTGTTTGGGTTACTTATGTAGGGGTACATATTTTTTTGTGTGTGACGACCATTACAAAGGACTGGATTTTAGGGTTCTTACACCTTTTCCAACTTCAAATTCCAGCACTTTTCAAGCACTTTTTGTATGCTTTTCCAGCACCTAATAACCACGGTTAAATACTTTTTCACATTTAGATCTATTGTGCTATTTTAAAAAACTAAAAATTGTTGAGCACTTAAGAGCATGGATTTATTGGAATAGTTCACCCAAAAATTATTTAAAAATATTTTTTTTAAAAGTTTAGTTATTGGATGAAGTATACTTTTAAGTTTGGTCTCTTTCCACCTAAAGTTGATATCTCAAGAAATGAGCTCACAGTCAGATTTTGTTTGGGTGTAATACTAACCTTTCATGACCAGTCGTTCATGTTATTTCATGTGCATTGCTATTTTTTCTTTACAGTCATTGGATTGTCGTTTCAGGTTTAAAAATATGTTTATAAAAATCTGACTTAAAAAATTAAGTTGTCTTAAATTTCAGACGTTCAAAACATTTCTAATAGGACATAATCAGTAGTATTAACTTACAATTGTTAATAATTCAATTGAACACAATTCAAATTCAGATTGTTTGGGCTTATCCAAGCACT